GGATAACCCGATGAACTTCGTCGGCATGCTGTTGGTCAAAATGCTGATCACCTATGACCCCGAAGACTGCAAGCGCGTGCGGGACTTCGCTCTGGCCACGCTTCCCGAGACCCGTCCGGAGACAAGCTGTCTGGATATTGTCAACTTCTTCCAAGAGGGCAAGTCCCACATGGTGTTGGTGTCGGAGTATCCCAGTGAAGATCGTGGCGCCTTGGGTGTGGTCACCCTGGAAGATGTGATTGAGGAGCTCATCGGAGAGTATGTACTAGACAAGCGCAAAAAGGACCGGAACAATGCTGACACCGTTGTAGGGAAATCATTGACGAGTCTGATGTCTTCGTGGATGTGCACAAGGCCATCCGCCGCATGGCTCCTGCTCCCAAGTCCCGCGTTCCCAAGGGCCGGATCGTCGAGGATCCCCCCATGCTTCCGGCTGAAACCACTCTGGTGGAGGTGGACAACGAATCCCCTGCTCCGCCCAATGGGGCCCCGAAGGACCATCGCCGGCTTTCCGTAGAAGCTCCCTTGCCCCGGTTCCAGCTCCGTCGGCCCCACTCGGATAAGAATTCAAACTCGACAGACGGCTTGTTCACGCATCGCGGGGCCACGGATGAGATCAGACAACATCTGAAGCACCTGGGTCCATCAAACTTGGCCAGCCGACCGCGCCAAACTCGGTACCAAAATGTGAAGATCAAACGGAGTGCCTCGCCATCCCGGTCCGGACAGACTGACCTTGATTCCAGCCAGAGCATGTCCGATGTGCAACCTAGACATAACTCCATTGGCCTGCAGGGCGGTATCGGCGCCGGACTTGTACAGAGCGGTATGGACGCCCGAGATGGGGTGTATGCGGTACGTGCGGGATATGGCACAATGAACCACTCCAATCCGCCGGCCGATGCCGGTACTCAAACGAAGGATGGTCTCCCGATTTCGATACCAGAACCGGTCCATGAAGAACAGGATGATCACCCACGGTCAGCGGGCAGTCGATCCGGCAGTGCCCGGTCCATCGACTCTCAATCCGAGCATCTCAAGCCGGGCAGTTACCTCCACCGAGGCCCGGCTCGCAGTGGTAGCATCACGGAGCAGGTGGTCGATGTCAACGGCATACGCAAGGTCGTGCTCCATACCACAAGCACTAGCTCATCTGAATCTGAACGACCGGGATCGAGAGAAAACCCGGAGTTCCCTGTCCGCCAGGAGGGCGATATTGTTGACCTGGGGATTAATCAGTCCGCCGGAAGCAAAAGACGCCGTCGTCGCAGAAAGCGCGGACAAGGCCCGAAGAACGGGGGGTCGGGCGAAAATACCCCTCTACTGTCGCAATAACCAAGATAATTCCGGACGCTCAGAGTGTTCTGCTGGCCAGATCGACAGGGCGACGTGTGGATAGTTGTTGTTACGTTGCAAAAAATTTTAGCCTGTACACAGGTGCGACCGACCAGCTGGTCGTGTGTGATGCACATGCTTCCCGGGGAACCGATGTATTTCTTTTCCACCATATATTCATTTCCCAAGCATAGCCGACCCTGCGTGCCAATAAATGGTCGCTTGACACTTGTCGTTGCATTGAGGGGTCTGGCGGTGTAGATGTGATTTGTGTTCAGTATATCTTTAAGGAATGGCATTCTCTTGATAAGTCCTTGCATAAAATGTAACACCAACCCTTTCTTCTGCTCCTACTTGCTTTCTAAAGATCACGGAGAATTCACTATCCGTCTAGCTTTTATCTTAGAAAATATTGGGGTATCCAGCACGATCCAGCTATGCCTCTATCCACCTCTCAGGAGCGATGCCGACCATACCCCCAGAACTATCGAACCAAAATCACAAACGGTAGGCCCCAATGACTCGTCCCATGATATAGAAAATATTCCACCCAGTCGGACCGTGCATGAGCACAGAACACATGATCCATAATAGTATGTAATATAGCGAACTCTCCCTTGATAAGATAAGAAATCAGGGCATCCATGCATCTTGGCTTTCTGAAGTCGATTACTACTATCCTCCCCCTCTTTCACCTCAACCTGGACATGAACCTGATATTTTCTTTTTATACCATCCGTTAAATATATACCTACGTAGTAACATTAAAAAGGCTAAATTTAGCCGTCAGGGGCAAAGAAGAAATAAGAAAAAGCTACAGGGATGATCCTTGGTCGTATATGGATCTGGATGGCTCGGTAGGTAGGTAGGTAGTTCCTGGAAGGCGTTCGTCAATTTGATATGTGGTATGTAGTAAGGGGTGCTAAGTTCTATCTTCTCAGATCCCTTGTAGGCAGGGCTGCTGGCGCTCTTTTGTATTCAGGGTAGTACTATAACAACACTCGTGATTGATTATCTGCGGCGCTGTGGATATCAGTAGGGAGTATTATACTACTAAAGATAGGAGAGTGAGAAAGGAGTGCCGGAATGGGTGAGGTTCTTATATGGATAGTTATCCATGTGTGGAATTAGCTGACGATTATATACGGGTCTGTAGACTAGGGGGGTCTTCTACATAGTAAGCATCGTCATAAGAGTTCCAGTCTATATAGTAAGTGTGTCATGGTTGCTTCGATACTTGTGTGGTGTAGTTGATGATATAGCATTAGTACGCAGCACAATATATCAACTAGCATCATTGGTCTAGTGGTAGAATTCATCGTTGCCATCGATGAGGCCCGTGTTCGATTCACGGATGATGCACAGCAATTTCTTTTTTATTTTTCTTGTCACTGTTGTGAATGATGTTGATTGTTATTTTTAAGGCTTTTAGTAGACTGCGTGTGGTTCTACGTGATGGGGTTTTGCTAGTACGGAGTGGTCTTCTAGGCAAAAGTGTCTACTGTATATAGCATGTCCAGAAAAACCATCTCTATTTATTCACCTTACTTTTATCATAAAGTATGTGCATGGACCCAACCACAACTCCATAAACAGACGATGCCAGCAGCACGGCAATGCAGAGAATAACCCAAAGAAACAAACAGCCTGAAATGATTCATAGACTCATCAACATACGATGCAAGAAGACGAAATGTATGAGATCATTGCAGGAGAGGATCCTATACCATCTGATTAGTATCATGAAATTTAGAACAACCTCGGGCGGTAAACTTACTCTGAAGTGTTTCTGGTGGTTGGCTTGCCGGTTGACCCGTGCCGTGAAGCGCTGCTCTTGCCGCATGGCTCTCTGGCGCTCCTTGCGCTCGGTGATCATCACCTCCTTCTTCTGAGAGTCCGTCACTCCAATCATACCAGTACCGCCATTGGCACGGGTGATAAGCGCACGGTTGAGGTTGCGGCCACGAGGCTTCGGCTCCTCTTCCTCGATCTCGCCGTTCTCGATGGCAAGTTGGCGCTCGGCACGTTCCTCTGCGGTGGGGTAGTTGTGCAGGTTCTGGCGGTAGTATTTGGCGAGGGAGCGGTGGCCGACGCTGCGGCCGGAGGGAAGATGCAGCTCGTAGTCGGTGGCGTAGACGACGGGCGCGCGCTTGCGGTTGTCGAGGTCGTCCTCATCCTCGTCCATGGATGAGGCGTCTGTCTCCCATCCCTCGTCTTCGCCGTCAACCTTGACGCCTCCTTCCTCATGTGTCTCGCTGCCGGTGGACTCCCACTCTTCGTCATCTGTGTAGGTGCTGCGGAAGTCGTAGTACTGGCCGATCTCGATCTGCTCGGCCTCGGACTCGAATGCGATCATGCAGTGGCCCTTGTCCTTCATGTGGGTGCGGATGCCTTCGGGGGTGTTCCGGATCATATGGCAGTAGAGACATTCGCTGTTCTCGTTGATCTTGCGCCACAGGTAGCGGAGAAGACCCTCAAGGTCAACGAGGTAGTCCTTCTCGGGGATGAACATGCCGTGAGTCTTGAACATGTGCTCGGTGTTTTCTTCAACATTGGCTGACTTCTGCAGACAGAAAAGACAACGAGACGCAAAGAACCCATCATCAGACATCTCCTCGTCTTCATTGCTCTCCTCCTTGATGGTAGCATCCTTGAGGGTCTCGGCGACCTTGTTGACCTCGGACTCTCCGACGCGGGGCTTGTTGATGGGTTCTCCCAGGGAGAAAGTGGAGCTCATGACGGAGGACGACTCGTCGGCATTGTCTCGGCTCATGCGGGCCTCGCGAGCCTTGTGCTTGGAGCTCTTGATATGGTTCTGGTAGGAGTTCTCGCTGTAGAAGGTCTTCTGGCAAGCGACACAGGTCGTCTCGAACGATGCCTTGGCGGCCGCGGCAGTGGTGGTGGCTTTGGCAACGAGGACCTTTTCGTTGAAGGTTTCCTGGGACACTGGGGGAAGGGAGGCAATCCGACGCTTCATGTTATACAAGCTATGGCAGACAGAATCAGTTCCTGCAGGCTAACCAAGCGGTGATATGAAGAAACTTACTGCCAGTCGGTGCGCATGTGCCCCCGCTGTGCATCGCTGCCGCGGAAAGCAACAAGGCAAGTGTTGCAGGTGTAGGGGAGAGAAGAGGCGGAGGCGTCCATCTTTGAATAAATCGGCGGAACAACGCAGGGGTATCACGATGAAATAAAGTAGCCGTGTAGAGGTCGTTAAATGATTGTGGGATGGACGAAGCGGGGCACAATCTCAAATGATGTGACCGCTGGGTATCAAAAACAAGTGGCTATCCCGGTTGGCACTTGTAAATATATATATGGATTAAAGAGACTAATCCACACGAGCGAGTGAAGGCAAATGGGATAGGGAAAGGTGGATGAGTCGGGATGAGTCTTCGATTGTTGCCCCTCAGCGCCGAAGCAGAATTAATTATTGATAATCACCGAGATTTGCGCCGCCTTGCCGCTTTGGGCCCAATGACGTTCAATGCACGTGCCCGCCCATTATTTATTCACTGTACTATGTACTATATTAGTCATTATATTATTTTATGCACGAAGGCTGGCGAGTACTCTTTTCATCTTCTGCTTCTTTTATTTTGAACTGGCATTTGACTTCGCAAATACCAATGGTAGATTACTTTATGTAATGTTTCTAGTAGTGTCTCTGCTATAGCTCAATTAATGTGAGGAGTCATCAGGCTGATGTGCTTCTGTCATTCGAATCATGGTGGTCCAGCCAACAATATATATATCAAACACTGAGGAGCACCTGCTAGTCTATCACGAGGCATCCTATGTAGTGATGTATGAACCGTCAATACTAGCAGCGAAATGGCATCATGTGTAGCTCATGGTAGGACGTATCCACCGTCAATGAGGACATCACTGCCAGTCATGTATGTCGACGCATCACTGGCAAGATACAGATACAACCCCTTAATTTCCTTTACATGGCCCTGCCTTCCCAGCGGCGCCATCCGATAGGCCTCGTTGACCGTCTGTGGACTGGCACCCATCTTGGTATCGAAAAAGCCAGGAGAGACAATGTTGACGCGGGCGAACTCTCTCCACTCGCGAGCAAGCGATTTCCCAAGGTGCGTGACGAAGGCCTTGCTGCCATTGTAGACGGGTTGATCAACGGGCACATTAACAATGTGACCACTCATGCTAGAGGTGATGATCAGATTACCAAAGCCTTGTTGTTTGAACACCTCTCCAACATATTTGGCGCAGTAGAGAACGCCATCAACTATACACCATCATTAGCACCTAGTCTACTACCAGGAAGGAAGCACACCTTACCATTGACCGACATCTGCTTCCGATATTCTTCCAGTGTCTGCTCCAGGAGGGGCTTAGAAATAGCCATTCCTATGTACAATATTAGCGACTTAGATAATCTCTTCGGTGTCATGTCCGTCTGTACCAGCATTTGCAATAAACACGTCAATCTTGCCAAAGTCTTTGGCGACATCTGCAATTGCTTGCTGAACGGCATCCGCATCCGAAACTGGGCTAATTAGCATTCCACGTTATTCATGACGAGTGACAAGTGCTCCCCACCGTCGACCTTGTAAGCCGTAGCTCTGATCCCATGAGTAGATGCCAGACCCTGCGCTTTCCCGACGGCTGCATCATTGCTATCGTGACTTCGTTAGACGTGAAATCTATTTTCCGATGGAAAAAATGGCATGGCTTACGAGTTGTACCACATGGCAATATCGGCATTAGCCTCAGCCATGGCTTCAGCCACTGCGTAGCCGATACCATCTGCAGCTCCTGTGATAACGACAACCTTTCCGCTCAGACGCATCTGCGCCAATACATTTGTTGGCGTGTTTGGGAACGGGCGAGGAAATCCCTCACGGATTGGGGCACACTCGGCTACGTTCATAGACATGTTGAACGAAGGTAATAGACAACCGCAGTAAATGCGAAGATTTCAAGACTGGTCCAGACAAGAATTTCAAAAGCTGAAGCTTGACAATTGTAAGACTGGAAGGTGCTCCTTTAAGATGTCCTCCTTGAAACTGTCTCTACCTTGGACGTTGCTGTTTCTTTTCTTTCACTCCACGCGACCAGAGATGGCGGGGTTGCACCAACAAATACTGGTCCATTAAACCTGAGATTACTTGCCCCACCTTTTCAAAAGAGTCAGGGGATAGACTATCATGATGCTATGTCTGTCCGGTTAACTGTGGTCCGACCTCGAATCAACGGTCTATCTGGGGTTGGTTTAGTACACAAGCGTCGAACCAACATTCGATTCAAAGTGGCGCTTTGATTCCTTCTTTGATCATCTGCTTCTGACTCCGCCCATTCCAAGCTGCTAAACATTTATGGAGAGTCTGTTAACTTCCTTCCAATGAGAAAAGAAAGGCAGAACAGGCCTCGGACAACAGACAGCCGAAGCATTGCATTGGTGGCCAGATCGGACATAATCGGACATCCTCCGCATCCCGCCGGAGTCCCCGCATTCATCCCGCTCGGAGCTTAGCCCGGTGCCTCTACTGGGGTTTGAACCAGAGCATCTCAACCGCCATCGGTCGACAGGTATCCGAGAAACAGTAGGTTCAAGCAGAGAATGCTTCATACTGTCTCCGATAAATGAGGACGCTAGAACCAGCACACATCATTCGCCTTCTTGGATTAGCTATTTGAAATCAATAATTTAAACGTCCACTCAACTGTCGTCCCGATCGACATCATCTAACCCCAGGCATCACCTAGGTACAGAATAGTATAACAAACCACTTTAATCACTATGGGTTCCAACTCAGAAACCCCCGCAATTCCTTGGATGCGCCTAGGAGAGCTCGACCCTCAGTCGTCTCTCACGCCGCCCCCTGCGCCTTTTCCGCCGGGAAACAGTGCAGCCGACAACGCGAGACAGAGATTCGCAGTGAATGGAAATGCCATCTGTATGTCATTTCATTCAGCCTATTCCCTTCGCTCTCTTAGTCAAAAGAAAAGGCGAATGGACTAAGACACAGTACAGTCACCGGCGGCGCCGGCGCTTTAGCACTCACATCAGCAAGAGCACTGCTCGAGCACGGTCTACAAGGATTAGCTCTCCTCGACCTATCCACATCCCTCACAAGGAGCAAAGAGTATATATCAGCCATACAGCATGATTTCCCCAACGCCAACATCGTAACTATACCCTGCAACGTGACCATCGAAGCAGAAGTCCAATCCGCAGTTCAATCAGCCATAGACTGTCTAGGCGATCTCCGAATCTTATGCTGCTTCGCAGGAATAGTCAACTGCGTTCCATCAATTGACATGAGCCTAGAAGATTACAAGAGAATGCAAGACGTAAACACAACAGGAAGCTGGATTATCGCGCAGACTGTTGCCCGGTAAGTCCACTTAGACTTGTACTTCAATCAACTCATGATAACTCCAAACCAGACACATGATTTCCCGCAAAACAGGCGGTAAAATTATCTTCATCGCCTCTATCAGCGGTCACCGCGTTAACTACCCCCAGCCTCAGCTAGCATACAATGTCTCCAAGGCCGGGATCTTACATATGAAGAATTGCCTCGCTGCTGAATGGGCGCAGTATGGCATTCACGTTAACTCCATTTCGCCTGGGTATATGGATACGGTTCTGAACGAGGGCGACCAGCTGTCCGGCCATCGCGCGGTGTGGGCTGACCGCAATCCCATGCGGCGTATGGGGTCGCCACAGGAGTTGACGGGGCCGGTGGTGCTTTTGTGTAGTGATGTTGGAGGGAGCTATATAAATGGGGCAGATATTGTGGTCGATGGTATGCCATATTCCCTCTTTTCCCGTTGTTGGAGGAGTTGTTATGGGATAGTAGCTAATGTATCTGTTTTTGGTGGATAGGTGGAGGCCTGGTTTTCTAATTCTTGGTCTGGTCTTGGGATACTTACTTAACGGAGTAATATCAGGGTTCTATAGAATGCTACTACAATAAAGATCTGAGATTGTCAAAAGTTTGAGGTTTACATTAAATCGCTGCTTGTGATGGGAAGCACTACGCGTATCGAGATTTCAGCAGACTGACTGGCGAGAATGAAGGTCTATCTGTAGTCGCTTCCATGGCGCGATGATCCGTTTCTATAGGCAAGAAGGGGGACAAAGCCAACTAAATCTCGATTGTTTGTAAACAGTAGAATTAAACTCTTGCAAAGCAGAAATTGCGGAACTAGGCAGCTGAGAAATTAAGCTGGCCTTCAATGTATGTGTACAAGTATTGTAAGTTCTGTACAAGCGAGTCAAACGAGCCTTAGTGAGCATCCGCCCCTACTCCTTTTCCATTATTCATCCTGTGCTTTACCACTTCCTCTCGTTGAACGTTAACGGGCAGTCGTCCTAACAGACAGTTAGCATACTTTTATTCTTAATTCGTCACTGGTGACCTACCTTAGGAAAGATGGTTGCGAAGACCTTGATCTCCTCCGATAGCGGGGTCGCGTGATGCTTCCAGTCCAGCAGCAACGAGGCTTTGCCGATGAGCAATACCAGATTGAGCTGCGCATAGTGCTGTCCAATGCACACATGTGGGCCCGTTCCAAACACCAGATAGTTATTCTTCCCCTTCTCCTCGGCATCCCCGGTATAATAACGCTCGGGATTGAATTCGTCAGGGTTCTCGTATACCTCCTCGTCCCGGAGGGCAAGGTATGTGGTGGGGATAACCATTGCTCCTGTTGATAGTAAGCATCAGCTGAAATCAATGGTTGATTATATATAGCTCACCCTTGGGAACTGTGTAGGAATCGGTAATTGGGAACGGCTTCTTGGCCACATATGGCACCATGATCACGGGAGGTCGGTACCGCAGAAGCTCCCTGACGACCGCACGGGTATAGGTCATGGACTCGAGCTGGTCCATGTCAACCTCAGCACGGACGTTACCGTTGCGGACCTTATAATTCTCCTCGCGGACTCGATCGAGCACGTCGGGGCGTTGTGCCATTGTTTGAAAGAGCCAGGTGGCTGCGCTGCTGGTAGCATCCTGAGAGGCGAACAAAAATGCGAGAACTGTCTGAGCGATCTCCCAATCGGCGAAATCACGTAGCAGAGGAGATGGCTTCTCCATATTCTCCGCTAACTGTCCCTTGGCTTCTGCTTCGACCCATTGCTTTGAGGCTAGGATATTCTTGACCCACGCGTCCATAATGCAGGTGGGTTCTTTGCCGGCTGCCATACAGACTTTGCTCTTCGCACTAGCCTGGCAAAACTCGGCCATGACCATATCACTCGCTTTCTTACCGTACCATGCCTTGGTGAAAGGCAGAATAATAGGAAAGTTAACCAGCTCCATTGCCTCTGTGATCAGGTAATAGTCATCAGAGATCTTTTTCACAGCCTCGTCCGAAATATAATAGCCGCAGAATGTGCGGAGCGACACGGCGCACATCAATTCGCGAAACTCGGGCATAAAGGGCACTGGTTTGCCGCCAGCTTTTTGCGTAATTCCAAGGAAGCGCTCGAAGTACTGATTGTATACATCCTCCTGGCCAGGGAGATAGGACTGCAATGCTTTTTTCGTGAACAGACCGTTGAGGCCCTTGCGGAAATCCACATGTGGCTTTCCATCCATAAAGACAAAGTTCTCCTTTCCCAGGAGCTTATGAGCGACATCCACGACGCAGGGCTTTACATAGGTTGGGGAGTTGAACACTTTCCTGGCCAAATCACGGGTCGAGGCAATCACAACGAACCTGAACCGGTATTAGTTAGTCAAGTCTATGCTAACGGATCTGTATGCACCAGGGGGACGAACTTGTGAAAGACGGACACGCAACTGAGGGGGCCGCTTGTCCATTTGGCGTAATATTCCTCAAATTTAGGGTTGACCGATTCCAAGAATGGTCCAATAAAGGGTATCTTGAAGGCTGGGCCGACAATGTTGCCTTTGTTTATAAGGTATATGACTAAAAAGCAAGCCGTCTTAGAATTGAACCAGTGAATCATAATCAGCGATGAAGTGACATACTCTGGTCATAAGCGACAAGGACTGCCAAAATGGTAAATGCGATGGTCCATGGGCTCGCATTGCTAACGGCATCAACGACAGTCTCGAGTTGGGACGGAATGGGCAAGTTGCTGGCTCGAACGCTAGCGAGCGGCGACGCGAAGCTGTGGGAGTTGGTCTCCATGTTGTGCGAACCCTGCGAGCTGTACACGCAGGCCGATTGGATTCCGCCGCTTGCCGACCGGAGCTGTCAAGCACAAGAATATAGATAATGCGGACACGAGCTCCTGCAATTGGCGAGCTGTGCGCTATGCGACCGTGCCGGACAACGCGGTGCCTGAAACGGTGAAGATAGGTAGCTCGGAAAGTTTGAATGAGTGCCAGGCCGGGCAGTCGCGCCTTTTAAACCCCCTGGATCTCATGGGTTTCTTACTGGGGGGAGTCTGATTAGTGAATCCTTCGTGGTTTCCGTGCGTAAGCCCCGGGGCTGCCATTGGACTGATTCCTAACTTTTGAATCTAGTAGTAACTCTGCGGCGTTGCACGGCGCTAATCTAGCAATCAACCCAGCGTCTTCGAAATATCATGCAATTCTGATGGGCTGGATATAATTTGTGATTTCCATCCCCCGGAAAGAAAACACACTCCCCGATCGCATGATGCCTGAGCAACGGCCACTATCACTAGTGCTGACGCACGATTTCTTTATCCTCTCGATTGAGCGTCACGATTTCGGCCAATCACATTGCAACTGCACCGTTCGGGCCTCTCAACAAAAATATGACTGCGACGCTTAGTACCAGGGGTCTTTTATTCTAGAAAATGAGTATTTACCAGAGCATATCTTAGTGAGCCAGGTGACAGATATTCAAATGTTGATCCGGCGAAATGAACTGTCAGAGAACCGCATCTAGGCTTACATCACACTGAATTCCCAGGGCTATTCAGGGCTACCAGGCATTGGCAGAGCGGGAGGCTTTTTGTACTAATGTCAGATATCAGAATAGACCCTATTTAAACCTCTTAAAGCGTCAAGATAAGCTCTCAGAAACAGCATCTTTTGACGTTACTAGATCAGAAGCTAACTTGCGTGGATCGATCCAGCGGGGTCTTTCCGGACGACTGCGGGCCGACCACAACGATCACTAGAGGACAAACCTTATGTTGATGTAACAACAATCTTGCCACAAATCAAACACCAGTATGGCGAAACGGACGAGACTAAAATCAGAGGCACAGGAGCTTCGGGCAGTAAGTCTTCTACATTAGTAGGGAGCCTGGCGGTAGACTGACGGTGAGTAGTGTGTAGAATGCCGGGTAAGAGTGACCCGACATATACTTGATGATATCCCGGGTGGCTAATCAAGTACAAACTTGCTTCAAAGAGACGAAAGAGCAAGGTATGACCCGGAGACCAATCCTCGTATCGCTAGCAATATCCATACTGATAGTATACAATCAAGTGTTCTGGAACCGCCCCATGCTCGTACTGCTCGAGGACCAAGAAGCTATGTCGCTTTGAGCATGCACCGTCACGCACACCATTGACTCGCAAGTAAGTGTGGACTCCCAGTACTGTACTATAAGATGATGATCTCAGTATATGTAGAAATCTTGAAGAAAAGGAGCGCCTTTGCGAGAAGCTGATGACCCTTGTCCGGAATCTGAACCCGAATGTCGACATTGAAGAAGCATTGAACGCATTGCCAGTGGCTGGTGAAGGACGGGATGATAATGGAACTGCTAACGAAAGTTCAATGTGCGAGAGCCCTGATGGGAAAAGTCCGACTTCATTGGAGAATTACGAATGGAACGAGGGTCCATTGACCTCGTCTCATCCCCCAAACAAGTCACTCGATGGAATGGCATCACTACCAACCGAAGGGTCTGGATCTGGTTACCTAGGTTAGTGGCTTGAGGACTTCTATGATCGAAGTTAATGATGTTCGCTAGGAAACACTTCTGGGTCCTGTATTCTGGAGTCCATTTCGGATCTACTACCCGGGCATCCTGTTCCCCTGGCTGCTCGAAAAGAACGACTCCCTGCATATTCGGCAAAGATGGGGAGACCCCAGTTGTTGAGAGACATAGATAATACTATTCTCACGGGTCCCCTATTTGACGCATATTTTATGTCATATAACAAGTCGTTTCCCATCCTACATGAAAAGACGTTCAGAGAGAAGTACCAGAATCGGCATCATATCCCAGCTCACTCCACATGGCACTTGATATTCTACATCGTTCTGGCGATCGGTGACTGGGTCGTATCCGGTGGCTCCAAAGTCGAGGAGTCGAGATATTACATGGCTGCACGGTCGTCCATGTCAATGAGTCTGCTGGAGTCAGGTGCACTTCTCACGGTTCAAGCTTTTCTTCTGATGGTGAGTTGACGTGATGCATATCTTGTGCGTATCGCGAGCAAATACTAAGTGACGAAGGGAAACTTTCTCCAGAAACGGGATCGACCCAATACTGGATACAACTTCATTGGAATAGCATATCGAATGGCCCTTGGACTGGGCCTCCATCGTGAACCAGTAAGGGAATCAACGCTCGACACCTTGAGTACCGAAAGAAGGAGAGTCGTGTGGTGGATTGTTTATTCATTTGACAGCGGATTCAGTCTGACCACAGGAAGGCCATTGATGTCATCGGATTGTTTCATCGAAACCCAGCTTCCACGCAACATCGAAGACTCGGTACGTAGGACTATTCCAAAACAATGGACATGGGCGAGAGGAGGAGTCGCTAACTTGTCACCATCAGGCTTCCACATTAGATTCCATAGTCCCAGGCCCCATAGACAAGCCGACCACATACTCTGCGATCATAGCACAGGCCCGATTATCACGCATTGGGAACATGATATACTGTAACGTGATAGCAGGTCCGAAAAGGGACCTTGATTTAAAGACTCCACGATCTCTCGATCATCAGCTCAAGACCTGGAGACTCTCACTGCCCCTCTACTTCACGGCCCACGATGTCCCGACATGGTTCCGTGGACCTCGAGCGATAGTAAGTTGGAAGGAACAGAACCTGCGAATGATGCTGTGGTGGGGGACTCAACGCCTGTGCGGTTCACTGCAAGACAGCGAAGAAGCCCGCAACATGTGCCACTATGCTGCCGTAGAGTGTATCCAGGACATCACTACCTTTTGTACCGACTACCCGGATACACTCCACGTCGGCCTATGCTGGTACGCGACATACTTCCTCTTCCAGGCATCCATCGTGCTCAGTATCTATCATCTCCGACCAAAGGAGCCATTGGATAGAGGTTTGGCGGTGGCAAACCAGCAGCTCTGGATATCGTCCATCGAGAGATCGCGTGACTGTCTGGCTAATTTGAGCCGGAAGAACCAGGCTGCAACGCGGTGCTTGGAAGTTCTTGATCGGATTATGTATCAGTCGCAAGCTACGCCTCCTGCGGTTGGGGAGGTTTCCTCGACGACGAATGTCCCGGGCACGACACAATTGCCCGTGGATTATGATAATGCAGGCACGCGTCTCGATACACTTGCCGTTGACCCTTCTCTTCAGATGCTTTTTGATGCGACGTCGTTTGATATGGATATCTTTGAAGGACTTGAAGGGTTTCCGAATACGAATGAAGTAGAATCATTCGATTATGTTTCAGGAGCTGCGTTGGTCACTGACAATGCAGAGGACTGGCAAATTTGAAGCATTAGAAAATAGGCATGGCTTTGAAGTTGTAGTTTCGTTGCCGACATGTATCAAGTGTGGGATGTTTGAAATGTACCTGCATCCAGTGGGGTCCTTTAATCAGAGTAAAGAAGTGAAGCTAAAAAAGAACTAAATAGATAAAGAGCTACCACAGCAGATCTCGAGACATTAAACCAGGGCATTAACCTAGCAGAATATCGGAGCACGGCCGGCCACTGGACAGCTACCCCGACAGCGCTTCGTTATGGTGCTACACTGAGGTTCTTGGAAAATGGCTTGTCGGGTAACTAGGCATCTTTATCCTTCTGTGTTGCTTTGCTCCTCAAAGACCATAGAAGATCTCTGTCACCGACCATAGGGGGCCTGGATCCATGTGGTGAAAGTTAAAATCTCGCGTTTTGATCTAAAATGGTAATTCGGCGGACCAATGTGGGCCAAAAGCCATAAATCTCATTAGGCTAAGGGACGGAGCGAGTGGGTCGCTTATTTCGTTATATAAAGTACGCAGCCTCGAGCATGGTTCAAGTTGGCAAAGGGTGTTATATGTGCTGCTCAATAGACAAAATAAAAACGGTACATTTGTGACTAAAAGACTGCGCGCTTCGACGAACGTCAGTGTTATCATGCAATTACTTACCCTCGGCCGACAGAGGCCCGAGTTTATAGTATCTTGTCAATGATAGTATTAATAATCTTAAATAATAACTATATAATATATTTAAAATGAATTAGAAGAATTATCTAGTTTAATTAACTGGCAGCTACTGTATCAGAATCCGCGGTCTATATTTGTACAAATCTTCGTATGACGGCTATAATATGAGGACCTGGGAAATTGACGCCGAAAATGACCACTCCTGCAGCCGATTATGTATGCTTTGCACCCGCCAAGCATTGTTTAGTCATGATGGAGGCGCTTACAACCATGTTTCGTTCAGTCCGATAAACAGAGCACCGCCGAAATAACTACGCTTACTTGCTCGGGGATATGGCGGCGAAATCACCGGAAGGTACTTCAGCGGAAGTGCAATCATTGATGTGAACAATACCAGTCAATGGCTTTGGGAAGGACGGGAAGCCCCCCCATCGTCGCCATGTATACTTCTGCAGTAAGCTCACCCACGAGAAAGTAGATACTGTGGTGGAGATAACTAGCTCACTTTCTCTCCACAGTACCCTGTTGCACAGACCCTGCCGAGTGGGGAGACCATCCGGGAGAACCAGCAATCCCAGACATCGCCTACAGTGCTGACGATGGTCTAGCCCCTGGACCACGTACAACGCCGCTAACCTGGTCATCTACAACCTCCAGTCCCATAGGAAGACTGGTACCAAAACTTTCCTGATCGCAACCTAAGGACTGGCCTGGCCGGCTTGCGAAGATCGCGGAGACGGCCGTTCTACTTCTTCTTTTGTGACAAACCCAAGATGAGTGGTGAAATGTGTTGGAACAAAAACCGAGAGATACCAGTAGCCACTAGAGAGATTTCTCTTTTGGTCTACTTGGTAAATGTCTCAACAAAATGCCACTACGAGCATTGTTGGTTGGAGCTATTCAGCGCCTGATTGATTCCTCTGTACTCGTATACTCGTATTCGCACCGGACTAGACTCGAAAACACGGCATCATAACCCGCCATAGCTCGGATTATGCAGAGGTACTCTCGCATAGACAACCTACATATGGTCTCTGTTGCTGATACCTTGATTGATTCCAGACCGACGGACTCGTCACGGGCGAAGGGCCGCTTCGCGGAGCTGCTTGACAACTCCCGATCCCGTGAATATAGCGAACCACTCTCGGTACCCGGAATCTCACCTTGCATCTCCACCTTTTTACCAATCGCGTTCGCTCGTTCGACTCCTCACATTCCTTGAGTGAGAGACTAGTGAGAGACTAGTGATCTCTCCGATGATTAGTGATCTCTCCGAATGAATCGGACTTGTTTGTCCACCACTACCCTTCGATAGAAGTCTCGGCCTCACGCTCTCCCTGACACCGAGCGCGTTGTCCTTCCCTTTATAAAGATCTGCACGGGCGAGCAAACATCGCTTCCGTATAGGCATACCTCTATTAACTGTGAATGGCTTATATGACGGACAAGGATCCGGGAGAAATTTCGGGGAAATTCAACGCTGAGCATGCGACTATCAGATTGGGGAAATGAAAGGCGTCTTGGCCATGATATTTATATAGCTCGCTTCTCCGTGCGAGTAGATGGCTATACTTTTCTGCCACTCACAGGTCTCTCAGAGAAGTGGAATTCAAGAATACCAAATTGTTCGTTTTGCTTTGTTACTCCAAGATGTTGAATCCGAAGGTTGCCTACATGGTCTGGATGACGTGCCTGGGTTTAACGTTGCCCAGCCAGGCGCAGTCTAATGATTACCGTCCATCATACCATTTCACACCGGACCAGTACTGGATGAACGAGCCAAACGGCCTGATTAAAATTGGATCCACCTGGCACCTGTTCTTTCAACACAATCCGACGGCCAATGTATGGGGCAACATATGCTGGGGGCACGCTACGAGCACCGATCTGATGCACTGGGCACACAAACCCACTGCCATTGCGGATGAGAACGGAGTCGAAGCGTTTACCGGTACAGCCTATTATGATCCAAACAATACCTCTGGCCTTGGGGATTCGGCAAACCCACCCTACCTGGCCTGGTTCACAGGTTATACCGTTTCAAGCCAAACACAGGACCAGCGCCTGGCTTTCAGTGTCGATAACGGGGCGACGTGGACCAAATTTCAAGGCAACCCCATCATATCAACTAGCCAGGAAGCACCACATGATATAACGGGCGGCCTCGAGAGTCGGGATCCAAAGGTATTCTTCCATCGCCAATCGGGGAACTGGATCATGGTTCTCGCCCATGGCGGGCAGGACAAGCTGTCTTTCTGGACGTCTGCAGACACCATAAACTGGACATGGCAGAGTGACCTGAAGTCCACCTCGATCAACGGCCTATCGTCCGATATTACAGGGTGGGAAGTCCCCGACATGTTTGAACTCCCGGTTGAAGGCACTGGGGAGACCACGTGGGTGGTGATGATGACGCCGGCTGAAGGATCCCCTGCCGGTGGTAACGGGGTCTTAGCTATCACCGGTTCTTTTGACGGAAAAAGCTTTACGGCAGATCCCGTCGACGCTTCGACCATGTGGCTGGACAATGGGCGTGATTTCGATGGCGCTCTGAGCTGGGTGAACGTGCCTGCGTCCGATGGACGGCGGATTATCGCCGCCGTCATGAATAGCTACGGTTCCAACCCGCCTACAACCACCTGGAAAGGAATGCTCTCCTTTCCCCGGACGCTGTCGCTCAAGAAAGTTGGCACGCAGCAGCACTTTGTTCAACAGCCGATCACAGAGTTGGATACAATTAGTACCAGTCTGCAAACACTAGCAAACCAGACCATTACCCCTGGCCAAACATTGCTGTCATCGATTCAAGGAACTGCTCTTGATGTTCGAGTTGCTTTTTACCCTGATGCTGGCTCGGTTCTGTCCCTCGCCGTCCGAAAGGGTGCTTCGGAGCAAACAGTCATTAAGTACACCCAGTCAGATGCCACATTGTCGGTTGATCGAACAGAGAGTGGAGATATCTCGTATGACCCGGCCGCAGGTGGCGTCCATACCGCCAAGTTGGAAGAGGACGGCACCGGACTGGTTTCCATCCGGGTGTTGGTGGATACGTGTTCTGTAGAGGTTTTTGGCGGACAAGGAGAGGCCGTCATTTCCGACCTCATCTTCCCGAGTGACAGTTCTGACGGTCTGGCCTTGGAGGTAACTGGCGGAAATGCAGTGCTGCAGTCGGTGGACGTGCGGAGTGTTTCACTTGAATGAAGGAGGCGTGGGAGGCTGCCAGACGGGGGAAGGGGATTAAGACGGTGATTGAGGGGCCTAGGTAGGAGGGTGAGGACTGGATGTTGAAGTTGTGCTGTCTGGGCTAGAAGTATACGAATAAAAGTCCATGTTTCAAGTGGAACGAATAAGTTGGAGATGCAGTGCAGACAGGTACCCAATCCTTGCTCCAACATGGCATTCTCTTCGTACTAAGTAGCTACCTTTATCTGCTCAAAACTCTTATGTTGATTACCCATTATAGATGATAACAAGCCACGCATTATATCCCCCACCTAATCCAGACGCACGGGAATGATGAGGGCGTAGCACCGGACTAGCAATGAGGAGCGAGAGCACTGAATCATGTAGTGTCTGCACTGTAGGGACACAGTCTCCTACTATGATTATGTTCACCGGGTAATTGATGAGGCTGGTGGTGGCTCCGAGTCACCCCTTTCAGATCATTATTCCCGGGTAATGCGAGCAAAGTGCCATTCATCTCCTGGATGATCATGTAACAGACACGCCACCATCTATATTGCCTCCCCGCTCGCATCACCTTCCTAAGACGGGGAAGATATGGTCTAGCTTCATGTATCAGCACCACGGTTTTCACCCTCCACAGTACCAATGACTCCTTGCCACAGCGCTAGGCGTAATTGCACTTGGACCAGACAGGATATGGGAGACAATACGTTAAAGGCAGGTTCAACCGGTGGACATCTAACCAGGTCCAGGCTGGTGCTTTACTAGCATGGGCAGGATACTACGCCTCTACTCTTTCAATTACCCGGCCCAGCCCATGTAAGTGATAGATGCATTAATCTAGATCCTAATCCCGATATTGCTTGAGTCTGGAGTTGAGATCCTCCTATTGCTTCAGCCGACTAGTCTTCAAGATCACGTATCCATAAAGCACCGAATACTACCTTCCGTCTCAGGGAGTTGACGCTGGGAATATTAACATCATAGTACTACTTCTAGTTAATCTAAATTGATGCAGACCTGATTAGCAGATTTACGCAAATGTGCCCAAATCAGGCAGGCGACAATAGATCTCAAGCCATCGCGATTAGAGAAGATCTCCTAGTTATTGAAATGCGTACACCAGTCAGGATGACATACTATCACCGGCATAACACTAAACTAGTAGTGCTGATTTGAGCTGAACATACCTCGCACGGACTCCAGTCAACTCCTCCTCCAGCCGCGCAAGCGTTTAATATATGTTCCGGATTCAAGCGGCTGTTTATTGGGAGTGGAAAATATATCCTTTGCTTAGCCCCGCAGCTGAGATGTCCAGCTTTATGTTCTACTTAGTAGTTGAGTCGGTTACGGTTAGTGATACACTAACCTCAGATCCAACGCCGCGGCTGCATTAGTGCCGGTCAGGGCAAATCGTGCGAAGAGGGCCAAATTGCCACCTTCATACAACGTAATGGTAGGTCATGTGCATCAGAGGGCTGGGGTATCTGCATCGCTTATATTGCTGCGGAGACATCGGGATTTGAGATACAAATAACGCAATTGCAGGGTAGGGAAACCAATTCAGCCCGTTGCATCCGCTATTTGTCTTCGTGATGGTAAGTCCTCGGACTTTGAGCTGTGAACAGTGCGACTAGGTTGGAATAGTATTCGACTGTGGCGTTGTCTGTACCAAACTACGCCGTGGGATCATCGGGCTTCTTCGATCGGAGTCACCGAAGTAATTTGTGAGAGGAGCTGAAGATGATGGAAACCTCGGAGTCGTGACGCGATGGCTGTTGAGGTATAATCACTCAAGTGGCTGTTGAGTTGCTGGACATAAATCGCGACTCGCCCCGGTGGATGTCAACTCATCTCCAGAGCATCGCAAAGTCTCTATTCATTCCTCTAGGAAGTCGCTTTCTTCAATTGTCTGAATTGTTTAAACAAGATCAACCAAACTCTTTACCTTACCACTTCAAAGTATGTAGACAGTCGTCTCGAAGTTCCAACTATCTTGCTGATGATCATTATAGAGTCCAAGATGCCTGACATCCCCTGGAGATCCGGTGCCGGCTACGACCACCGCGAGTATAAGGTCAACGGGACTGATCTAGTCGGCGAGGTCAAAAAGACCCTCTACAGTATCGCGGGAGATCAAAGCTTATATGCAATCACCGATATTCACTCTGATGGATATTACTGGAGCCTGGTGTCGTCTCTCAAGAATGACACCGCCGGCGAAGACAAAGTCACTGTGTCCTATACCACCGAGCTCAAGGTCACGGAAGGCACTGAGAAGGAATTGAACGCCAACCTTGGACTCGAATTCAAAGGCCTCAGCGTTGGATTTGGAGCTTCCACCAAGACCTTCACCCAGACTGAAACGACTGACAGCAAGACGTATACCGAGGAGATCACCGTCCCAGCGGGAACGACCGCTTATCTCTACCAGAAGGTATACCGGTTCAGGACGTGGATGTGGTTCATCAACGATGCGTGGGCTGAACTGAGTCGAGTTGGCGGCTATAACAACTACTCGCCTACTCATGTGGATGGATATGTTGAGATTCATGCTATGGAGTGGTTTTCGAGCCCAACTGAATTGGATGGTTCGGGTACCACTACTGTCGACGCTATCACGAACCAGGTCGAGTACAAGTGGACGAGACAATTCAATAACACGACTGAGAAGTGCCGGGAATATCTCGAAAGTCATGGCGCTACTATTCCTAGTAGCTAAATGTGTTGTGTCTTCGGCCAGATGCCTCAACATGGGTTTTTATCCTTTCGAGGTTTTTCCCATGTTATCATGCGAATGCAGGGGTGTTTTGGGTACTGTATTTAGCCTCACTTTATCTTGTTGTTTTGATTGTATGCTTGATGATGTGAGAAATGAAGAAACTTTATGAGTACCACCAAAGTATCTAATCCGTCTTCGTCATACTATAGGCCTTGGTCTGGTTAGTCTAGATGGAAACTATCGAGTGTAGCAGCTCATGATGACAGGGTTAAAAGATTTGGGGGTTACACAGTATAGTACTATTACTCCGAAAAGCACATATTGGTCCTAGTGTTACTCATGTACTTATGGCCTGTAAGGGTCAACAATGGGCATCCTCCTTAACACAAACTAGTCAATAGCAGGCTTGTGTCGTGGAGATGCCTCCCTTGCTTCACCGGCCAAGATCTGTCTTGTAGTACTCTGTAATGGCGTTCATAGCCCAGTCATGACAGAATAGATTCGAAATTCATCATTGCTACTAAAGTTCATCGGAACCCGTTGTAAGACAGGGCCCACCATGGCTCATGAGGGAGGTCGGAGAGTACAAGTAAGCGACTGTGATCACAAGCAACAAGAAGGGACTATCCGAATTGGGACTGGCGTCTTCCCTGATGTTCCCACCGGCTGACTCATCACCCGAGCTTGTCTTGGCGCCTGAGGCCCCCCCCGAATGCTCGTGATATCAGCCTCGCAAGAACCCCAGACCCCAGAAATAACGAGTCACATACCCATCTTCACCTCGAGTTTGACCCCTATCTTCGCTGCGCAGACTTACAAATAGAAAGGGAGGTTCGTTCAGCTACTACTATCTCGCCTCGCTAGCTAGCTGCGGCATGCTCCGCAGTCTGTCAAGATGACCAGGCTCCGCGGAGCTTCCGTGAGCTCGTATGAGGTTTCGCACGGAGGCATCGACCGACCCCAGTTCCACCGCTCCAAACTACCTCCCAACGCACCCGACGTGATCGCTCAAAATACCGTGGACATCTCCGACCCTGCGCAGGTTCTTTTATGGTGCAGGGATGAACGCCGTCGCCAGTTTAACCTCCTGGTCCGCAGGTAACGTCTTCTCGATGACGCCGTGCATGCGCTGGCCCCGCTGACGGGAACGCTTCTAGGTACAAGAACCAACTCCTCTACGGCTGTCAGGATCCTGGCTGCCAGACGCCAACTTGCGCTAGCTATCGAAAACGCGTGACCGAGGGACCTTTTCGTCGGTATACTGAGCTGAGTGCCCGCACACTGGCTTGCTATTTGGCTAGCTTGGATAACGCGGAGGACGGCTTGTGTCGCAACCTCTCTCGGGTTCCTCATGAGCTTTCACCGCATGAGTATCAACGCCGATCGAAACGACGGAGCCGCGCTTTGCCTTCGAATGAGCCTGCGAGAGAATGTACCGAGCCACGAACTGGAGACCATACTGGTGTGGACGGGGTGCTAAGGTCATCGTCGGTTCGGAACGTCAAGTCTCCCAGTACTAATGATCGAAATGGTCGGAGTTTGTCTCCATGTGTGGAATCTCAGGACCAGTCGGCGGTTACACCGGAGGAGGCACCTGCAACACAACGAATGAAAGACCCGAAGTCATTCACCCAGAACTTGTTCGATACCTTATCGCTGAGGATGATCGAGTGGTTACCTCTACGACGCTCTCCCAGTTCGCTCGGCCCGGATTCAGATCATATAGACACCCGTCCCGAGTCCCGATCGCCAAAGCCGGGTTGGGATGAGACCCAGCCATACTCAAATAAGCCTAGGCCAAATTTAACTCGACAACGGACACCTCAACATACTGTGCCTGCAAATGGGGCTCCCCAAACTCCCTCATCGCGCCATGGGAATGGCCAGCTGACTGCGCTGGAGTTGAGACTCCCTAACCAGCAGGTTAAGCGACTGTCGCTCACGGACGTGGACCAGTGGCGCCAGAACCCGCGCACAAGTTTGGAGGAGAAATCATATCAGGAGCTGAAACCCGCCCGCAAGCTCACTGTCAACACACACGTCAACAGTGATGAAACACACAATGTCCCTTCGCCGCCTGCCTTGCGGCACCGTCCGCAGAAACATCGGGGGAGAACGGCAGACGGGAACTGTGCCCTTCCGCAGGAGCAGCAGAAGAAAGGGCGGCGTGTTTCATGGGATGGCGCGAAGTATCTAAACAATGTCCTGCTCGATGAATCCGATAAACCCGAGCCTCAGAGCGACGAACAACCTCCTCCGGAGACAGAGTCCCCCAGTGCCAGAAAACCGAAGCGCCGGAGCCCGACCCACAGAAGTGCTATGTCGAGTATCCAATCTATATCTCACCTGACGGACGAAATAATCGACGGCATGACGCAAATGATGATACTTTCTGAGGATGAGGCAGAACTTTGGAAAGAAGAGCTGACCTACATGGAATCCACCGGGAGCTTTGAAGAATCCGAGTGGCGCTTTGCGACTCCTCGTCAGCGTGAAGTATTTTCCTTCGTTTCACAGAGCGTCTTCTATGCACTGGGAAATACCAAACAACTTCTTCTATCATTCCGTCAGAAATCGGCTGGTCCGATTGGGATGAGCGAGGGCCACCCCAAGCCCAAACTTGATCTCCAACAACTGCAACCGTCGCTCCGTAAGTTACTCCGCATCTGCCCCCGAGATATTGTCTTTCACAGTCTCTGGAGCGCTGCGGAAACGCTATTTATCCCACCCAAGGAACTTTCGATGTCAGGTAAACTTTCCCGCCGTTCGTCCTACAACTCGAGCAATGCCGCATCCAGCGCACCGATCATTCGTCGATCCGATTCGGAGGGCAATGAGCATTTTACGGATGCCAATGCTGCTGATGTTGCTACACTCACCATTTTCGCCCTGGCTAGCTCTCTTCCCGAGATAGATGCACCCACATGGCGAGCGATTCTCCAAATGCGCGCGGCGGGGGGCGTATCCTCAAGTTCGGACATGCAAAAGCTCTCAGTACCCAGGGCCCGTCTTGTGGTAGAAACAACTGATATGCTCGAGCATGAGCTGGCCCTCCGGCTACTCGATCGCTTAGTTCGCGCTCTCACGGCACGATTGGCGTTCCATGAAATATCAAAGGCGCGACAGGTGTATTCCCGCGACCTACCGAAACAGCGCAAGAACAGCGTTCTGGATCTGATTGTAAACAATCTCAGCGAACATTACGGGGCAATGACGGCTGCCATTGGCGACTTGGATCACACCCCCCCTCCTGGCGCGCCTGCTTTTATTGCCGAGTGGCTTCGAACCCTTCTCCTTAAAGAATGGGATGGCAACCCGGAACTGTCGAAGAGCAGTTCAGCTGGCGGCGCCGTTCAGATTCTGTCATTGTTGTACAAGGAGCGCAGTCGCTTAGGCCTGATACCCGAGGATTTCCACACCCCGTTTCTATCCGACAGGTTGGAGCCTTTGGACATGCCTGTGGAGTGGATGGGTAGCCTTCCGAACAACAAGACAATGCATCTGTTGTCCTATCCATTCCTATTTCCTCCATCAGCGCTGGTGATCTACTTCCGAGCTCTCAACTACGCGGCCATGTCCAAGTACTACGAAGCCGCAATGACTACGACGAGACACGTGACACAAACTGCCTTTGGACCCATCCAGGTTCAGGATGACGTCGGGTTGCTTGCACAGTTAAAGACGTCGATGTCTACATACCTGGTCCTGATGGTCCGGCGCGACAACATTCTTAGGGATGCTCTCAATCAGCTCTGGCGCCGCGAAAGACGGGAGCTTATGCGGCCATTGAAGGTACAAATGGGTATGGATGAGGGCGAGGAGGGCCTTGATCACGGTGGTGTTCAACAGGAGTTTTTCCGAGTTCTGATGGCAGAGGCACTGGATCCGTCCTTTGGCATGTTCACGACGGACGCGCGAACCCGGATCTCATGGTTCCAGCCTTGTTCGTGGGAGCCCTTGTACAAGTTCGAGCTGCTTGGACTTCTTATGTCTCTGGCTGTGTATAATGGACTCACGCTTCCAGTCAACTTCCCCACTGCTTTTTACCGCAAGCTACTCGGACTCAAAGTGAAGCACCTAGAGCACATCCAGGACGGATGGCCAGAACTCACCAAGGGACTGGGAGATCTCCTCACGTGGGAGGATGGAGATGTAGGCGACATATTTATGCGGACTTACGAATTCAGCTTCGAGGCCTTTGGGGTTGTAGAAACAGTCGACATGCAAAAGGTAGACAAAGATGCCCCTTGGCCTGTCTCGTCTACGCCAGCCCGTGCCAGGAGCGGGTCGCGGTCGCTTGGGTACTCGCCTCCATGGTCGGAGGTCCGCCATTTTGCTGATCACGCCGACCTCAGCCCCCCATCTTCGATGGCAGCAGAGACAGCGGGCTCATACGGGGAAGCCACGAAACCCATTGACACGCTGGTCCCAGCCCAATCACCAACGCCGCCCGCCGACGAGGCCAGCTTGGTGACCAACAGCAACCGTGCCCAGTTCGTCAAGGACTATATCTTCTGGCTGACAGATAAATCCGTCCGGCCCCAGTTCGAGGCGTTTGCTCAGGGTTTCTACACATGCCTCGACCGGACGGCTCTCTCCATATTTACACCGGAAGCACTGAAGACTGTGGTAGAGGGAATTCAGACAATTGATATCCGAGAGTTGGAGCGTCATGCGCGGTATGAGGGCGGGTTTGACCCCAGCCACCGGGTGATCAGGGACTTCTGGAGTGTTGTACGGCGGTACTCAGCCGAGAAAAAAGCGCAGCTGTTGGAGTTTGTCACTGCCAGCGATCGGGTGCCAGTCAATGGGATTGCGAGCATCATGTTTGTGATTCAGAAGAACGGAGTAGGAGATGCTGTAAGTTATCGGTCACCAACAATAACATCGGGCCTGATACTAATCGTCGCAGCGCCTTCCCACGAGTCTGACCTGCTTCGGTCGCCTCCTGTTGCCGGAATACTCATCCCGTAGTGTCCTAGAGGAAAAGTTGAGCAAGGCGTTAGAAAACGCTCGGGGATTCGGCGTTGCTTGATTTTGGGGATTGGCTTGGATGTTCTGGTTTTTTTTTGGAATGGACATACCCTTTGCTGTATATGCCGTGCTTGACATACCCAATTCTACATAGATAGTATTAGTCCAATTGTGATCGGAGGTGTCACATCTGGCCAATGGACAAATTTATTTCCGGAGTAGTCGTTCTTCCCTTTAAATCCTTAGTCAAATTGTAGATGGTGATAATATTCGCACGAGTTGCCTGGTGTTGGTGGTCGGTCGGGCAAATTTGCCGGGCAGCCCGTGTCGAGGAACCAAAAGCCACAACCAAGTTCGACTCCCATTTGCTCTTCCTCCCTTGTCTGTCTCCCAAGTACCGTTAGAGATCAAAGTTATCTCTTTCTTGTTTCTTTCGCTGAAATCTTTGCCTTCCATGTGATCAGCCCGCTGACCGGCCATCTCGGGTCTGGTCAGGAAATCACTGCTCCGGATGGCTTCGCCCCCCATTTGAGTCATGGTGATGGAGGGATTTGACTGGTTGGGCGACACGGTGTGCAGTGGTCCGCTTGGATTGGCAGACGTCTAGGGACGGCCCTTCTTCGCGGGACCCATATAAACCGACCGGTCTCTCCTCGACCGCGCGAACAGATTCCCTCCAGGAAGAATACTATCGTGCACGGAGTCCCATTCCTTCTACGCTAAAGGACTGCAGCTTGCACCCTGTCCATCACCGAGCCCCGCTACCCCACGTTTGTGCTCCATTCTTCCCTCCTTCGACTCCTCCGGCCCTTTTGCTCTTCTTCCTGCTAACTTGCCTCCCTCATTAACAGTCATAGTAGACAACACAATGCCTCCCATTATCCACTGCGTCCGTCACGCCCAGGTACGCCTCTATCCGCCAGCTTTTTCCACCGATCGGCGCGGTCGCTAACAATTTCTCTCAGGGCGTGCACAACCTCTGCGTCGCCAACCACGTCGTCCCAGACCCCCTTCTCACCGATCTCGGCAACGAACAATGTCGTAAACTCCGCGATACTTTCCCTCGCCACGCTCAGGTCGACCTCGTCACGGCCTCCCCACTCCGTCGCACCATCTACACAGCCTTGCAGAGCTTCGAGCCCGTGTTCCAGTCACACCCAGACATGAAGCTGATCGCTCTTCCGGATGCTCAGGAGACGAGTGACGTGGCTTGCGACACAGGAAGTGATCCGGAGGTGCTACGCAAGGAGATGGAGGAAAAGAACGTCCCGATTGATTTGGGATTGGTGCATGATGGGTGGAACAATAAGGTCAGTTGTTATTCTACCTGAAGTGGCGACGGGTTTAGTTAGCTGACCAGTGGCGTGGTATAACCATATAGCAAGGCAAATACGCACCTACTCACAAGGCCATCAAGGAGCGGGCGCGGGCAGCTCGCCGCTGGCTGAAGGCGAGACCGGAGAAGGAGATTGTCATTGTCACCCACGGAGGTTTCCTGCATTACTTCACGGAGGACTGGGAGGATAGTAGCCAGTACCAGGGTATGTGCTTTGATGTGGCAGTGTGCCTCCTCAGTGTAGACAAAGGCTAATGATGGAACAGGAACCGGATGGGTCAACACCGAGTACCGGACGTATGAATTTACAAAGGAAGTTCACACAGATGACCTCGAGGGATACGAGCTGGACGGGGACAATGCAACTCTGGTGGAGACCATTGAATCGCGCGAGCGACGTGGGAAGTCTGGGCCTATGCCGGACCGCGAGCAGCAGAAGATGCTGTACGAGAAAGGTACCCAGGGATGGGACGACCAAGGCTTGCAGCTGAGTATTGCAGAGCGGGAGGCGGCCAAGGTGCCGGAGGGTACAGAGGTGGATGGTGTTCGAGTATAGATTCCCTTGTTGTCAGTTTCTTTGTAGAGTATAGAGCATGATGTGGAAGATGCCGGTATACAGGTTTAGATCAAAGATCTGATGCATTGGATTATGAATTTAACACATTGCTCTTTGTCTTGCTCTTGTTTTACCCACAATGATTGTTGTCTGAAGCTGCACAATGAAGTGCATAGGTACCTGACTGTTAGTATAGCTGGTCGATCTATAAAAATGGCCACCGCATAGCAATTCATTCAGAATGAATGAAAAATCCTTCAAAAAGACATTTTGATGCTTCTAATGTATATAGAGGCTTGACGTTCACATAAACATCCCAACTTTCTGTAGCATCGGTTCCAGCCCATCGGCATTGCTTACTGACCGGACTGTCTACCATGTCACGATTGATAAGCGTGCTTCTGATCCTACGAACACAACAGTAGTGATCACTGATCTATTTCCAGACAACACCGAAGCGCAACACCGACTGACCAGCACTTAGTTTCGGGTAGGTCTCCCACAATCATGCATATAGCAACTGTGTTGCGAGCTCATGTTCAAATTCATGCGTGTCTACCTCATACGGCTCCACGTCACACCAGACCTAACAGCAAACTGACCAGTATATGCATACAAATCCCTAGATGCAAAGCACTCATACTAATAGCCAAGATCACTCGATGACTGCCCACGCGTCACTACACAGAGGTACGTCAGCGTTATCTGCTTGGCTAACGGACTCCAGGCCCCCAGCATGGACTCGCACCTCATCGCGGTGCTGGGGTCTAGTAGTCTGTGTTATACAGGCGAAGCAAAGACGAGTCCAATTCATTGTCGAGGATGGTTGTCTAAAGTGGATTGCTGTGCCTTGCTTGCTCCCAGCCCCAAGTACTGATCTAGATGATTGAAGTTGAATAGATACTCTGCATATCAAGGCACGAAACATATCTGCCTGCAAGGCTTACTCTTTTCTTTTGCGAGCGAAGCTCGAATGGCATGGTTCCATGAGAATCCCGCCCACGCGACCCACCACAAAAGGTTACCTCGAGCCGATTAAGAGGCAGTGCGACTTGACCGACTAAGAGATAGTCCGGAGATCGGCAGCTTCGTCACCACCGGAGATCCCTTCATGATTGGGACCCTTGAACGGGGTCTGCATGCCATATGAAACTGCAAACCATCCGATGATGGCTGCCTACAGTACCCACGATACTGCTGGGTACGCAGATCGCTGGTACTTTTCCGTACCGCGATGGATCTCCCCAGCTAAATTGCCTGCCAAGGCACATAGTAATACCGGGCGGTACCTGGGTGAGGGTGTTATTTATAGCGGTGGGGCAGTGCCCCGTACTCGTTTGCATGCCTGAGGCTACACTAGGCCTCATTCCTCGACGTCTTTCTTTCTTCTTTCAATCGCCCTTTCTTTCGTGCATCTCGCCTCGCATTTCTTATAAGACGAACCCAATGGCATTCGGACCACGGGTCGCGCAGAGAGTCCCGTTGAATTAATCCATCCCGGCCCAGATCTAAAAATGCTAGACGAGAACCTTCCCAGTATGTCCTCCTCTCACCATCACTCCTGACTCCACTCTATCCCTCCTTTGACGTCGCTTGCTAACCCAAGCAGCCTTCTACCTCAAGCACAACAAGCAATCCAAGCTTTGGAGCGTCTATCTCTGTCAACACGGAAACGACCCGGAACCTGTCTACTCCCTCCGCTACCCGGATCCTTCCTCCCCTTCCTCGCACAACCGCTATGCCTCCGCCCTCTACGACCCTTACGTCTCCGACATCCTCTTCGGCGAGGTCCTGATCATCCCGGAATGGACTCAACCTAGTCTCTCTGCGGAGGCCATCCGTCAAAATGGCGGCGTTCCACCCCCTCCAGAACCCATCCTTCCATCCCGCTTCACCATCAACCTCTACAACCCCGACCAGCAAGTGACGGTGCACTTCAAGCCCAAAACCTGGAACAGTCCTGCGACATGGACCTTCGAGATGCCCCAACATAGCTTCCGACAGCCCTCTGCATCTACCCTCGACCGCACCCACCCCGACCCGGCCTCGGCTGATACCACCCCCAAACTGCGCTTCACCTGGCGCAAGGACAGCAAACTGTCTAAAGACCTGACCTGTCTCTTGTCCGGGAAGACGACTACAATTCCGGAATCCAAGACCAAAAGCAAAGAGCCCGATATCACCGTATCCATCTTCAAGGCGCTCCGCGAACTGACCCTGTACGAACCCAATCTCTACCGCGTGGAAATGGAAGACTTCAAAGGTCTCGAAGTCGTTCTCCTCCTTAGCGCAATAACCATCCGCGACGTATACTTTGCGTCCATGAAGGACGCATTCCATGTCACCAAACCCGCCCACATGACGAGTACACCCTCCCCGACCAAGACAAACTCCAAACCCCTCCCCTCCGTCCCAGCAGCGTCAGGGGCACTTAACGCTGTACAGCCAAAGGCCGAACCCCAACCCCAACCCCAACAACCACAACACCCACCCGCTGCATCCACAAAATCAAACCGCCAACGCGAAGAAGAACGACGCACCCAGCAACTCCTCGAGGAAGAGGAAAAGGCGCGTCGCAGACGCAAGGCAGAGAGACAGGCCGAAATCGACCGGGAAACTCGTCGTCTCCAAATGCTCTACGGACAAGAGGAGGACCAAGTACGCAGACACAGACAGACGCCATCACTACCACCTCGTCCACAGCAGCCCGGACAAACCCTCCCCTTACGACCAGCCAACCAGCCCCATCACTCTTATCCTTATCAAGACGGTCGTCAACGGCCACAGGCAGGCCCGTATATGACTGCTCCCGGCTTGGATCCGCGGCGTCAATCAGCCGTGAGATTTGCCTTGCCAGCAGAGACACCGGGACCGGCGGCATCATCACCGGCATTACAGCCTAAGAAAAGTAGTTTCTTTCGATTACGACGTTCATCAGCTGATGAGGCGAAGCTGAGCAAGAAAAGGAGTTCGATGTTCTAGTTTTATGATTTTTTTTCCTGTACATGGCTTTTGATACCCAACTTGCATTCTATTTCTTGTACATAGATCTTACTTACACTTTCTTCTCCATTGATGCTCGAACTTTGCCTCGTTTGGTCCGTCTTTGGTTATGGGATGTTTGGGATTCAACATTGCATTTATCTTCAATAAAGAAAACCTTCAATGGTGAGAACCACACAATTTATAGTCCAAGTAGGCAATATCAACCAAGTCAATAAGACAGCCATCATGATACCGTACATAAACTACTCAGAAATACAATGGAGTACTACTGAAATTACTAGTTATTCAAACGACACCAACAAACCCACCCCCATTCTCCCCTTCCCTGCCATATCCTATACTGAATAGCCACCCAACCCGAGAGAACTCATGCCCTCCAACAAAGACCGCCTCTACATATCCCTCCACGCCCGCGGAAGCGGAAGTCGTCCCACGATGCCAGGAAAGGAAGATCCGTGAGTACAACAACATCATCATCAGGGTCCAATACGATCCCTACTCTCATCTCTCCCCCACTATCTAACTATCTAACTAACTAGGTCCCTAACCATCGTCCCCAAACACCCAACCCTCAAATCCAAACACATCGGCACCAGCATAACATACCACGCGCGCGAGATACCCAAACCCACACCAGACAACACCGGAATAGTATTCGCATGGACATACGAAGAGCGCAGCTGCGCACTTGACACGATGGTGCTCGTGCGGATACTTATTGGGAAGGTTGGTGGATCGGGACCGGGTGATTAGGATCTTGCGGGGTATTTCTGTGCGAAGGGGGAGAGCAGGCAGGATGGAATTGTGTTTCTTGGGTGAGGGAGGCGTTGGTGGGGATTAAGAATGATGATGATGGGGAGGGGGAGTGTGTGTTCTTGGGGTTGGAGGAGGTGAGGGATGCGGCGATGGGGTATGTGAGGAGGAACTTAGTTGAAGGTTGAGCATCGGTTTGATGGCAGGGGAGGAGGGAGTTTTGATGTCGGTACGGTTGCGATGTGGGATTTGGTGCGGGGGAGGGAGGTTGTTGGATCGAATAGGTTGGTGAGTTAGTGAGTGGGTTTGAGGTTAGATGTGTGGGTTTATTCTGAGGCTAGTGTTTACTTATAGAGGTTGGGGTTATAGAAATAGATTCTTTTATATTGTCATTTTGTCATTGCTATTTAGCGATTGCAGCTGAAATATCTAGAGTGAATGCTAGCTAGTACATGGCATGGTTTTGATGGACATCTGAGCCTTACGTGGTCGCACACTCAACTGTGGAATAATTCCAAGTCTTACTAGCCAGAGCCCTGACCAAGTCATGATGGAGCATCAGCGTTTCGTCCGGTTCCTGCAGATATTCATAGTCCAATTTCATAGCCTGACATTTGGCCCTTAGCCCCCGTTCCATTGGTGGCCAGTAACGTAGCGATTTGTCCATGTTTGGCTGCACTTGCCTCATTTCCCTCAGTGCCATGAGAATCTCGCACAGGAAACGATAAGACTTGCGGTGACAGAGATCACTCCTGAGAGCCTCACCATGTCTTCTAGTATCATGGTCTAATATCTTCATAAACTTATCGAAGGGAGGTTGCAGCTCTTTCGGCTCCACATATGAATAATTGGTGCTATCCAGCCCCATACCTCTTGCCAGGTAAACCATCATATCATACCAAGGGTCTGGAATATCGACCACGGACAGATTCCATGCGCAGAACATCACGAGACTCTCCACGTATCTGGCTGGCACTGGCATTTTCACGGGCCAGCTGTTCTCTGGCGGCATATCGCGCACCTTGAGAACATGCTCCACCGGTAGTCGTCTGTCCGAGGTGAGCATGTAATACTGATCGTTCTTTCCAGGTTTACCGAGGGGAGGGTCCGGGAAACTGGGGCATCGGCTACTCTTCTTGTGAAGATGGATCTCTTGCACCTTAAAGACACCGTATTCGAAGCAATATTCGCCCGGCGTCGGGGTTTTCCTTTCTCCTGGCTCGCGTTCGGAATAGGGTTTTCCAGTGTGGAAGGAACAACTCAAGGCATGAGCGGCCAATTGAACGAGGTTATCTGGGACTACCCAGCCTGGTGTATCCCATTTATCTTTGATGCCCATCATGAGATGAACACCTTGACCCCAGATAAAGTTGGGAATGTTGGCTTTGTCCAGCACACTGCTCACCTCACCCTCGATCCTTGTGTTTCCCTCAAGAGGGAATCTGATTTCGGGGTTGGGCATTGACATTCTGATGTAGGTTCAGGAAAAGCTAAGATCTTGAGTATGGCTTTTGGTAGAGATTTATCCCGGAGTAGGATGCATTGGCCTTATATACTGGTTGCCGCAATTTTATGGGTTCATGTACCTTCCGATAAGTTGCGCAGCTAGATGCGGAGTGTTCCCTGGGGATCTATTCAGCTTCACAACTTATGATTACTATCTGCCATGAGTTGGGAGACTCACACAGCTGGTTCAGTTGGCTTGTGTTGCACCACAAATGAATGACCGGAGATTGCCCTGCTCCACATCATTTTGGCAGGTATAGGTGAGAAGGTGGAGAAGCACCTTTTCCAGGTTGAGGCATTCACCGTGGGCCAGGCACCTTCACCAGATCTTCTACTCTGGTCTGATCCTCACACTTGAACACTCCTGCGAGGATCTCGGAGACTTGGATAGCCACGAATCTGACCCTGATTTTCCATCTCTCTCTCTCTCCCAAATTGCTGTCTTGCGGTGTCACTTTCACGGTGCATCCCTATACTGTCAGCTGTATAGGACCTCCATACCTGTTCTCTTAGAGAGAAATTAATATAGGAAATTCCCCGTGTAGTTTTAGCGACGATTTGTATTTCGAGAAACGCAAGGCTTCAGATGCTTTCCTTCTGAGATTCCTTCACCGGGTTATTGGTGGATGTTTGTCTGCTTCAGGTGAGCTTAAGATCTTCATCTTCAAGTAAATATATTCTCTCGCCATGAAACAGCTTTCTATCCTATCAACAATACTTCCCCTTCTTATGAATATATATACAGTATATATACCCACTACGATAAAGCCCTCCCCTCAACACCCTCTAGAGTGATATTCACCGGTAGGATTTCCCCAGCCTCATTGAAGTACATGCGATCTATACAAGTCACGCGATGATCCCGGGCCGTGTCGTTGACATATCGACGATGATAGACAATATAGTAATCTTGTCCATCCGGCGTAAACACACTATTGTGCCCAGTACTCGTGCCAACGGCATCATTCCCTTGTAGAATCTTCTTTGGTGTACTCGAGAACGGCCCCGTCGGCGAATCAGCCGTGACATAACTGACCCCGTATGAATTATCGCCCCATCTGCTCCCAGACAGGCTGCGTTAGCATCTCCACGAGAACCATGCCTGTTTCTTCGAACACACAGAAATCTGCAGAGATAAACTTACCCCCCAACCGAAAACATATAATAATATATCCCATTCCTCTTCAACATCCACGGTCCCTCCACATAACCCTCCGGGGTAATCTCCAAATAATCCCCCTTCAGACTAATCATATCCTCGCCCAATTCCACAACAACTGCATGACTCCAACCCCCAAAATACAATCAATTCCGGCCATCATCATCTTGAAATATCTGGGCATCAATGGCCTCCGCCCCATACACTGTACCATTAACTAGAGGTTCACCGAGGACGTCTTCATAGGGACCCTCAGGTTTTCCCGTGGTCGATTTCGCAACACCGATGCCAGTTCCATCACCAACGGAAAAATACATGAAGTAGTCATATTCTTCTTCGGCGTTGGCGGAGGAGCGGAGTTTCCGGCCGACGGACGGGGCCCAAGCGGCACGGTTCGTTGACCAAGGGATATCGGTGATGTTTAGGATGGTGGGATGCTTGGTCCATGTGAGTAGATCGGGGGAGCTGAAGGCATCGAAGAAGGTTTGTTCGCTGTAGTCGGCTGAGTAGGTTGGGTAGATCCAGTACAGGGCGTTGAAGAGGCGTGCTTCGGGGTCGGCGTACCAGCCGGGGAAGACGGGATTGCCTGCTTTGGTGTTGGAGGTTGTGGTGGCGAGGAGATTCTGTTGGGGGTGCGACATGGTGAGTGGAAGTAGGAAGGGGAGGATGGAAAGGTAGGTGGATGGGTAGTAGTTGTGTTTCATGATGAGGGTGGTGGTGTGATGAGGGGAGAGAGGGCGCCAAAGAGACGGTGATAAAGGGAGGAGACGGGGTTGGGTATATAAGCAGGAAAGGGCGAGGATCGTTGCAGGAATGCGGGTGAGAATGCGGGGATGCGATACACTTCATGACAAGGTCGGCTGATTGGACTAGTGGCTTGGTTCAGTTGAAGATTGACAATCTCAAGGGAAGCTGCAGGGTTAGTGCACTTGGCACCTGGTCACTGGGATTTGAAACCATCATGCAATTTCAGACTAGTTGGCTATGTACACACTTATAGCTAATACTCCAGCGACTCTTCGAGCAATCCCCGCAGCTCGGCCTTTTCTGCCTCCAACTCCTTATTCAGCGTCGGTGCAAGTGCCAGCACTCGCTGCTGCGGAATCGTGCCCTCCACCAGGGAGTCAATGTCACTGGATTTGAAGCCCAGATCCTTCAAGCCCCGGGGCTGATCACCCAGCCGGACCAGGAAGTTGGCCAGCGCCTCACCCAAGACTTCACCAGCGCTTTCCCGTTTGACATTCGAGATGTCCACTCCAAACGCCTCCGCTGCTGCCAAATGCCGCTCTGGATTGGAGGCAGCTGTGAAGCGGAAAACAGCCGGCGCGGTCACTGCCACCGACACACCGTGGGGAATGATGGGATGGTCCACTGAATAGCCTGCATGCTTATAACCCGGGTTCTGACTGGAGATAGGGTAGCTCATGCCGTGGCAAAGATGAACGCCTGCATTTCCGAACCCAACGCCGGCCAGGGTGGCGGCCAGAAGCATCTGTGACTGCGCCTCGAAGTCATCGGGATCCTTAACCGCCCGGGGAAGATACTTGACAGTGCTCTTCAGCGCCTGCAGAGAGAAGATGTCGGAGATAGGGTTCGCACCCTGGTACGCGGGGCGGTTGATGGGATTAGTCGGACGAGGTGTCCGTTCATTGTATGGGATTGCCGTCCATGACTCTAGCGAGTGACAGAGCACATCGAGACCAGAGGAAGCATGGACCGCCGACGGCATGGTCCGTGTGTTGATCGGGTCACAGATACCCAGAGTGGGCTTCAAGTTGCGATGAGCGATGCCAGTCTTAGCCTTCTTGGACACGAGGTCAAAGATGGCAGTTCCTGTAGTCTCCGAACCGGTACCTGCTGTAGTCGGCACAGCCACTAGAGGCTTTAGCGGCCGGTTAACAGGCAAGCCTTTACCCAGTGGCGCATTGACGAAGTCAAGGAAATCGGCATCGGGAAAGACGGTGTAGAGATTCATCAATTTGGCGGTGTCAATGACCGATCCACCGCCTGCGCCCGTTAGCCGGATCAAGGGATGACTTGGGGACGATACTCACCTACGGCGAGGAAAGCGTCGGGGTTGTAAGGTTTGGCAAATGCAATTGCTTCCTTGACACTGCTACCATTAGCCATTGAAATTAAAGATGCGACTGGGTGACGAACGAGCTATCCTTGGGTTCTATCCGGACCTTGTCAAAGACGGTGAACTCAATCCCCTCACGCGATAGACCTTCCACCGCCTGTTTCATGGCATCCAGCTTGGCGACATTCTCATCTGTCACAATGCACACACGCTTTGCCTTCATGTTGGCAAAGTCCATTCCGACTTCTTTCGTGGCTCCAGGGCCGAATCGGATGCTGGAGGCGGCCATTTCAAAGGCATATTCCTTTTGACGGGAGGGGTCGACTGGGGTGGCCATATGACGACGCACATGGTCGCCTAGTGTGGGAGAGCGATGGTGATGGTGGTGATTGGGATTAGAATGGCAAGGACATGATGGAGGATGGGTGTATTGGACGGTACGCAGCAGGTTGCGAGCTCTGCTGGCAGCTGAAGGGGCGACGCGAACGGCGCTGACCATAATGCGGGGTTGTAGACAGGCAAGAGGTGAGTAGAGAGGTTAGAAGCAGATGAGAGGCAATCGAAGTCAAAGTAAATACCCGTAGATTGAAGAGAAGATAAAGAGGGAAGAAGAAGAAAGGTTAAGACAGGAAGAAGACAAGGAGAAAAGAAGCAGCCGAGGAGCGAAGCTGGAGATGGAGACCAAATGCGGGGATTCCTCGCTCGGACAGAAGACCGACTCCAACTCGCCCTCTCAGCCTCCAGATCTTCCTGCCCCTTTCAATTGTCACTCCACACCGACAATGCAGACGATCGCATGGGGACGACCATCTTCATTCGCTGCTGGGACCGAATGATGCAACTGGCTTGCCATCGCCCAAAAATAAGAACAGAAGAGTGGAATAGCCCTTGAAGCTGTCCCTTGGATCGGGGCATGGCGATACCCGAAATGGAAGTGCCGAGGTCCATCCCCATTCGGCGATTGACATCTCGGTGATGCCTAAGGGTTCCAAAGTATATGGCTATCAGATCAACCAAGCCGCCATACATACATATTCCTGCTGTAGAAACCCTTAGTATACACAACGCAGCTTCACCACTCTGGCCTTCTACGGACTCGTCAGACGACATACGCACTTCCCTCCACCCCCAGCCTGAGCTAAGGCCTCCGACCAGATCCCGTCCACCAATGAATGTCATTCCGCAGCCATCCTCTTCCGCACCCGCGGGCCTAATGGCCCGGGGATTAGCAATAGTTACCTTATCGACCTAGACGACATTCAGTGCACAGGTAATGTCATCAGCAGGGAAACTTGGCGGGGTTTGTGCCTGACAGTCAGGTCGCTGCAGTCGATCCTTCAACTACTGCATTCTCCCGATAAACTCACCCACCACCATCCTCACCCATTACTGCTGCAAAAGCTACACCCTCACCACCACCACCATGACACGAACGTCTCCCACTTCCTTCCAACAGCTGGAAAAGGTAAGCGCTACAACCACTCCTGGCAACAGCCCCCATACAGAACAACCGCTAACCACCCCAGCTCGGCGAAGGCACCTACGCCACGGTACCCCCACCCCCCATCATGAATTCCCACTCCCTCCTCACCTAACAGCACTGAAACCTGTAGGTCTTCAAAGGCCGCAACACCAAAACTGGGGAGCTCGTCGCACTCAAAGAAATCGCCCTCGACACAGAAGAAGGCACACCCTCGACGGCGATCCGCGAAATCTCCCTGATGAAAGAACTCCACCACGAGAACATCCTCCGCCTCCACGATGTCATCCATGCTGAGAACAAGCTCATGCTCGTCTTCGAATACATGGACAAAGATCTGAAACGCTACATGGATACCAACGGCGGCCAGCTCGAACCATCCGTCATCAAATCCTTCTCATTCCAACTCCTCCGCGGCGTCGCCTTCTGCCACGAAAACCGCATCCTCCACCGCGACCTCAAGCCCCAGAATCTTCTCGTTAACAACAAGGGGCAACTAAAACTCGCAGACTTCGGTCTCGCCCGCGCATTCGGTATCCCGGTGAACACCTTCTCCAATGAGGTAGTTACGCTTTGGTACCGCGCGCCAGACGTGTTACTAGGGAGTCGAAGCTACAGCACAAGTATCGACATATGGTCCATTGGGTGTATCATCGCAGAGATGTCTATGGGCCGGTCTTTGTTCCCCGGATCAAATAACGAGGACCAACTGCAGAAGATTTTTAAGGTCATGGGAACCCCATGTGAGACGTCGTGGCCTGGTGTGTCTAGGTTCCCTGAGTATCGGGCGGATTTCCCCCTGTATGTGGAGCAGGACTTGTGGGCACTGATGCCTAGGATGGAAGAAGATGGAATGGCACTCGTGAGGGAAATGTTGAGGTTGAAGCCTGAGAGGAGGGTTAGTGCTGCAGACGCGTTGAGACATTCTTGGTTTACTGATGGTCGGTTTTATGCCGAGGAGGGTGATCCCCACAATTATCTCTTGTCAGGATGATTGAGGGATAGGGTGGCTGGTGGTGTTTGTCGGTCTGTCTGAGGGGGTCGGTCATGCTAGGGGGTGATGCGGGTTAAATTAAAGCGGGGGATCTTCACCTCCAGGGTTAACTGCAAGTAAGGGAGGGATTTGAAACATTGGAGATAGGGAAATTCGGGGTCATGAGGCAGGAGTGAGCGAGACTTGCAATTCTTGGAGACCGATTATCAATTCTTCTAGGCTGGAGCTACTTAATACAACCATACTATATATATTTGCTTGACATTTCCTCCAGGTCAAAGAGACTAAACACACATCGAACCAAGCACTATTGAAGATAGGGGTATAAAATTGTGCATTAATAATTCACTAACTATATACATCTCACGAATATTAAAAGCTTCCTCAATCATGACATAAGACATGCAGAAAAAGATGCGTCAAGAATGAGAGGCATTACATGACCAACACATAAATCCTCCACGAATGATGATAAGACCTAGATTTTGATACTGCTCGATAGCCGTCGTAGGAACATCTCATGGCTTCTCATGCTCAGCGTGCACTTCGTGGCCAGCGGAGATGGTAGTCTGGGTTCCGCATGGATCAAAGAGGGTTCGGTCGGAAGAAGAGAAACCCTCTTCGGACGAGTTGGTCGATCCCTTTCCAGGTTCCTGACCGGAGTAGCGAATTCGAGACCAGAGCTTGAGGTTGAAAAGTGGTCGGATATGAGACATGCATGCCGCTGTGATTCCCACTGCTGCCTCCATGCATGTCCACACGACGACTGGGACTTGGTTGTCTACGAGGGATCATTAGCGCTTGTATGTGAGGCCAGAGGAGAGAAAAACATGTACTCACAAGTAATATCTGGACCGGCTTGCGTCAGCTCAATCATCGCGACCAGGCGCAAGATGTCGAAAATCAGGGTCCTAAATCAGGTCAATACGAGACAATCCTTTTGCTGATTCCAAAATCGGGGCCATACAGTATTCCGACTAGAAACACCCCCGACAGCAACAACCGTTGAGTCTTGGAAATGGGTAGTTCCCAGACGCTTTTCAGCGGCATGATGAGCAGAACCACATCTGTGAGGATGTTGGGAATCTGCTGGCCGTAGTAGTAGGCCACAGTATTGACACAGTGTCCCGGGACCGCGCGATCCCAGAATTTCTGAACCGGAACACAGTTCAGAACACCGCCAATGCTGATGCTCACGGCCCAGAGGACGACAATCACGGCAACAATGTTGGCAGCCATTTTCATGCTCCTAGCAGCGAATAGCCGCTTATAGACTGCCAGGATAGACAATTTAATGAACATGACGCAGAGTGTGTAGACGAAGGAGTTGGACCATCCGATCTGTTTGTGGTTAGTGATAACCATGGGATGAGGATCTGGAGACACGGACTTGGAAGTAAACCGTCAGGTTCTTTTGCGGGATCATCGTGATGTGGCATCCAAGGCCGTTCCATAAAACTGTAATGGTTAGACACATCGTGGGCAATCTTGGGTGATAATAACTTACGGATTGTGACACCGATCGAACAGCCATATTTGAAAAGCTTAATTTTAGTGACCAGTTAGCGTGAATTTCAAAGGATACAAGCGACGGCTATACCAAAGCTATTATCATAAGATAGTCATCCAGATACAACCTTGACCCAGTGATCTTTCTCGCGAGAAGGCGTAGGGCCACGGCAACCGTGGACATAATAAAGGCAAAATAAAGTGCAATGATGGTCGACCGACGTAAGTTCTGGTTTGGGTGCTGAAAGTCACCCTCGGTGCCTCCACCTGACACTTGTTCTAGCGACATTATGGGCAAGGATAGAGTATGGGCCGGTAAAGACTGCAGGTGATGGATGGTTCGTGGCTGTAGGTATTTGGAATCGAGGCAAACTGCAGACCAACGAACTCATAAATACTTTCTGACAGGACTATTTTTGGGTAGGGAGAAGGGCTGGTTCTCCAGGGACGTTGGATGTATCCTGATCTGCATGGGGCTACACACTCGGTGTCTATACATCACATCCTGTTCCAGGGCAGAGCCAATGACAGGCCAGCCAGGGGCTCTGTATGTCCATTTTCGAAGATACCGAGCCCAGGGCTGGTGAAGATCACGAAGGGGTGTTTGCTCCGTACGTCGGTTCACCCTCTAACAGAGAGGGCAGGGACTCCAAGGCAACCAAGAGGGGTACCCTCTGGACTCGGATTCGACATGTATCAGTCACTTGAGACACCGTTGAACCCCCTGCCAAGTGATAGACTGACAGGCTAACGAGGTACGGTAGTTGCAGCTTTGTCTGTGCGCCGCAGCCCTTGCTTCGTAGGATGCCGAAAACCTGGACAAGAGCCGGCAGTATCGAAGCCAATTGTATCCGTGGCACAGCACCATCTCGCGTGGCTGATAAGGTTTGCCAGGCACCGCGCGGATCGGATGTATCAACTTCCAGATGCGATGCATCCTCATATGGCCGAACTACTCCACTTTCATGCAGTTCAAGACTCAATTTCGGGTTCTTCAGCTGGTAAATTGAAGATAAAGAAAATTCTGGATTTCTCCGCGCTGTGGCTCTGATTATAGGACAATGTGGCATTGTTTGGCGGGATAAGCGAGCTATAAATTTCGCTTGCTATCGTGAAGCGCGTTAGCGTCACTCGAATCGATGGCCTGCTAATTCTCCGATTCCATCGTCTCATTATTCCCTAGTATTGGAGTTCTATCAGGTGTATGTAACGGTCGCGCCTCAAAGTCTCTGTATTGCAGCTAAAGGTCCTTAATTTACCACGTAGTCATCGCCCAGGGTTTCAATCCGCACATAAGACGCATCTTTTGCCTCGTACTATTCCAACAGTTCCTTTATTTCTAGCAGCCGTTATCCGTCATCAACGCACTCCACTTCATGGGGGAATCATGAGCAGTCATCAGAATCTGCCTAATTTATCGTCCTCGGCCTGCAGTAGACCTGTCAGCATTCACTGTCCACATTCGAATTGGCCTTATCTTCTCCTTAATGCAGTGTGCTGCTCCTTATTGAAGGCCGAACGTCAATAATCAGAATCATAATTTCTCCTTTTCATTTCCATGTTTCGGTGATCTGCCCTCTCTGTTCATTATCGATCTCTCTTTATCAAAGAGCTATAGGCAATAATATAAAAGCGCGATCCCTCATCTCTGGACGCCGTTGGATCAATTGTGCAACCTCAGATCAATAGTGATTTGGTATTGTGCAACACTATGAACCCAGGGGAGTGGTACACGGTTGCGATAATTTACACCATATATCGATCGTGCAGCATTAACGGGCGCAAATAGTTCCACCAATATGGTTGGTAGAATGCAAAGGCGTTAATGGAGAACACTAGCTCATAACGTTCGGACATATTATGAAGTCGCAAAACAGATATCGTGCCTGGCTTCGATCGCAACGGCTCACTGAAGACAGTAAGGCCAACAAGCGGAAAAGGGGAAATGAGGCCATTCTCCTCATAGTACAGTGCGTGGCTGGATCACCTGATTGGCAGTAAGCGATCTACGGGATCTTCCCCTGGAAAACACCTTCTTTCGGACGACCACCGAGCGAGTGCCTCAAGTACGATGAATCGATCCCCTAGCTGTTGTTCGAATTGATCTATTTCATTATCAATGCTTCTCGAACCTCGCGCCGGAAACAACTTCTTCAAGCAATAAAATATATCGTTGGACTTGCATCAACCAGAGTTACGAAAACAGAGTGTGGGCGCTATGGCAAACGCACCACGAATGATCCTTCATGCACCACGGCGTGGACCCGTGAAGGCCTGATATGTGTATGTGGCCACTGCAACCCGCACCATGACTCTGCAAGGCCCCCACTCTCGAGCCGAGACCGCGCTAAAATGCGAAAGTTGTGGAAGGATTCGGGTCATCCGACCTTATTGGCGATAACTACTGTCAAGTTTCGATTAGAGTAAGCTTCTAGCTCTGTAGTTTGGCAAGCCTTGCCATCAGATTCTGGGCGCAAGCTGAAATGTCTTAGGACTCTTCGTCAAGATACTCAGACAATCTCCAATGCTGTATGAAATATTCAAAAAATGTGCGATTTATTCCGCAATCCAAGAAATTAAGAGCGCTGCTGGTGCGCATTCTCATATTACCCTCTCTAAGCCGTGACTAGTCCAGCGGGACAACGAGGTTTAGTATAGAGCCCTCTTAGCCCGCTTGTCTAACAAACGGACTAGCCAAGAAATACGAAGACTATCCCCAAGCCTAGTTAGATCCCTCAACAATCAAGGCAGGAATTTTGCAAGTTATTTATCAACTCATTCAGCCGCTCGTATCCAGCGTCGTGCACTCTCCTGCCCAAGATGCCACAAATTCTACTCGAACAAACATAACATCCCACCACCCTACGATAATACTTTCACCATGTTCATCGCCCTCACATTTACCCTCTTCATCTCTCTCTCCTCCGCCCGCACATGCTACCACCCCGACCAATCCATTGCCACCGGAAACGTCCCCTGCACCTCCGCTGATACGACCTATTGCTGCGACTCCGATGCGATCTGCATGTCCAATGGCTACTGCGTTGGAGTCGGAGCCCAGCCATATGTCTTCTACCGGGGCTCCTGTACGGACGAAAACTGGGGTAGTGGTTGTCCGACGCAATGCGGTGAGTTGTCTCGCTTCCTCCACCACCTAATACCTATCACTGTGCATCTACTTACAAGCGTACCCAACAGTGGATAAGAACCCCAGCGGCGGCGCACCCATTATCGGCATCGGAACTCACAGCTCCGGAGATTCACAATACTGCTGCGGCTTTCAGGTCAAGAACAACGGGTCTTCGGAGTGCGTGGATGGCGACACGGCGTTTACGTTAAACAATGGGGAGATTATTCTCGGGCGGGCCCTGCTGGAGAATGTCACGGAAGTTAGTAATGCTAGTTCCACTTCGACAAACACTGTTTCCACCGAGACAGTGCTAGCCACGTCAACGACTTGTTCGAGCAGTGAGAAGCACTGTAGCTCTAATGCGACGGCTGTGGGGGCTGGCGTGGGTGTGCCCCTGGGAGTGCTGGCCGTGTCGGCTGCCGTGTGGGCGCTCTGGGAGAGGAGCAGGAGATTAACAGCGTCTACAGCTGCCGTTAACGCTCAAGAGGGTTTCTATATGGACAAAGCACCTGTACAAGAGGACAATGTTCCGCACAGAATGCAACAGGCGCCGACGGAGTTGGACACGCGGGCTAGGATATCGGAGATGATGGGAAGTACATATAACTACCACCCTGCATCTTAGAACAGAAGAGGACTGTTTGGAAGATTAGCAGCCAAGAGTACTCAATCTTTATTTCCATACCAATTCCTAGCACATTCAATGTGATGAGTCATTCCCTTTGGCGGCCCAGATTAAGTAACTAGCCAGACAAGGTTTTGCTTGGCGCCCAGGAATGTAGCGAGACGTTTTCCACAGTGGATATGAGGCGTCCAGCCTGTGTCTATTGTTGGAATTAAACTTCACCAGCCGGATATGCCGCCTCGGCAAACACGTTTACAACAATTGAATGGGTAATTCCATCATGAGTAGCAGGTAACGTAGTGAGTACCGTTGCGGTAGAAACCATGGACTTTTCTTTGTTACCTCTTTCCGCAAATCACTGCCTATAACTGTTCACATCAGTCCACTTGGTAGGGATTAGGCGACCGCATGTAAGCGCTAATGGGGTTACGAACAGCATACCAAGTTTGACGGCTTCGCCACTAGATATAGGCGAGCCTACCAATTACTGCGTGCGGCCGTATACTTTGACAGGGGTGCTTGTTAGCTATAGCCGTTATAAAGCCAACCGCTGTTCGCTTCTGTTAGGCCCCTTTTCTCATTCTTTGTTGATCGTATCCAGCAGCATCCACCCGTTTCCTGAGGTAGTTAGAATATATTCAATGGCTCTCAGACCATGCAAAGTTATTGTCGCGGGAGGCGGTGTTGCCGGGCTTTCTCTGGCACTTATGCTGGAGAAGCATGGCATTGACTTTTTGCTTTTAGAAGCATACCCAGATGTCGTGGCTGCTGTTGGCGCTGGCATTGCCCTAGCTCCCAATGGCCTTCGTCTTATTGAACAGTTGGGTTGCTATGAGGATTTGCAGAAATGTTCGGCAGGCGCTGACCAAGTTCACTTTCGGAAGCCTGATGGAGAGATACTCTGGGGGATGGACGAAGGATTGGCTGAGGCGTGTATTGAGAAGTGTGTCCCTCGTGCTTTCTCCCTCAAGTGTTGAATGATTTGCTTACCAGATGACAGGCATGGGTATACTTATGCCTGGATGGACAGGAAGTCTCTCCTAGAGGTTTTGTACAACAACATTGCGAACAAATCGAAGATTTTGCCTGGCAAGCGTGTGGCCAGCGTCACACATACCGACGAAGGTGTTGATGTTGTCACAACTGATGGGTCAACGTACTCTGCCGATATTATCGTTGGAACGGACGGTACCCACTCCAAGTTGAGGCAGGAAATGGCTAGGTACGCCAAAGACCTTGGGCTGAGCAAGGATTATGCGGAAGAAGACAGTCAGTTGAACATCGCTCTTGTTTTCCCATGGATAGGATGTGATATTCTCTAACCGATCTGGCATAATGCAGAGGTTGCTGCCGCTTACAGTTGTATCTTTGGAATGTCTGATCCCGTCCCAGGCTTCCCCAGTCGCTCACTTGAATTCGTGACGAACGAAGGGTTTTCATATGTGCTAGGCGCTGGTCCTGCTGACCGCGTCTATTGGTTCCTGATGAAGAAGATGAAGCAGACATACTATGGCGCTGACATCCCCCGATTCACTGAAGAAGATAAGCAGCGCACGCTCCAAGAGCACTGGAATGACCAGGTCACGCCAGATGTTCGCCTGTCTGATCTCTGCGAGCGTCAGTTGAGCACAATATATACACCCATGCCAGAGTTTGTCTACAAGAAATGGCACCTGGGAAGGATTATTACCATTGGAGACGCTTGCCACAAGGTGAGGAGACCAAACCCCCTGCTATCCGCGTCATACTGTGACTAACTAGTAGATGATATCGATACAGGTCCTCCCTATTACCGCGCAAGGGGGCAATCAGGCTTTAGAGAGCGCCGCGGCTGTGGTAAATGGTTTGATGACAGCGTTATCGCAGGCTTCGGGCTCAGGCCCGCTCTCCCAGGCGGAGATTCAGTCGATGTTCGAGCGAGTGCAGGACATCCGCGAGCCGCGCACCTTTGATATTATCAAAACCACTCATCAACGACAGAAGTTGGATTCAATGGATACTCCGGAGCTGAAAGAGTTTCTGCTTACTAAGTATGCAAGGCTGATGCCAGGAGCATTGTGGAAACGATGGGCGGATACATTTACCCCGGCCGTGTCTTTGAATATGCTCGATCTGCCTGCTAGACCGAAGAGTGTTCCCTTTGACGATGAGGCCCTGAGAAATGCAGGAAGCAATAATGCTCTAGCGGCACACCTGTAGTTAGATTACAATGTGAATGGCACTAGTTACTCCGTACTAGTTAATGACATGACAACTTTGCTGTTTCATCGATCTCGGCCTTAGGGATTAAATCCGAAGACCGAAAAGAAGGATGGGGATGACAGGCTGCTGACCGCCTTGGGGTTCCGGGGATCGCAGGCAAAGCCTCCAGGGTCTCCTTCTGGTTTTCACGATAAGCAACTTCGTCGCTGCGAAAGACTACTTTAGATTTCTGCATACCTAACAAGGGCAGGGTATTATTTGGATCCAATTGACAGCCTGCAGTTTTACCCACAGCATGATCTCGAATCCTCCTTAATCTTCGGTCCGCTGGTCGCGTTGCGCAGTTAGCCAGCTCGGCACTATCATCCACCCCTACCACCGTGGCCTCGCCTTCTTCCCAACCCCCGCCGACTAATCCCTCGAGGCTCTTTCAGATAATGACACCAGCGTTAATACCCAATTAGCGCTGCTATAGAATGGTCAATAGTCAGTGATATCAGTCATGGACGAACTACCCGGCCATCTCAATCAGCGAGCATCAGACACTATCGCCCATGTTGCCGCACCGGGCGGACAGGAAGCGCCAGTATCTCCCCGGAAGAGAGAACATGAGAGCGGCATGGATCATGAGAGTCATAGCTTAGGGATTGAGAAGCTTCAGCAAAGCAGACCGATGGAATCGCGTCCCGCGGATAACGAGGACCGTGCCAACGGTATATTAAGCCGGAATATGCAACGTGGAGGATCAGCGACATCGGATACCATGAATACTGGGGAGCGGAGCAATAGGGAGGAGGCTGTACACCGGTTTGGTGCGCTTGTCAGCGACCACGAACTAAATAGGTTCCCCAGCCAACCCACAGTGAACGGCGACCAGAAAAGCGGTCAGCCTGCACTTCCATCAGACCAGGCCCTAGGGATGGTCTTCGAACACTCGTTGGAGGGTGCGGACAGTGCAGATCATCGTACGACACCGAGAACCTCCTTAGTGGATGTTTTTGAAGGTCCCGACGTGGCTTCCGTCTTCCATCAGTGGTCGCGAAACACATCACCTGTCAGGAACCAAGATAAGGAGCAGGAGCGGGTAGTGAAGCTATCTCCGGCCAGGATGCAGGAACTCGCATCATCCCCTCAGTCTATTCCTTATCGTGCAGCACCCCCGGAATCAGACCGCGGTCGACGTGCAGTGTCAGATGGCATGCATGCAGCGATCTCCCCATCGCAGCCTGACCAATCTGCAACTCTTCTACCGAGCGAGCAGAAAGTAACCGGCGATAGCGTTCCCAAACTTCGTCCCAACAAAGATCTTGCCATCGACGTCTCTGCTGCAACGGCAGCCAAGCAACCTGTTCGGAGTCGGCCGCAAGGCTCTCGGGCTGTTTCTACTCCCAATTCGCGACGGCAAACCATGCCGACGACTAGTGAACGACTGACGCAGACCTGGACATCTCGGGGGAAACAAGAGCGCGCTTCTCTCAGCCGAGAGTCAGATGGAAAGCACCTTACCCCGTCGCCACACATCACTGGCACTGAGCCTGCTCTACCGTCCCCTATGCCCCCAACCATTCCTCTCCCTCCGTTGTCTGTTCCGACATACCTACAATTAGAACTGGCCTCAGGTCGGCCGTCTCCACTATACATTCATCGCTCTGCAATGAGCGATTTTCCATATGAATCTTCTCGAGTCAAGCTTGAACGCCTAATGAACTTTTTGATGTTGCCTCCCGCATTGGAACGGGTTCTCTGGTTCGGTATATTAGCGTGTCTCGATTCCTGGTTGCATACGTTTACCATTCTTCCTCTTCGTTTTGTCAAAGCATTGTACATTCTCTTGGAGTCTTGGGCTGTCAATCTCGGCGTTGAGTTTCGTTATGTGACAGGGTTCATTTTCAAAGGTGTTGGGCGAGTGTGGCGGAGGCGACTCCGAGCATCATCGACGGACGAGTCTTCGAAAATCGCTGACCCTGGGAGGTCCACCTCTGAGAAGCAGGAGAACGGGTCAGTGGAACGAGAATCTCGCAATCGGGCCACAGAACCGCGCAAGCGTCATCATAAGCACCGGCGGCAGAAGAGCATCCCATCGGCTTTGATGCCAGATGACAAGGCTGACATCCTTAAAGGACTGCTCATCATAGCTACCTGCTGCGTGTTAATGCGCTTCGATGCAAGTCGGATGTATCACTGGATCCGAGGACAGGCTGCGATCAAACTTTATGTTATCTACAATGTGCTAGAGGTCAGCGATCGGCTATTCGCTGCCATTGGACAAGACGTGCTTGAGTGTTTGTTTTCGCGCGAAGCTCTCGAGCGTCGCCCGGACGGACGCAGCAAGGTCTTCCGACCATTCGGACTGTTTTTGCTGGCATTGGCATATACAGTCATTCACGCAACGGCCCTCTTTTATCAGGTGATGACCTTGAACGTCGCGGTGAATTCGTATTCGAACGCGCTTATTACTCTGCTGCTCTCGAACCAGTTTGTCGAGATCAAGTCCACAGTCTTCAAGAAATTCGAGAAGGAAAATTTGTTCCAACTTCTCTGCGCAGATGTGGTTGAACGTTTCCAGCTCTGGTTGATGCTTACCATCATCGCATCGCGCAACCTTGTCGAGACCGGAGCGTTCAACGCCCTTGGTAGCTTGAGTTTCAGTCTTGGAGGATACACATCCACGGGGACAAACAGCACGCCCCTATCGACTCCTCCCCGGACCTCCTCATCCATCCTGCCACAGGCCTTTACCATTGTGCCATCATCCATCATTGCGTCCTTTAGTCAGGTGAACACGTATTTGCCGACACTCGCACAGGTCTTAGGGCCGTTCCTGGTTGTTTTAGGGTCGGAAATGCTAGTGGATTGGCTAAAACATGCCTATATTGGCAAATTCAACAACACACGACCAGCCATCTACGGGCGGTTCCTGGATATCCTGGCGAAAGACTACTACACCAACGCCTTTGCAGACCAGAACCTGACCCGCCGTTTAGGTTTGCCGGTGATTCCACTATCTTGCCTCTTCTTCCGAGTCTCCGTCCAAACATACCAGATGTTCATCACAGCCTTGCTTCCTCAACAGCCCTCCTCCACAGCGGTAGAGGCCACCACCCTATCCGCTATTCACAGCCAGTATGTGCCGGCTCCAATGCCCTCACCACCTCCATTGACGCTACGAAACTTCATCCCGACGTCAACCGCATACGCGGGTGCCTTCTTCCGCCAGCTTCTAGCCAACACCATGCCGTCACCAGCCCAATCAGTATACATCTTCACCATAGTCCTCATCTTAACGGGCTTCGTGGTACTCCTAATCCTGAAGCTTCTTCTGGGCATGGTCTTGCTAGCGTACGCACGTTCTCGGTACAAGGCGATGAAGCTGCGCGAATCATCCAGTCAAGCCAATGCCTCATCTGCAGCACCTGCCGATGAATCCAACGGGACAGCCCCCCGTGGACGAGCATTTGCAGTTGAGGGCAGCCGACGATTTGGCGGATGGGGCGTGGTTGAGGTTAACGATGATCATCGACGATGGATCTATGCGGATGACCCTGAGGGACTGCGGCGGCTGAAGGCCAAAGAAGAGAAAGACAAGAATACCAAGGAGGACCTGAACATGGATCATGTCCAACGATATGAGATGGTGGCCAAGAGGATCTGGTAGACGGTGAATATAGATATTTTTGTAATTAGCTTATGTACATCCTAGGAGTAATAATTCTTACACTGTACTTGAGTGAGATCCTACCTCTCTGTGTAACGGGTTACCAGTCACCCGCTGTATTCTAGCCAGGCTATCCCTGTCCGGACCATCCTAAGTCACGTTTCACTTCTTATCCGCCAGAAATCGATCGTCCCCTCTAATTTTCTGTGCTTTTGTCCCGTGTAAACCCTTCCTCATCAGAAAAGCAATGGTTTAATTCAGAGATCCACCATAAAGTTGTGCTTTTTGTCTTGTCTACGTCAGCTCATACAGGTCATGAGCCATTGCAAGTTCCTAGCAACTGCACGACAGCGCCCCTTCACATCGTCCGTAAATTTAAAATTCAGAAAAATAAAGTAAAGAAGAGGAAGAGGTTCATATGTGCATTCTATATGCATGATGGTAAGTATGTACAGTGATTCATAAAAGTATATGATAATCGCTAATTGAAACGTTGATGAGAACGCCAGGGCTAAAAGTGTTAATCAATCCCAATCATGTTGAAGAAGGAACGTGTTTCTTATGTGCATGTGATATTACTGGAAATCACAGATCACAGGTGGTGCCGCAGTTCGGACACGTGGTTGCCATGGAGTTCTGGTTTTTGTTAGCATATCTTGCCATAGGTAGGTAGATGGCGACAGCAGCTTACCGTTCCATGCATCCAGAGCTGCCTTCTCAGCATCCCATCCCCAGAGGAACTTCTGGGTTTCCAGGTCTGTCCACCGGTCGGGGTTTGATCCGCTCTTCAGGGAAGAACGGAACTGTTCGTCACGCGCGCGTTGCTCCGGGCCATCGGGCAGGTGGAGCGTGATGCGGTTCTCCGACCCAGATTGCTGGACGGTGTCTGCGCGAGGCTTGCGGGACTTCTCGTACGCTTTGAGTGCAAGAGGGATTTCATCCCGGGAAGAGATAGTGGAGAGCAGGACACCGAGGGCAGCAGCGTCTTCGACAGCCTGGGCAGCACCTTGAGCAACATATGGCCTAGAAGACGTTAGTGCTAGCCAGATTGTCTAAAATGAAGGATGCTTACAGCATTGGGTGGCAGGCGTCACCGATGAGGGCCACGGAACCCCTAATCCAGGTCTTCAGTGGAGCGTGAAGGCACAGCTTCCATTCTAGGACTTCATCGTCCGGTACCAGGTCGATAAGCTTCGTCACACGCCGGTCCCAGCCCTTGTAGTTGTCGACCATGGCCTGCTTGGAACCCTTGGTCGTCCACGACTCCTCGACACCATGGCTGTCTGGATGAAGCAGGACAACATTGTACAAATCATGGTTGCGCACTGGATAAGCGATGACATGACGGCCAGGTCCGAGCCACCGAGTGGCTTGTGGCTCATCAACCAGTGCCTTCAGCTCAGGGTCGTTCTCTAGAGCACTACGGGGCAGCATAATCCGGTAGGCTGCGTCGCCCGTAGGAATGGCGACAGATGCTTCTTCCAGCAAATGATCGCGGAGAGCAGACTTGATGCCGTCAGCCGCAATCACGATGTCTCCTTTAACAATAGTGCCGTTGGCCAATTGCACTGCGGCATGGTCGAATTGAACTCCAGTGACGGTCGAGTTCACGCGCAGCTCCACATTCGACAGCGCCAGCGCCTTTTCGATGAGGGCGTTGTGGAGGTCTGCGCGGTGAATGACAGTCTGTTGGCCGTAGGTCTTGTTCACTGGCAAGGTGCCAAGCATGCTGCCATCCTCCCACCGTCTTACATGAATGTGCTCGAGGGCAACATCCTGGGCGTGGATCAAAGGGGAGACGCCCCACCCTGAGTCATATCATCAGATGGGGTTGAGTAACAGGAGAAGTAAGGGGCGCTTACGGTCAAACAGTGTCAGCATATTCGGTGAGACTTGAATACCAGCACCAACTTCCATGAGCTACGAGAGGTCGGTCAGCACTATGTATCATGGCATGGAGTGGTATACGCACCTTGGGAGCGGACTCGAGGATGGTAACATGATGTCCTCGCAGACCCAGGGTCAGGGCCGCAGCCATGCCGCCAATGCCTGATTTCATTAGTTACCTGCTTCATTCGCTATCAAATCTATGAGATAGATGTCCTACCGGCACTATATGGTAACGTCAGTAACAATACATAGTCTCAGATGACAGGATGGTTTGAACTTACCCAACCACAATCACCTGCAGAGGAGTCTTTGCTTGCTCCATATTCGCGAATGAATCCAAAAGGTCTGACAGAGGTTGGATTACAAGAAAATGGAAACCAAAGTGATAAAGGAAGCGGAAAAGAGGGCCGGAGTTATAAGAAAAAAATAAAAGATTTAAAAATTTGGGGAAAAATTCGGAGGTCCTAGGCTAAGGGCAAATTTGGGCCGTACAATATCCGTGGATAAATGAGGGTTCGCCACTCAGGTACGGGAGTTCATTGAAAACACTGATAGATTGATGAGACTGACAATAACAATAGCAACAACAGAGAAAGTCAAGATGGGCAAGCATGTTCCTGATAAATAATTCCAGAGTCAGGCTCAGACTTCGGTTGTCCTTACTCCCTCCAGCCGGAAATGACGGCAGGACGCGAACCCCCCCAGATCGCTTCTCCACCGAGGGAAGCAAGACCAGACCAGCCCTCCACAACCCCGGTGAGTATAGGTCAGACCAGAAGCGCATCATTGGACCAATATTGAGACCTGGATGGCTAGTAAAGGAGGAGGAGCAGGCCAACCATCCGCGAGGGTCATGTCGACCCCGGAAGTGGTGGGCGCGAGGCTCCACCTGATACTAAGGATGCATGATGTCAAATTAGTGCGCTGCATTGTGTACAGGAGGTTAGTAAGACCGGAATCTTAGTCTTCTCGTTGAGCTGCAAGGCAGGCCAGCGAAGGCGCTGAGGCAGAAAACGGGCAAATGGCCAAACGGTTTTCCTGGGGAGCCAATCACGGGGCATGATTTGAGATTGCAAACAATGCAAAGCCGGCTGTTCGCCCGCCTTCATTTGCCGGCCTCCAAAATTGCTGGCTCACGCCGCCTTTTCTCCACTGTTTCCGTCTTCGCTTCTCTCGCCCTCGCGCGGCAAACGCCTGGCCCTCCCATTGCCGATTGCCCTTCCATAATGCCTTTGTTCCAGACTACAATCATCCTCTACTCCTGATACTCCGACCATCTACTCGGTGGGTTGAACGGTAGGATCGTCATCTCCTCTCCTCCTCCTCCTTCCTTTTCAATCTCTCTCTGATACCTGCTGTGCTGTCCTTTGCCGGTCTTACGAGATGATTGCCGAGCTGAAATGCAACGCTCAGCCGAAGCTGAAACTACTGTTAGGTGATGAGCTGCCTAGTGCATACCATATGCAACCCACGCATGAGGAGCGCCCTCTAGCTTTACACTATTGTTCTCGAAGCCTACCCCATGAGGCAGTGTGATGAGTTTGTCTCCAACGGATACGAGGAATGTGTAACCTGGAATTTGTGTTTTGCGTCTGTTGCAGATGCTCTTAACGCCCCGAAGACCTGACCGATATCGGACTGTAGACCGCAAACATCTTGGTTGGGATCCGACTTGACAATTGATAACGAGATTTCTAAGGTGGGGGGGTAGGGTAAATTGGGTCGACTCCCTGCTCAATCCTCTTGATATCATTTAGATAACAACTTGCTCACCATAGACGACCTTGCAGTACCTGCATCCAGAACTAGGTCTATCCCTGCCGTCCAGCGCCAGGGCATCGGTCGGCAAGCTGCGGAAACAACAACAGCCGCGTAAACGTGCTTGACTGTTCCGCCCAAAGTTTATAGTCACCGACCCACCAATCATACTATTGTTGATGCCTCTTCCAGAATAATCTCCTGCACATTGCTTTGTCCATTAACTCGGCATGACCTGGTAGACTACCAACCGCCAACTGAGGTCGCCAACTGCAGGGAGATCATCTTTGAAAACGAAGTAGCTCACAGTCCTTGCATGAGCCAATGGGAACCTCACTTGCTGCATAGCTCATACTAACTATATAGATTCACCAGCCCCATTCTTCCATTCCCTTACACAGGCACGGCTTCTATACTTACCTCTCCATCTAGGGAGCAGGTAAGGTGGGATTGTCATTGCTGTTGAAAGGCTACAAAGCCATCAACAATATGATACTCTCCTCATCTTCAGAGGCAATATAATGCCCTTTGACCGCAAACCCCTACGTCGCAGCTTTGTCCTCCTTCTGTATTCTCACTGGCCTAATGGAGGTGCAAAGCTATTGACATTCATAGTCCATGTCCCAGAGAGTAATACATGCTCATGTAAGTGACCGGATTTTTCCAATTAGCAATCACCTACTTTGGTATGTGATAACATAGTCTACCCAGCCTGTTCAAAACCAAATGCGGCAATCACCGAAGCCTATAAGACAATACACCAAGGCAGTATTAATCTCATTGATAGGAAATACATATTATATCACTGGAAGATGACAACTAGCCACTACCAGCCTAGTTATAGAGAGTAAGATTACAAGGATATCATACCAAGCACTACAAGTAGCACCATACGCCCAACTCAAAGCCACGACAGCACCACTACCTATGTACCTCCTACAAATAGTATAGTAGTGACAACAGGTATGAATCGCCGTATATCCATCCCGTTTTAATCCAGCTAAACGAGTTCCCCCTTCATCCAAGGGACAAAGAAGCCCAAGAGTATACCGGCAACACACCAGCCGAAGTACTTACTTCCACCACCACATAGTAGCCCCACTAACCCACTACTCTGCAGTATTCCTGTCACTAGACTACGACTACTGGTAAATCCTAGTCCATAAACCATGAACCCCACCTCTCGACTGGCCAAAAAATCACAAACCGATAGGCAGGTCTATCAGATCCAAAATTGAGGCCAAACTCAGTCAAGTCTCATTATTTGTTTCTTTCCCTTTTAAACTGAAGTAGTAATGGCAGTAACTACTGGCAGCCTATACTATCTATATATTCCATACATACTAGGAAACTTCCAGTTTCTTGCCCGGTTAGCTCTTCCCCCACTTGTCGGAGAATGATAGATCTGGAATTACCCATACACTATAGTTACCGGGATATAACGATCAGTTGTACCCTAGGAAAGTATTCATAACTCGCGATGATGATATGGAACAATCTTATCACCATTGTGTAATATTTTGATTACTATTAGTTTTATCGTCGTCGTAAGAAGATGGGCACTACTATACGAGATACAGCTCTTCTCAGGCATTGTATTAGCATGAATGAGAAAGAGAAGTGCGCAATCTGATGATACAGTAAGCACTGAGCCATCTCTACCAAACTCTTTGAGAGTTTTGTATCGGAAGAAATATAGGAGGAAACTCAGTCTACTGTAAGTGTTACTATCATCCGGCTTTTATCCTTCCCAGGGGCTTAGTAGTACTAGTAATAGCAGGAGATGCTTTCCATTGTTGTGTCCTATCGGTGGGCTAGGATAGGCCTGTTCTGGGAATCGCGGTAATTACTACTGAGTACTGGAAAACATAAACTCAAACAGACACTCAAGATGAATGCAAATTCACTATGTATAGTATGAACTTCCATTTTCAGTATGAACTTTTCACTTATGTCAAGTGTTCCATGGTAGACTGTCACAGTCCGAGTATATGCATCTTGAAAAAAAAAATATATCAACATCAGAGGCATTCTACATGCATAAGGAGTGGTATCAAACGCCAAATGTGCAATTGTATCATGTCAAATGATAGTCAGGAGAAAGACACAAACCACCACCGATCATAGGTCAAAGAATGAAGAAACTTCGCTAATTCTAATTGCGCCAAGCAAATATCCATCCTGTCGTAATGTTATCCGAAATCGCAGTATACAATATTATATACATGTCGTAAAGTGTCGATCTGTCGTTAAGAAAATATAGAGGTGTAGAAATCAAGCAGTGAACATCAAACGCAAACGGCTGGATCGCTTCTTCTTCTCCTTCGGCTTAGGTTCTATGTCCGAATAACGCGATTCGGCTCTGGAAGGTGCGTATGAGGGCGCTCTGGACGGTGCCTTCGATGGCGCTTTCGAGAAAACTTTGGAAGGTGCCCTCGAGCTGACGTGCGACTCTGGTCGGTGGTTGGCACGAGATCCTTCACGATGGCTGCGCGACCGACGAGATTTGCGAGATGATGCCATCGACTGCTCATCGTCGTCGAACTTGAATCGCGGGTCCCGCGACATTCGTGCCGTAGTCACATCAATGCCTGACATTGCTGCTGCTTTAGGTGTGATGAACTCTCCATCGACGGACGTGCCAACGCTGTCGGCCTCGGCGTCCGCTACGCCCCGCCGCCACATTTCGACAGTGCTTAGACATTCGGTGTTAAACTCCATCATGTCATCCATGCCAGGATCTTCCTCGGGAGCCGCCGCTGCCCTCATAGGGCTGTTGGGAGTAGCGGTGGTGGCGTTCTGGATCTGCTTGACAATCTTGTAGCCACCAAACATGACAATCGTGACTCCGATACCAACACCCGCTGCGATCAAGAATTGTGGGCTTGCAAGCAGGGCGAAGACTGTTGGGGCCGCAGCCTTGAGGGTTGAAAGCGCAGATGGGGCCATCTTTGTGGCTATGTTGCTGATCTCGGCCAAGGTGAGAGCTACAGCAGCCATGGCATCTGGATTCTTCTGAAGATGTGCAATAGTGGCGGTCGCAGTATGTTGCATGCAGTCAGCTTCCTCTAGGAGCCACTGCGCCCGATCCACAAGAGTATTTAGTTCCGGATTCTCAATTCTTTGGAGCTGGTTTTGTGGTTCGGGGGGTGGTGGTACTGTCTCTAGGGCCGAAGGGTGGAAGTCGCCGTATGCTAGGTCCATGTCGACATGAGCATCGGACTTGGAGCGGCTGGTGGTTGGTCGCTCTGGACCACGCATGGCGACGTCATGGGTATGACGGCGGACCATTTCCCCTGGTCGAACACCATAAGGATCGGCATAAGGGTCCTGCCATTGCACATTTTCTTCATAGACCGAAGGTTCACGAGCGTAGTGGCTGCGGCCTGAATGGTGTCGGGAACGGCTCCTTCGAGAGGATGCGACTGAAGGCGCATCATCGATATGGTAGTTCTCAAGAGCCCTCAGTGCCTCCTTCTCGGCAATCTTGGCGTTCCGTTCAGACTGAAATTGAGCTTTGCGCTCGCGATAGGCATTCTTGGCTTGACTGAACACGCCGAACAGGTGCTTGCTCTATGATCCGTCATATGTCAGTATCGCATGTCAGTGTACGGGGAAGTATGATCGTATACGTACCGTGCTCACCACCTTACCGGACTTGTCAATCACAGCGATCGTTTCGCCCAGAGGAGCCATGATGACTGTTGGATATATGTGTGCTTCTTATTCTGTCACTTGATCAGAGTGAACGATGTCAATTGACTCCGTTCTTGCTTGTGAAATGTTGCCCAGTGGACATTCAAATAGGATCAAGCATCGATAAAATGATGGGTTGGCGTTCCACAAAATCCCGAGCGTAAGACCAGCGGTGTAGCGCAACCAGGCGAAAGTGTATAAAAATGGAATAATATCGACACTAGTCGAGTCGCGGTGGAGATTTGGCCCGATCTCAAAGTTTTCCAGACCAGAGATCGTGGTCCAGGCCTTAATGACGACACAAATTATTGAGAAAGCAGAGACCTGGATATCGCAGATATATAACTGCGCTGATGGCGAATTTTAAAAGTGGTGCCTGGTGTCAAGGTTCATCGTTCAGCTGTGGTGGTTTTTCGGAATTATATGAAGAGGAATCACGATAAGCTGCGGAAAGGTCCGGTACGATGCAACCAACAGTAACTAGTAGCTAGCATGCAGGCGGATGACCACGCCACAGAGGAGATTTCCACGCTGACAGGTAAGGGCAGCGAAATAGAGTACAGAGAAGGTACAAGGAACAGAAATATGAGGGGGCTGGGGGGTCTAAAAGGACGCAGGACCGGCCCCGGCGCCTAAGATGGGCATAAAGCAACGAACAGGGGGGAAGTATCCGCCTTGCCAATGCAAACCGGTTGGGTGTCGATGAAGCTGGGAACAAGGCAACAAAATGCGCCAAAAAGATGGATTTCTTAGATCTGAATGGCTGCACGGATCCGTGGGGACTGTGTTGCTGTCACCGCACGATCCAACGGAGGGGATGCTCCATTGGCGGGGGAGGCGCTTGGGTACTGACGTGGGAGGACCGGAAGTTGGAACGACTTCTTGGGAGGTGCCTTGGGTGTACCTGACGAAGGATGCAGGGAGACGGCAGCACAAGTCCTAGTTGGATGCCTGAAGACCCTCTCAGCCTTAAGGGAGGAAAAGAGCATGGATCATCACTGCATCTCCTGAAAGAATTTGACCAAAGCATGACTGAGAGGGACGTGGGAGGGACAGGGGAGGTACCCGTATCTACTTAGTCCGGAGTGGAACTATCGCTACTACTACTGACAACTGGATTGCCTAATTGGGAAGTCCCCGATTGTTGGGTGGAGGGAAGAGGGGGTGCCTGGTGACTCAGGGAAGAACGGCTGGTGCCTGAGGACAGACGGCAGGAATGGCGGTGATGTTGCTGCCCATGATTGGTTGTACCTGCACCGCCACTGTGGCTGGTGCATTATCCACTGAGGAATGTCCACGGATTTCCCGGTCAGTAACACCGTATCATACTAGATTGTTATATTATTTACCATACGCACTCCCTACTACTTCTTCTACTCCTACTTACTGCTACTACTTGTAGTAAATACCTCAAAGCTATGGAGTATAGGCAGCAGCTACTTCTCGATACTATGGTCGCATTTCTCACGCACTAGTAGCTGGCTGGCTGAGCTTTAGTGACAATCGCCACAAACTCACAGCATGTTATAATTAAAATAGATGAAGATCGATTTGCTCCTTTCTCGTCCAGCGCCTAGTTTCCGCTTATCCCTTTGGTGCACACGATTCAATAGAACGAGCTAAAATTTTTCCGTAACCCTTGTCAAGAGCTGAACACCTTTTGATTCTGTCGAGCCAACTAACGGGCTTCGACAGCTCGTTCTTTATCTCCCTCTGCAACCAGTCGTTGATAGTCAGCGCGCTGGTTAAACCAAGTGCGTCAGGACGCGTTATCAAATCCCGACCTCCCACGTTATGTATCTAGTTCGGCTGTCGCAATCTGTGGTCACACCTTTACCCCTTAATTCAGACAGTCTCCTATAAATGCCACTTCCTTCATCCGAACACGCAGATGACTTCATCATTAAAGCCAACGTGGACTTGTTGAATGCATATTCATGAATCATGTCGCAGTGCGATACTGAAACCTTGATAGCAAGTCTGCTTTTAGAACCTAGGTTAGTCATTCCTTGTGTTCCCATATTCGAACTCCAGCATCCCTGCTGGGTACCCCAGAGGCCAGAAAGAAATGCCATGTAAGCCTGGGAAATGGACCCCTCGCTCATTGACTGCAGGGATAGACGTTGCTGGAAGCATCCCAACTATGAACAACCACAGCCAGGTGAGTGCGGAAAAAGAGTTAACAAGTGGATGTTCTGTTCCGATACACTTTGCACCGCCACAGTTGGGGGACGCCCCACCTGGCTGGGGCCATCAGTTTCCTTATCCTGTGATTGGCCCACCTGGACAACCTTCACCGGGTCGATCACGACATCTCTGGAGGTGAAGCAATTGAGTTGTTTCACCTCTATCGACGTCGTGTTGCTTCCTTCAGCTTCACTTCTCCTTCTCCCCATCCTGATTGATGCTAGTTAGCCCTGTTCTGCATTCTTTCTTGTCCTTCCCCATACCTTGCTTTTTCATCCACCCGCCCCATCAATTCAAGCCTCACAGACTCGCATCACAGCACATCACGTGAACCTCACCACTGAGCTGTCAATTTAATCGAAAAAGGAAATCATAGCTGAGATCTTCGGCTCCGTTGCGAGCGCAATGGAACATACAGTACTTGTAGAATCTGATGGCACATCAGATACCGATGACCAAACCAAGGTTTGGGAGTCCGATCCTCGCTCCGTGACGGCTCATCTCGCTCATGACTCAGCCCACACGGCATTGCCGGCGGAGTGTGGCATCGGCCACCGCGTCCAAGCCAGTCGGTCCGTCCTAGCGCTGGTCCTGGACAATGAATGCGTCTTTGCCGGGCTTCAGGGCGGAGATATTGTCGTATGTGGTACCTTGACATCGCAGGAATCCACCCACTGACTCGTCACAGGCATGGTCCTTGGAAACATACGATCTCGTCCTTTCGGTGCATGCCCACCAAGAGAGCGTGTTGGATCTATTCCTTTCTGAGGATGGGGAGCTTCTGTTCTCTAGTGGGGGTGACTCAATCGTCAATGTAGCTACTTCCGTCTACTCGTTCGTGCGTCTGCAGTGTTGACAAGCCGCAGGTTTGGTCCACGAGAACCTTCGACCGCCTTTACTCCATACATTCCCACCATGATGTTGGTGACATCTTTGCTGTGGCCTATTCGTCTTCTCTGAAGACCATCTACTGCGGTGGGCAAAATACCAGCATTCAGGTAAATTATTGATCTTCGTATTGATCGTTTTGTTCCCTACTGACAATAATAGTGGTGCGATATTTCACAAACGGATGCGGCTTCAACACAACGCTCAGCTGCTCAATTGTCCAAACGGACCCATAGATTCTTCGATTCCAAGGGTCCCGATGGTTCTCGTGCTCCCAGGTCGGACCCGGGTGCAGATGGCGTACACCCGGGTGGCCAAGTTCTCACCTTCAAGCGTGATCACCACCGCTTATTTTCTCACCATGGCTATATCTACACTATGCTATTGGTGAGAGGGCTTATTGAACAAGCACCCAATGAGGAGGTGCTTCTGACCGGTGCGGGAGACGGAGTCGTGAAACTCTGGCGCTTGGATCAAGCCAAGGACAATGCAGTCCCTTCGCAGATTGCGAAGCTCCAGAACGGGGACCCGGTGCTTTCCATCGCTGTTGAGGGCTCGTTTCTCTACTGTGGTTTGGCGGGGGGCGCCTTGAATATCTGGAACCTGGACTCTCACCAACTGGTGAAGAGGATTTCGATGCATACGGGTGACCTATGGGCAGTCGATATCATTCACGGTGTCGCAGTGTGTGGAGACTCTAACGGTGTCATCAAGGTAGGTTCCTCGAGCCCTGACCTTGGATATACAATACTCATCAGTTTGTAGAAGTTTAACTCACGGTTCGAGGAAATTGGGAGCTGGGTGGCTCACGGAGGCACCATGTTGGCATCCTCAGCCGGTCGCTTCAAGGATCGTTATATCTACGCCAGTGGAGGAAACGATAACACTGTCGGCATATGGGATCTGACCGATGTGTCGCGCGCACAACCCGAGCAGCCTCGCATCAACAACGGTATGATTATGAACAAGTAGGGTATCCCACGCTTACTAATTTCTATTACACAGATGAGATGGTCAATTGCCTAGCCAAGTTTGTCGCATACAAGACGGTCTCTTCTAGTCCGAAATTCGCTGGTGAATGCAACCAGGGTGCTGCGTTCCTACGCCGACACTGCATTTACCTAGGTGCTAAGACCAATCTGCTGACTACCGGGGCGGATACAAATCCGATTGTGCATGCGCGGTTCAACGCCACAGCACCGAATAAGGTCGACAAGACAATCCTGTTCTATGGACATTATGACGTTGTTGGAGCGGATGCCAACCGGGATAAGTGGAATACTGATCCATACCGACTGACTTCCATCGATGGCTTCTTGTACGGACGTGGCGTGACAGATAACAAAGGGCCTATCTTGGCAGCCCTGTATGCCGCGGCTGACCTTGCGCGGAAGAAAGAGCTCCGTTGCAATGTCGTCTTTCTCATCGAAGGTGAGGAAGAGTCTGGTTCACAGAACTTCCACGAGACGGTTCGTACACACAAGTCAGAGATTGGGCCGGTGGATTGGATTCTGCTAGCCAACAGTTACTGGCTGGATGACCACAACCCGTGCCTGACTTACGGCCTTCGTGGCGTTGTTCATGCCAACCTCATCGTGACCAGTGATCATCCTGATCTTCACAGTGGTATTGATGGAAGCGCACTTCTCGACGAGCCATTGAAAGACCTCACCATGCTTCTGGGTACTCTGGTCGGTCGCAAGGGTCGAATCAACCTTCCTGGGTTTCAAGAGCCGGTCCTCCCGCTCACCGACGCTGAAAAGGAGCGCTATGCCGCGATCTCGGACGTTCTCCTGCCCCATCATCCCGAAATTGCGGATAGTGATGCGCTCATCAAGTCGCTCATGCATCGCTGGAGGGAGCCATCCCTCACTATCCATGCAGTCGAGGTGCCTGGGAGCAGTAAAAGCGCAACCACGACAATCTCCCGTAAGGCTAAGGCCAGCCTTTCCATTCGGCTTGTGCCGAACCAAGAAGCGGATGAGGTGGCTACGAACCTGACTCTGTTTGTGCAAGAGCAGTTCGATAAATTAGAATCACAGAACGATCTTACCGTGGAGATCACGGGCAAATCGGACCCTTGGCTGGGGGATCCCGACAACGAAATCTTCGAGACTCTGGCGGAAGCGATCACCGCTGCCTGGTCACCAACAAACAAGCCCCAAAGATACACATATCCCCCCATTCAGCGGGAGAAGCCTGAGTCGACAACGACTCCTAAGCGGTCGAAGGAGCGGCCTGGCCTTCAGCGCAAAGACTCCGGCGATAGTCTGGCCTCTCACATTGACCGGATCATCATGTCGACGACGATATCCTCAGCGGAGAAAACGGCGCGTCAGCGATCATCCCTGAGCACGACGGTTCCAACATCCTCCACGCTGGCCAGCAAGTCGGGGGTATCTGTCGCCGACGAGCCTGCCTCAACATCGGCGCCGGAGGCTACTGGGGAAAAGACGTCCAGCGTGTCAGCAGGAGGACGGTCTGAGTCCAGCGTGCGGCCGATCTACATCCGTGAGGGCGGATCAATCCCAACGATACGGTTCTTGGAGAAAGAATTCTCAGCGCCAGCGGCGAACCTGCCGTGTGGGCAGGCCAGTGATAACGCGCATTTATACAATGAACGTTTGCGGGTGGAGAATCTGTACAAAAGCCGGGAGATTTTTGGGTATGTATTTTCGAAACTGCCAGAACGGCTGTGAAGAGTTAGCTGGGAAGAGTTGGGATAGACGTGGCTGGTGATGGCTGGACTGGGAAAGGAGTAGTAATATAATGATCGGGTAATGGGGGATGGAGATGGCGTTTGCATATAAGCCTAGCTGTTACTGTCCACTAAGGTTTCAGAATCATAATGAGCATGCTATGCTTTGGCGATAGTCCTCCAACCAGCCACTAGTAAGTACTATATGTGTACGAAGTACTAGCCACTCCACCGAAGGAATTCTTGGCTCCAAGAGATGATACGAGGATCCCCCACAAGCGGGTGTCCGAAATAGGTAAACTTTGCGGGCCAGCCATTGGTCGGCAATTAAAAATAGCGGCCTTCATGCAGGTGACTTGCCATGCCCAAAGCGGCAACCGCGATGTTAGTCCACCGGCACTGGCTGGTGCAACTCCATCTTACTGGGAGTCGTAGAAACCCGATACTACTACACAGTGCCAAAGTAAGTTAGTCTTGAGGAGCTAATCCGCGTGTCATTTGCTTCACCAATGAAAGATCTTCTAGCTTCGCGACGGTTACTTTAAGTACTACTATGTTTCCGTTCCCGCATGACGGCTCTCTCTTGCCGGCTTGCGATATCTAATCCTTACTTATGCCCATCTATACTTCTACATGAATACAGTACCGTGGATCACCAAGGGTCGCGGTACCTCAAGTCCCGATGCCAACCTCCTGACTGACTCTTATTGCTCCTAACGCCCAGCTCGGGTTGCATCGGCAGCCGCGCCCGGTGGCTGCTGATGGTGGAAAATTCATCCAGGCATCCACCAACTCAATTTCATCGAACTAGCACCGCACTATGCCGACGATCTATCATCCACTTGGTCGGCCCATCGTGTCCAAAGTCCCGTTGATGCCCCAGCTGGCTGGATCGCGCCGCAGCTTTGTCGGAACCGCCAGATGGAAAAGCTCCGGCTCGTGATTGTTGGTCCACCTGTCTCGAATTGTACTAGTATATAAAGCTGGTCGTGATACTTCCACTGTTGGCTCGCCCGGAACCAGCAACAGTGGTTAAGTACTTAGCCTGTCGCTTTTTATTTCTTTTTGTCCTTTTTATTTCGATCTTCATCCTTAGAGCTCATTATCCTCGTCAATTCGCGTGCTTGCATCTGTTTGATCTCCTCGTTACTATCACATCACCTGATTCAGCGACTTCCGGTCGCTCCCACCATGGCGGGACTACCGTGGAACACCATACACGTCGGTATCGCTGTATATACCTACTTCCGATCGACATTCCGGGACTTCCTTCTACTCTCTGCAGTCACCATCGTCCTGAGAGTATTCTACCGCCTGGCGCTGTATCCTGTCTACTTCACCCCCCTCAAGCATATTCCGACTCCTCCGGTAGTCTCTATTACCCCCCTTTTGGAACCCCTGGTTAGTGAAGTGCCTCTAACGTGGCTACTACGTAGGGCCGAGCATGGTTCACCGGCAACAATGACTCATTTATCTTGGTGAACCCTTATGAAAGGATGCGTCGATGGAATCAGGACATACCGAACGATGGCTTGATCAGATTTTACTTACTTGGCGGGCAACCTCGAGCGAATGATAGCAACAAACCCCAAAGTCCTGAGCGAACTGCTTGTCCAGAAGGTCTATGATTTTGAGAAGCCAAAAATTGTCCGACAGTCTCTTGGCCGCATCACCGGGGAACATGGTGTGCTTTTGGTAGAGGGTGCTGAACATAAGGTGGGTCGCATGACCGTTGAATTTCGCTATTTACATACTTTGCAAAACTGATTTGGATATCGTGTAGCAACAACGGAAACTGCTCATGCCTGCGTTCTCATATCGACATATCAAGAATCTTTATCCGGTGTTCTGGTCAAAGAGCATTGAGATGGTGAAATTGATCGAAGCAGACCTGCAACGGCGTGCTAACCCGGCAGACAAAGTCATTCGCGTAGCGTCTTGGAGTAGCAGAGCAACACTTGACATCATTGGTCTCGCAGGAATGAATCGTGATTTTGATTCTCTCCAGAATCCAACCAACCAGCTGGCGGTCGCATATCACAAACTCAACAGGACACCCCCCACGCCCTTAGAAAAAAGCCTCTTTGTTATTGGACTCCTTCTTAACGTCCCTCACTTGGTCCACAAGTTGCCATTCAAGCGCAACCGTTATATCAGAGAAAGCGCGGCTTACATTCGAAACGTTGCACAAGAAATGATCCATGACGCTAGACAGTCAATCGAAGGCGAAAAAACGCACCACACCACAGACGCAGTCGACATCCTCTCCGTAGCAATAGAGAGTGGCGGTTTTACAGATGAAGAGCTCATCGATCAGATGATGACCTTCCTCGCAGCCGGTCACGAGACCACCTCGGGAGCACTGCAATGGTGTGTGTATGCCCTTTCCCAGTATCCCGACATTCAGACCCGCCTGCGAGAGGAGATTCGCGCCAACCTGCCACCTATTTCGGTTGAAGCCCCCGACTCCATATCCGCTGCCACTCTCGACTCCCTCCCTTACCTCCATGCTGTCTGCCAGGAAGTCTTCCGCTTCCACCCCTCCGTACCGAACACGGTTCGCATCGCCAATCGAGACACCACCCTTGTCGGTCAGAAAATCCCTGAGGGTACGGTAATTCAGATCGTGCCCGCACTGACCAACCACGATAAGTCCCTTTGGGGCCCTGATGCGGACCAGTTTAATCCCGACCGGTGGTTGGGCCCCGGCAAGGCCAACACCGGCGGTGCCACCAGCAACTACGCCTTTTTGACCTTCATACATGGTCCGCGTAGTTGCATTGGGCAGGGTTTTGCCAAAGCCGAGCTGGCTTGTCTGCTGGCCGCATTTGTTGGACGATTCCAGTTTGAACTCGAGGATCCCAATAAGGAGCTCATACTCCGTGAAACCGCGACAGTGACCCCGAAGGACGGGGTCCGTGTCAAAGTAACACCGCTGGAGGGATGGTAGAGATATAATGATGCTATGATACTTACAACTGTACATTTTTCGGCTTCGTTGTATATTTCTTTGTTTCTCACAACAGAATGTGTGTTATCACTGCATTTCTCTCAATATCACTAAAGAATTTGATTGATTCCCATACTACTCGCTATGATCAAGCACTAGCCTTCCTGAATTCCTCACCAAGATACTCGGCCAGTACCAGAATTTTCTCCTCCTGAAGCCGTCTTCCAAAGAGCTGAATCCCAGCCGGCGCCCCATCAAACACATCCGCATCGTCTAGATAGAAACATCCAGTCAGCACATAACCCCAACACCACTCTCCGAACAAACAAACACACAAGACCACCAACCAAATTGGATAGATCAATGAAAAGCAAGAAGAAAAGAAAGGAAAGAACTTACACTCCCCCTCGGTCTTCCTATCCAACTCCCCAAAATACTCCCTCCCTTCCTTCCCTACAACATCCACCCTCCTATCAGCACTCGTAACCGGCACAACCGCACTCGTATAATCCAACACATTAATAAACGCCGTATACCCAATCGTCGCATACTTCCCCGGAATGCACGCCGCATGCGGCGCCACTGGACAAATCACCGCGTCGACGGGTCGTCCAGTCCCCGTCACTTGTGCCGTGCTGTTCCAGTAGTCAAGATATTGTTTCTGGTATTCGCGCTTCTCGACGTTTAAGGCAGCGATCTCTAGTGCGGTCTTTTGGGGGGATCCTGATGCGTCGATTACTACGGAGGTGTGGATGGCTTCGTTGGATAGGGCGAAGTTTTGGAGTACGTCGGCGCCGCCGTCCATGTTGTAGGCGCGGTTCTAGGGGTTGGTTGATTGTTAGGGGGTTGTGGTGTGGTGGGTTGGATGGGGGACTTACTGCAAGGGAGGCGGCTGTTAGGTGAGAGGGGGGTTCCCATTTGATGAGCTGGGATGGATGTTAGCAGTGTCGCAAGAATGAGGAGGGCACTCACCTTATGTCCTAGACGCTTGATCGTCTCTGCAGCAATCCGCATCGCTCTTTCGACCGGCGGCTGCGGCTTTACCTGACCATCATCGTAGAATATTCCAAAAGCTAGCCCCTCTGGCTTTCCCTGAACTAACTTCCTCGTCTCCTCTACAATTTCCTCCCTCCAGGGAATCTCCAACACACCAGGATCTCCCAACCACGGCATTGCCCCCAACACCGTCTTGAACAGCAATATCAACCCTCTCGCCGAAGGAGACAACGGCCCCACAACCGACAACACAGTATTCTGTCCATCGCCCGAATTGGCCGCCCCCTCGTACGGCATTCTCCCCACAGACGGCCGTATCCCATACAGTCCATTGAACGACGCAGGAACACGGATACTACCCCCGATATCCGTACCAAACCCGGCTGGTGATCCCCGCAACGCGATCAGTGCTCCTTCGCCCCCGGAACTACCTCCGGAACTGAGAAGCCTGTTCTTCGGATTATGTGTGTAAGTTATGATATTGTTCATGGTTTCACCTGACATCAACGTCATGGGGACGCTAGTCTTGCAGTAGAGGACGGCTCCCGCGGCGCGGAGTTCTTTAACGAGTTCGCTTTCGTGTGTAAGATAGCGCGGGTCATTGGTCTTGCCTTGGAAGGTGTTGATCCAGCCGACGTAACCCATTGTTGTTTCTACGCCCTTGACGTGGAACTGATCCTTCAGACTGACGGGGAGGCCATGAAGGGGACCGAGTGGCTTGCCGGTCTTGGTGTAGTGGTCGTCTAGAATGCGGGCGGTTTCAAGCGCGGCATCGAAGAAGATTTCGTGCAAGCAGTTTACCTATTTCTCGATTAGTAGAGCTCAGACTAGCGCTCCTTGTGGATGGGAAATGTACGAGTTGATGCGCCAATGCTGCGCGATGGCAGAACGCCTCGGTCACCTCCACAGCTGTCCACTGGCCCGTTGTAGTTCGCTCTGTGATCCCTACGGCGTCTGTTTCGGTGATTTCAACCTCGCGTGGGGATAGGAACTGCTGGATGTAGGGGCCTGTTACGTCGCGCTGCTCCGTCGGTGCGGGGATAGGACCCTTGATGCGCCATTTCTCGGGGATGGCGTTGAGGACTGATTGGCGTTTGGCCGCTGCGGTCTGTTCCCAGGATGTGAGGGCCATTTTGCATGCAGTGGTTGTAGGAGTATCTGTTGCGGAGGTGGATGTGTTGAGGGGATAAGATGGTAAATAAAGAGGGGGTGGACCATAGGGCCTTTCTTATCAATGCGTTCGGTGGGATGATCATCCCGTTGTCTTACCTATTCTTGCTATTCGTCAGTCATATGAAGGCGGGGGATTGCAGGAAGTGGAGCCAATGGCGCGGAATATATCTTGCTTATCATCTATCCTGGGGAGAATTAGCTTGTTTGATGCGCGGAGACAGATAGTGCTCGGGCTTGAGTTATCGATGAGATAGGGAGGAGATACGGGGCGGCGACAATTGGGAATTCTGCATTATTTGGGTGAAATGGAGATGGAAATGGAGATGGATGAATGGTAGATGGATGGATAGATGGGCGCCAAGCTGACAGGCACTTGCTACCCCGCTATGTTATACAGATTCTGCTGCGGAATATGCATTCCGCATTTCGGGTCTCATTACATCCATATAATAACAATTCTGGTATGACTATATACGACCTTCCTATATGCTACTGTGAACAGTGAATACCCAAGCCAGCCAGCTGGACCAAGGTTGTATCTCACCAGCTATATCCCCCTGCTGACGGCAGGACACACAACTCCCAACCCACATGTCTTGGGGAGAAGGCTCTTCTTCTATACAAAAAGCATTGGCATACTTCTCAGACTCGAAATCCACGAGAGTCATAGAAGATAAACCACAGAAGGTGTGAATGCACTAGTTTCTTGCTGCTGCGGTATGGGATAGTGCCGTTAATCCCTTCAATGGCACAGAGGCACTGCGCAGCTTGATTAGCTGCCATAGGTCGCTCGAAAGGTATTATCTGCCTGGTCGGTCCCGGCATGCTTGCGCTCCATAAGGGTTTGCCCCGAATCATTCGTGAGCTTTCGCGAGTTCCATTTGCCGAACATTGAGGTTGACTCTCTTGCCCGACATCCACCCTCGCCAAGCATCATACTGTGAAGCTGCACCATCATGCGGACTTGATGGCCAATTAGCAAGCCACTTAGGACAAGTATTCGGCACAATCTTCGGTACTGCATGCCAAGCAAAACGTGAGGTGCCATCCATGTACACCGCATCTCCGGAGCGAAGGCGAATAATCTCACAGTGTTCCCCATCGTCATGACTGATTAAGAACAGGCCATCGCAACCAAAGCTGACACTGATCAGGCCTACATCACAATCCTCGCTGACGTCGCGATGGGGACTGAGGTGGTCACCAGCAGAATAGACATTGAGAATAGCCGCCTGAGCTTCAGTGGCTGGGAACATGGCATGCAAGAGCTTCGCAATATCCCTGGGGAATTCGGGAGGGCGCTCCGACGGATACACCTTGGCAGTCCAGTCATATTGACCACCTAGAGTAACCCAGCGTAACTTTCTGTTCAGTATGCTTTGGACAGTAAGTGGTTTATGCACATTTGGATCTTTAGGTTCTATGACACGGGCTGGGTCATCTCCAAAGAAAGACGGATGATAAGCGCCTACTGGACTATTACCGGCCGAGACCGCTTCACCATCGTTCACCGCAGTAGGATAAGTGATATCATAGTGCAGGTGAAGATTGGTTTGATGCCGAGGATTAGACAAGTCCCGGTGGAACAGACGAGATAACAATTCGACCTGAACTGCGGGTGGAAGCAACGAGGGAATCACTTGCAGACCTACAGCATGTCAACAGGGCTTTTTCTACAATGGAATGCCATGGGGCAATAATGCTAACCGGAAATAGCACGATGGCTGAAAACGGGGACATCCCTAGCAGGCTGAGCACTCTGCAGATCCTGATTCGTGCCGAGGAATTGGGCAAATACAGGCTCAAAATCTGCGCTGGAAATCCAGTGCGTCAAGGAGATTTCCCCTGGGAGGTTTTGGGGGTCCAGGGACTGCAGATCAATAATGCTGTCGTCAGACTCTATCTCCGTAAGCGTGGACTTCTGGTATTGCTTATAACGCTGCTTGATGCCGTCCGGGGGACGCTCATGGGCGTTCAGATCTTTGATATGCGGCATTAGGATAGACTATGCAGCTGACAACTCATGAGTCAATAGACAGCCGCAGTAGTAGTGTTAGTCCACGTAGTCGTTTCCAGACTATTGCATATCTACGTGAAAGCCCAGAACACTCCGCCCTTCTGTAGGTGGATGAACCGATCTGAATAACTTTTGATCGTGAGGGAAGGAAAGTTTGCCATCCGGCGGGCTCGTTCCAAACTTCCAACTTCAAGCGGGAAGAAAAAGCCACTGGCGGCAACCAACAAAAAAAGGGTCAGCTGTCTACGCGCTCACCGCCTTGGGACGCGCGGGTTTGTTTGTGTACGGCCGTTGCTGACCGCCTTGGGCTCCCCACCAGCAGGGATGAAAAGACTCCAAGTTGAACTGCTCCAGATCTCACAGCCCATTCCAGGTAAGTTAAAGGTAAGTCACGCTCGGGACGAGGCTGGTTTCGCTCTTTGGACCCTTGAGTCTGCTTCTTATCTGGGAATTGACTCCTGCCTCGCTTGCTGATAACTCCATTGTGCCCCCAAACTCCTCGCATTCTGCTTGACGCCTTCTGTTCTTCCCCGGCAACCCAACGCCGTCGTCGTGCAGCCTCCTTTGTTTCCTGTACCCCGCGTGCTGGTAGACAGGACAACACGTTGTGTACGCTCACCTCAATCATCGGATATATCAGATCATAGTGATTGTGTGAGGAAGCAAGGAAATCAGCGGCATATTTCATCATGGAGAACTACCAGAAGATCGAGAAGATTGGAGAAGGTACGTTTACCTCAAGACCGATAACAATTGTACTTTCTCTTGATCCGACTCTTATCCAATCGTTCTGTCCTTACTTGGATCTGAAACTGACCCGAACCTGCTTCTAGGAACCTATGGCGTTGTCTACAAGGCTCGCGAGCTCACCCATCCCAATCGGATTGTCGCCCTCAAGAAGATTCGGCTAGAGGCGGAGGATGAAGGCGTTCCTAGCACAGCCATCCGTGAAATCTCCCTACTCAAAGAGATGAGCGATCCCAATATTGTGCGACTCCTGAATATTGTGCATGCCGATGGCCACAAGCTCTATCTCGTCTTCGAATTCCTCGATCTCGACCTCAAGAAGTATATGGAGGCTCTTCCTGTCAGCGAAGGTGGACGTGGCAAAGCTCTTCCGGAAGGCTCTGCTTTGAGCAAGAACATGGGCCTTGGCGATGCCATGGTCAAGAAGTTCATGGCTCAGCTAGTGGAGGGTATCCGTTACTGCCACAGCCACCGTATTTTACACCGTGATCTCAAGCCCCAGAACCTTCTGATCGACCGCGATGGCAATCTTAAGCTGGCGGACTTTGGATTGGCTAGAGCTTTCGGTGTTCCTCTCAGAACCTACACCCATGAGGTATTTATATCACGTTCTGGACTTGCTGTAACGTGTCATTGACCTTCCTCAGGTTGTCACCCTTTGGTACCGCTCCCCTGAGATTCTCCTGGGTGGTCGTCAGTACTCGACCGGCGTCGACATGTGGTCCGCTGGTGCCATTTTCGCGGAGATGTGCACTCGCAAGCCTTTGTTCCCTGGTGATTCGGAGATTGATGAGATCTTCAAGATCTTCCGGTATGCTTTTCCTTCTTCCCCGTACGAAGAGCCCAACATCTAACCTTCCTGGATTACAGTCTCCTTGGTACCCCAGATGAAGCTATCTGGCCCGGCGTCACCTCTTTTCCCGACTTCAAACCCACTTTCCCTAAATGGAAACGTGATGAAACCCGTGCACTCGTCCCTGACCTTGAAGAGGATGGTCTGGACCTCCTCGATGCTCTGCTCGAGTATGACCCTGCACGACGTATCTCCGCCAAACAGGCCTGCATGCATCCCTACTTCCGGAACGGCAGTGCCTACTACTCAGGACGTACCCGGAGGAATGGTTTTAACTAGCCGGTCTACCTTGCGCATCATTCATCAGTGTTGATGTACGTATGCATGTGGACAAATGCGGCAGACGCAATGGACGGTATCTAGGTCCAACCGGGTTTATTTACAGGCTCTGTGCCTGCACTTCTCCCAGTATCTCTATTTTTATTTTTTTCGTGATGCCCTAGGATTTCCTTCTATTTGTATGTGTTCTTGTCTTCATGGCGTTGCTTGCGGAGTGGTCTGGAAGGGACGAGATCAGGATACTGGATATTACAAGGAGTGTTTTTGACTTATGCGTACATACCCATAAATGAGTAACTGCCAAAAGAAAATAGCATTCTCTTAATTACAATATTATGGGTGTAACATCGCTGAAGTCCGGAAATATGAGGCAGCCTTGCGGCTCGTATTTTCTCTTCCCCTGGTCCTGGCCCCATGAACGTCCACGTGGTGTACCAAGACTCGGTCCTACCCGGCCACGGCTCGGGCTTCTATTTCCTCGACATCTTTGCAACGACCGAAGCAGCCTTGTAATGAATCTATCTCTTCCTTTTCCATCGCCAAGGTGGAGATGTCTCTCCAGCCCAATGAGCTAACAGAACCAGCCGAACCGATGATCCCGTGTCCGAGCGCTTACTTTACCGCTGGAGGGACCGCTCGTATTTTGCATGCAAGCGCTTTACTCTTCTATTAATAATAACCACTGATAGCGACAGCGCTGGCTGAATGTCAGTTGACGCCAGCATGTCAGGCTTTTTTGGCCCGTAAGCACGGCATCTATCACATCCTTGACTTCTCAGTAACATGGCTTTAAGCATAAGATGCTGACAAGCTGAGTCTCAGCCCATGTACCCCTACCGTCGCCTCAGTCCACCAACACGAATGGCTGTAGTCTGTTTCACCATGGAAAGCGTGCATAAACGTGCATGCGACTCCGCTGATCCCCCAGCTGCCAGCTGATCACATATGACTATACTGCGCAAGGCTAGCTAACCCACGGCAGCGGCAAAAGCAGTGAGATTCAAGTATGCCTATTGGCCGACGCTATTGGCCATGCTCTAGGGGCGCTTTGAGTCTTACCAGGGTCAAGCAGGTTAATTGTGATTTGCTGGGCCTTGGATAGGGACACGAGGGGTTCTCGAGGAATCCCGGGTTTTTAAGGCGGGACGAGGGCACTGAAAATGCAAGCATCAACTGCCTTGAGTTGAGGCATTGGTAGCCATCTTCTTCGTGTTCATATTCCCCCGTCCGCTTATCTTTCTATTACAAAAAAGTACCGTTTTCCAATACTCATATATTTATCAACTTTAATAATGGACTGCGACGACCATCAAGACTTGGTCTATACCCCTCCCCCTTCCTCACGATCAGAGAGTCGTATGCGCAAAAGGCCAACCCGGCCACCACAGGATACAATGCAGCAGTTTTGGGACGGTTTCAATTCCAAGTTTCCTGGATTGGTCCATACAGTTTTGCCAGACAATCCGTATGCGCGCAACAAAGCTGCCAGGGCCCCCTCGGGTAAAGTCCAGGGCCAACATGCTTCAAAGTCGTATGAACAGGCTCGGGCAGAGTGTCAGCGCGCTGTGGAGCGTATTGCAAGGGAATGTGAGCGACTCAATCAGAAGTATACCGACCCGCACTTCGACATAGAAGTAGATTTGAAATGCAGGAGGAGAAACTATCTAGAAGGACTAGATGAGGAGAATTTGGAAATGCTTCCACGAGGCGTCAAGAGAGTAACAGTGAGTACTAACTTGGCTTGAGATCAAGTTCCATGATAAGATTGAACAATTGCTAACACAGCTATCTTCCGAAGGAAATATTCGAGAAACCAGAGTTTTACATCAATGGGCCCACTGCCTCTGACGTGCGCCAAGGTCGAGACGGCGACTGTTGGTTTATGGCCGCGCTATGTACCATGGGTAACAAACAAGGATTGATCGAGAAGATTTGTGTAGCTCGCAATGAGAAGATCGGAGTCTACGGGTTTTTGTTTTACAGAGGTAAGCTATTGTCCAATTCAGAGGGCATTAGAGTCTTTGATGACGCTAATTATCCTCCTAGACGGTGAATGGCAGCAATGCATCGTGGATGACAAGCTGTATCTCCGTGCCGCTGATTACGATGAGTCTGTGGAGGAACGATCAATCTGGGATGACATCAATCGGATCGATACGGAGGAAGAATATCGTAAAGTCTGGCAGACTGGGTCACGGGCTCTCTATTTCGCCCAATGCGCAGATGAGAATGAGACCTGGCTGCCGTTGCTGGAAAAGGCCTATGCTAAGGCTCATGGCGACTATTCCGCCATCGAAGGCGGGTTTGTTGGGTAGGACATCCCCTGATACCTGTCTCGCTCGAGCGCTAACATACGTTAGGGAGGCGCTTGAGGACCTCACCGGCGGCGTCACTTCCGACGTACTCACTAGCAATATTCTGGACAAGGATCGGTTTTGGAAAGAAGAACTCATGCACGTCAACCAGGAATTTCTCTTTGGCTGCGGCACCGGGATTTTTTCCAACTGGCTGGAGCCAGAATACTCTGGGCCTCCGAGAGATAGGAAAGGTATCTGTGAGAACCACTCATACTCGATTATGGAGGCGAGGGAAGTTGATGGGCAGCGCTTGCTCCGGCTGAGGTATGAATGAAACACTTATTAATTACAAAGAGGTAACTCACACCTTTCAGAAACCCTTGGGGTAAGAAGGAATGGACTGGAGCATGGAGTGACGGCTCCGAGCAATGGACCCCGGAATGGATGGAGAAACTGGGACACAGATTTGGCAATGACGGCGTAAGTCACTCACACCCCCTTTCTGAAGATATACTCATGATTACAAGTTCTTCTGGATTTCCTACGATGACCTCCTCAAGAAGTACCAACACTTCGATCGAATCCGTCTTTTCAACGACGACTGGACAGTCACCCAGCAATGGACGAGCCTGAACGTCCCATGGTCAGCAACTTACCACAGCACAAAGTTCGTACTAGATGTGAAGAACCCTGGCCCTGCTGTGATCGTTCTCTCCCAGGTGAGCATAACCCATAACCACAACACTTCTAGCCCAGCTAACCATAACCCCAAGCTCGATGAACGGTACTACAAAGGCCTATCCGGCGAATACGACTTCGACCTCAAATTCCGCCTACAAAAAGAAGGCGAAGACGACTATTTCGTCCGCAGCCACGGCAACGAGCTAATGTGGCGATCCGTCAACGTCGAAGTCGACCTCGAAGCAGGACGCTACCACGTCCTCATGAAAGTCACAGCATATCGAAACAAAGAAAAGCTCCCTGTAGAAGAAGTCGTCCGTCGCTTAGCACCCACTCGCCGCGGCAAGCTACTTCAGATTGGCCTCTCCTACGACCTAGCACACGCAAAAGGCATCGTCCACGAAACTGAAAATGAGAAACGCGCACGTCAAGAACGCGAGGAACGGCGAAAAGCAGCCGATCGCAGAAAACGAAGAGAAGAAACCAAGGAGAGATTGCAGAAAGAATGGATCCGGGCAAGAAAACTCGAAGCCAGACATAAGAGATTTGACGAAAGATTTGCTGCTAAATCTGGCAAGGAACGGGTTGTTAGGGACGACGGACCACCTGAGGAAGTTGTTCCTGACGGTCCCGTGCAATCACCAATCAGTGAACTAAATCTCACCAAGGAAACCTCTGTTCCTTCAATCTCAGTTGAGAACGGTCATCCCCCTGACCACTGTGTCCGAAGCAGAAGCAAGACTTCCCTATCCGTTCGAGTTAAGAACTCTTCTTCTTACCATGCTGCAAACTCAGCATACTTGGAAGGATTTGAATTCGACTCGGATATCGATATGTCTTCAGACGATGAGCCAACCGAGATCCGCACGCCGGCCAAATCTGTTAGCAGCGCTGGCGAAGGCGATGCCAATAGCGATCCATGGAATGCCGTCTGTGTGGTTGGGTTGAGGGTTTATTCGAAAGATCCTCAGTTGTCTCTGGAGGTTCTGCGTCCCGTGCCGGAGGACGATGTCGAGGCGTCACTTGATATGGACGACCCGTCAGCAAGCGCAGCTACTGAATAAGTTTCATTTTGTTTGTGCCTTTAGTTGGAGATGTGTTTCTATTCTGCTTATGTATACTTCTGTTTTCAGATTGTCTCGATGTCTATTATCTCGTCGACAACCTCAGCGCATTTAGTATAGCTCGTATACATGGTGTAATTCTCCGGCATGATTTCGTCGGTCACCTTTCATTCCCAACTATTGAGCCTAATTCAACATATTGCTCTCATGTCCATCTTAGATAATTATTTAGTGTGGTTTAATTAGCCTGCGGTCAGCCAACTATCGCACTTCTGCCCACGGCGACCAGTATTGCATACTTGGGGATGCCTTTCTAACATCGAAAACATCTCCATATGCCATTGGCCCGACTAAAGTACCTTGGACTTCCTGCTCCCGGACAAGCCGAAAAGAGAATGCCCCAGTGCGGACCAGCCGAACTGAGGGGGAAATGACACAGACGTGACAAGCGACGACACCAAGCCCGTAGTCCTAGTAGGAAAAAGAAGTATGTCCCAAGTGCCAGCCCCATTTGTCGTCGCAGAAACCAACAGTATCTGTTTTGATCTGCCTCAGGCTCTGCGATTAGTACTTAAGTTATAAAGCTTATATATCCCTCATGTCACTGCTGACTTTATGGACTCGCTATCTTATAGTAACGAGCAATATATTGAACCAGGCATAGACTAGTTGTATTATTATCAACGCTGTCAGTGGAGAAACTGATACAGGTGAGTCCCTTGCCATACTAAGTGCCAGGGCCGCTTCATAGGTGCGCTTCTAGGGACGGAGCCCCTGCCTCCCAGCTACGCTATCGGGCAAAAGACTAGAATTCTGAGCCTCCACCTCAGCTGCGCACCCCTTATAAACTCACCCTTAAGGCCCCATCTGGGGGACTTCCCTAGGGGCTGTCACAGTAAGAGGGAACATATAGCATACTTATACTAACAATGACGACTTAGCTAATTCATGAAGCCAACTTCCTACCAGGAAGAGAACAGGATGTCCTTGCCCTGCAGGATACCAGGACCGCGACCGTTCAGTTTCATTCGTTGGCCTTGGCCTCTCTGGGAATTCTCCAGTAATCACGGAGAAGTGCACAGCCCCTGTTTGGCCGCGAGAAGCTTGAGCAGCGCAACCGCTCCTCAATTCGGTGCCCTCCGCGGCGTACAGTTCAGTGGCCCAGTTGTAGGCCGAACCCAGCTCCACGAGTCTATCCTTTCGATTACCGTGTATGGCAGGCTAGTCCCCCTCTCGCGGCCTTTCAAATCCGATGGTTAATTGCTGACTACATGGAACTGCCAAGGAACTGGCCCCAATGTTTCGCTCAATATCGCCGGTTGCTCTGACTCAATGATGATCAATGCGGTGGATTGCGCGTCCGAAACGATTACATGGTCTATTTAGAACCTTGCTCTCCCACACGCCTTTTACAAACAGGAAGAGACATTGTATGTCCTACTATACCAGCAGATCAAATCATGCCCCGTCGACGTTCCAATCGTCTCCAACGCCCCTATCGTCCCTATCGTCCCCCACAAGGCTTGCAGCCGAACATGCCAAGGGCGCCCGATGAATATCTAAGGGACGTACAATGCATACTTTGTGGGGACATCTTATACGACAACAGGGGCGTGTGGCGTGCCCACTATCGAGCCCGTAAGTAAATAGATTAGTTGATATACCGTCGGATATGTTCATACTGACTAACTTTTAACAAACAATTACAGTCTATCAGGCCGCTGGCTCCGTCGAATTGAGTGGTATCGGTTACAAATCTGGTTGGATCCCTCTCAAGGTCCCCACAGACCCCGACAAGAGATGGGACACCATGGGGGACGATTTCTGCACGGTATCTGATCTCCCATGTTGGCCACGGGATCTTTTTATATTACATGAGATCTGCTGGCAGAGGTTGGTAGAGCATATCACACAGGACAGTGTTAATTACAGTGACCTCTACGATGTACTCACAAGACTTCCATTTCCGGCTGAACGTGGTTTGCCTGCCTGACTTCCCATCACAATATTCAATTAAACATATTTCCTTTCTCCAGGCTTTCTCCAGGCTGATATAGGACTCCTTCATAGGTGCTTCGTCGTATTTCAGTTACATGGAAGGTACCGAGCTGTATCAGACACCTCTCCTGATACACCTTCTACAATCCAAGCGAGAACAGCCTATATGCGCAGCTGAATTACAGAACAAGCTAGACAGAAGCTACAATGCAACTGACTGCTTTCGACAGCTCCCTATCGAGCTAATCGAGTTACTTGGGGGCTATCTTTCTACGCAGGATTACCTCAACAGCCGTCTTGCATCCCGGTCTATGGGCGTGCTCTTTCATAAACAAAGATTCTGGAAAACAAAATTCGATATCAATGGGGAACGTGGATTCTTGAACTATCTCGTCAAGGAGCATCAGAATCTGGATTTCGATTGGCGACTGCTATATCACAGCACGTGTAGACTGCGATGCAGTCGATTGTTCGACATAACGATCCGACTTTGGGAGATCAACCGATGGATAAGAGAGGCATTAATCTGCAAGTCCAGAGGCACATTCGCATCATTTATGGACTTTGGCGGACGTGCATTGCAGTACTATCATAATACGATGTGGCCGGAGACCAAGTATCGACAAACCGTCAGGATCCCACCAGATCTTATTAAAATTGGGGTTTCGGCATTTATAGAGCTCGGCGAGTCAGAGGTTACCATCCGAGGCCTTGAGTTGATTCGAGCCAGCGGGCCGAGCATTCTTCTTGGGGAAAAGATTCCCGGATCGTTGGTGTTTGTAGAAGAAGTAGACGACCACGGTGGTGGCCGACCCGATTGGGATGAGGATAATCGCACTAGCTACTGCTTCCCGGGAATTGAGGTGATATTAGATGCGCAAACGCTACAGGGTTTCATGATCACCAACACCGTGAATGGGCGACTTACCCATTTACAATTGATCCGACAAAATGGTTTCTCAAAACCTATTGGTATCTGTTATCTCAATGGCGCCAGTTATGTATTCCAAATGGATGATATTGTCAACTTGGTTGTGGAGTTTGATGTGAGTGGATATGCCCTTTCTGTTCTACCCCTACAATCAGTGGGAGCTGAGATGTTACAAACATCACAAAAAGGCTGACAGGCGTGACAGATGAGCAGTAATTTGAGACAATTGGGCATTCAAGGCTTTGGAAGTAATCAAAAGGCAGAAGAATGGGAGAGGGATGGCTATTACAAAATCACGCGTGATGATGATGATGATGATGATGATGAATGAGCTCCAAAGTCTCATAGCCAACCTAGTTCTGTTCCCAATGGTCAACGATATGGAGCTACTTGATCAGTAGAATAGGGTCGACCAACACAAGTCAATGCTAACAATATGATAAATTTTATGACGTAATCAGAATGTGTAAAGTGACTCTGGATGCAGGAAGAAAAGAAGATGAGACCGCAGTAGAAAGAGGTTGAAACGAAAGCAGAGAGTCAAGTGAAGTGCTTACCTACGTGGATCCTCGATGTTAACTTTTACAGTAAGCTTCCTATGCACCTTCATCTGAGGTATTGTAATTAAAAGACATTCTTTTTTGAGAACCACAGACATGCTATGGTGCTATCCTTAATAAAATTCCGCAGTCTTAAACATATACCCATGGCCTTGAGCGGCAATCAGAAGTTGTAAGCATGTATCGAAGTTTAAGCGAGCAAAAGGGATTTCATTTCGATGAAAGAAAGCAGCAATACTTATGTTCGTGTCATTCAAAGCAACGATAAGTAATTTGGAAAAAAGCCATAGCTAAGCTAGCGAGGCGGGCCCATACAGACCTACCATATCTGGGTGAAGACACAGCGTTCGGGCTCCGAATACTAAGTACTACATGTTCAATACTAGAGCTGTCTTGTGAACTATCAGACGCCCTGTTTATATACCAGCCAGGTCAGTTGTCGGCATGGGTTCTTTATTCGGTCTCACAATAACTTCAATGCCCCTTCAGACTTCTTCACATCTTCTTGTACGTCCGCATCCTCTTGAGGATCATACCCAAATATATAATTTCGAATCATTGTTAGAACATAAGGATTGGTCAAATCATGCCGATGAAACCAAGGGTTAGCCAGTTTCTGATCCTCGGCGGACAGCTCGAATCCCCGAAATAGAGTGCAACAGTCGCACTCAGCCGTGCAGTGACTCAAGGCATTAGGGCGTTTCGTACTCCGCGGCCGCTTGCAACATCCACAGTCGCGGCCACAGCATCCTCCTCTCTCAGCACAATCCCAACAAAGATATTTCATCATGTACCATTCGGGGTGCTTCCGTCTCGTAAGCAACGCGCGTCGCCAAGGTGATTCTGGCATTTTTGACGTGTGTACATAATCTATTCGTTCGGTTCGCCAGATCTGCCAATCCAAATTGTCTAGTTCTTTGTGACATGCTTCGAGTTGCTCACTGCCACCTTCAAATGGCTCTGTTTTGTTAATTTGCCGGCATTCCTCTTTCAGAAATGCTTCTTTTTGCAGCATTCCACGACGTGTCATATCATTCTCGATAATGGTTAGCACTATCTCACGAGTTTCCGTGAAATCAATCATTCGCCAGGAGCTTTGCTTTTCGCGCAGTCGTTGGGCCATCTTCCATCTTCCGGTACGCTCGAGATGGTTCTCTATTCTTATCAGAACTGGCTCTGCCAAGAAGGCAAGCAAACACATGAGCAGTCGCAGCGGGTTAAACATGTTGAATAATATACGCAGTAGTTGAAACAGTAGAACGTATTTAGGTTATGTGTTAGAAACGTTGTCTGGGAAAGGAATATGTCAACTTGTTTGGTAGATCAATGTTCCAAGAAAATATGAACTGCTCAGAAGATTCTTCTGGGTTGTCTTCTTACGAGCCGAAGATTATGGCAGTATTGTATCATCGTGAAGCCTTGATTTATTCATGGAGACATGATGACGACCGGCCTGGGAGAAAAAAAACTACAACAGTGAGGAAATTATATAATCATTTCTTATGGAGCTTGGACAAGTTGGTGAGGATTGCCCAAAGAGTGTCATAATGAGCGAAGCTGGAGATAAAAGTATATAATCAAAATTGAGAGGAGGTGAAGGAGCTACTGGCACGCTCGACAACCCTCCTTCACGTTGGACAACACCTAATCCATAGGAAAACGTCACGAATACTTCTTCTAACGAGGTATAATAAAATGTTTGTGAGTGCCTATCAAAAAGGACTTTCTAAAGCACTATTATTTCAAACTATTACGGAGGCTTTCGAAATGTCTCACAGTCCTCCACTGGAGGATCCGGTCGTCGTTCCAGTCTGGATCTATAACTTCGCCAAATATATTTCACGGGGCAAGTACATTTTTGCTATCCTGTGTGCGAGCGCTCTGGTCATCATTTTGTTTGGCCTTGGGATAGCAAGTTACGCACTAATAAGATACATCGATAGAAGGTATGCACATCGCCCTAACTCAGGCACGTCACAAGGATCGGGGCTAACTCATTTTGTTTGGTTAGATGGCCGGCTCCAGTCCTTGTAGGGGCTTACACGCCTAAAACCCTCGACGAGCTTTGTTGGGTGTACGGATGGTCCTCACCTGGTAGCAAGGTATCCTCAGAAGCTGTTTGTCTCCAGAAACACCAATAAAGCAGACGATGTGCCAACATGGTAGGGAGTCGAGGGATTCCTAATGGGCGGATGTTGCTTACTAAGACATACCGTATTGAGCTAACTAGTTAGCTACATCTTTCTCAATCATTCTTTTCATCCTGTTTCGCGCTTCGTCTCCCTTCAAACCCATGACATGATGCTATGCATACTTTTCACATCAAAAGCCCGTCTTCTATATCATGTATCATGTAGCCACCGTGCCATACACGGGTATTTCCATCTCCGATCTAGCAAATGGGTACGACACGTATCAGTCTCCCACAGTAACAGCCATAGCGTCAATATTCCCGTTGGGAACAACGGTTCTATAGCACTCAAGTAGGTTTATATATGTACCGCAGAAGACAAGCTAGCTTCAGTACTGATATTTTGAACTAAGGATAACTCCCCCGAACTCTAGCTCATTGACAAAACAATCCCAGGAACGCGTCATCATCAACCTTCCTGCAGGCCCAATATTTAACCTACTCCGTTCTCAATCATCTGGAGAGGCTATCCCTCAAACAGTTAACAACGGCGACAATGCACCCATTGCAGAAGCGGAGCGATTGTCACAAATAGCGTCCACCACATCCTCGACAATAGTGACAGTCAACTACCGTCTGGGGGTTTCCCCAGCCACTCCTAACGAACTAACCCTTAACCAAAACCCGTACAAATACCCTACTCCCATCCATGACACACTCGCCGGGTTCGACTGGGTCCAGAAGACTCTTCAACCCCAGCGCCTAGGGATCCTAGGCACGCACATCGGCGGCTCCCTCGCTCTCATGCTCTCCCTAACAGAAGCAATATCCATCCAAGCAGTAGCGGCCATTGACCCCATCTGCGACTGGACTTCGCTTGATGAGCATTGCATTCAACAACCGCCCTCCAGTGATGCTGATGGACACATTATATCAAGCAGCAGCAGGAAAGGCCCCCGCGGAGGAGGAACTGCACCCCACGACCTCGTTTCCCTTCTTACCGCAAGAAAAGCGTTTTTCTCCACTCCCGAGAGATATTTCGACGCATTTGCGTCGCCGTTGCTATTTCTTCGCTCGCCAGGGAAGAATGTTCCTCGTTCTTTCCCGGAGTATCTCACCGGTCCGGAGTACCCCATTCCTATTCTGAAAGCCAAAGAAAGTGTATCTGCGGAAGATGATCTCATCGATCACTTCTGGGATGTGAATCTTGGGGAAGAGGACAGCATGAGTGAGGTGTCTAGTAACTGTGAGACAAAACGAGGTCCGCCTCGTCGGCGGAAGGCGCTCTCCCGATGGCCTCCGTTCGGCCTTGATTACGGGACTAGTGGTCCGGCGTGGCATAATCCTCGTCATGGGATCAAGCGCCTCGAGATGGAACTTCCTTGGGTGAGGATCTTTGCTCGAGTTGATGATTCTGTCTCAATATCGAAAGCCTCTACAAAGAACAAGAATACAAAGCCAAGCGTGCTATCTCAGCAGGCCAATGAAATGATCGATGTCATGCGAAGATCTTGCTTCTGGGGGCGCGAAAAGGGATATAGCGAGAGTAGAGTCACTCTCTGTTCATATCCACATGATCAGCAGGTGGATGATGCAAGGGAATTGGCGGGCCTATGGCTACGAGAGAAGACGGCGGATTGAAAAACGCCTGTTCTATGCATCATGATACCCCGACTGTTCCTGGCAATTTCTACAATCCTGCTTACCAGGTTCTCTTGATACCTGCTTCTGTGAGGGGTTTTGCTTGAGACACACAGTACAGCAGGAGCAAGCCTCAGTATGGTAGAAAGAAGCTCACTGGCGAGGCGTCGAGGTTTCCCTATGCTGCATTAGTCGCCAGGTTTGGGCAATCGTTAGACATCAACATGGAATGTCTTGGTCACATTGTTATAGTACGAGCGCAACTGCTGGGTGAGTCGATACCAAGGACAATCTAAGGTCCTACTGAGGAAGTCACAGGGCCATGTCTACTTGCCTCTATTGAGTAGCACGCAGGCTACTTGCAACAAAACATCCAGAAAATGAACTTACAGACCTTAACCTAGGCTAAAAACACGCAGGTCTTAGGGTCATGGGGATGAACGCTGAAGACTCTAGACACGGGACCCAACCCGCCTCGTTTGAGTCACTGGAGGAGGTACACATATTAGAAGGAACAAGCATGTTGGAGCAGGTATTGGTGCAAGAAGCAAGAACGGATAGGTTGGTGACTCGCAGGCAACTGGTCAGCCGTTGCGGCACTTGTTTACATGTATAGTACATCCCGCGTGTTCAAATTGTGGCGATGACTTTTCCTACGTCTACGGCATGCGTGTTTCGTGTGTCTCATGTGTTCTTGTGAGTTTTGAGGAATCGACGGCGTCCAGGGCCATGGACTTGCTTTAGACGTTGAAGCACCTGCATAGCTATCATCTTACATAGAGGGCTCGGTCTGATCAATGAATATGATAAGAATACTACAGAAAATACACCTGCAATCAGGCGGGTAGTATGTCAAGAAGGTCATGGGTGCCCAGGGGAAGGTCACGTGGGGAAGATCAGGATGAGGCTGTAGGAAAAGACTGCAAAGCAGGCGAAGAGCTAGATGAAGCATATACAATCTGATGACTTTAGAGAAAATTAGTTCGCTGAGATGCCACCAGAGATTAAAGGTCTTCATTGAAAGATTTGTATCGAGCATTAAAATATGTGTCATCTATATCTATATCGCTTTATAACGAAGAACCCCCGAAAGTAGTAGTCCCATTAGGCGAATCCCACCACGGCTCAATATCAGCCAAACTAGGCAAGGTCGGGTCTCCCCCATATGTAGTTGTATTCCCCAGGTGAGGGAACCCGCTATCACCCAAATTCTCAGAGAGCAGTTGTAAATCTGAATCCCGAATCCAGTCCAGCTCTCCGGGCTGACATGCGCCCAAATGCTGTGTCGAGTCGGAAGCTGGCTGTCCTGGTCTGTTATGCAACTGAGACTGAGGCTGGGTGAATGAAAGACCTGGGGCTGTAATTGAAGACGTATTGTTAAAGGATAGAGGAACAGCGGCTTGATTCTTCGGAGCGGTAACACGGGACTTCTTTCGTGATGCCTCTGCATCTGAGATGCGTCCTGTTGGCTGTTGAGAAGAGAGCTGCTGACGGCTCGTTTGGCGCTTCAGAGCTCCGGATCGTCGCATGTGCGCTTGCCAGCGCCGTTGCAGACTGACCAGGAAGTCGCGGGTGCGTTTGGCGTTTTCGAATGACTGGCCTATTTCGTCGAGGGCGCGGAAGCAGAGGTTCAGGTAGGCGACCATTTCTGCGTTGCTGCTGGCGGTGTCTCCGCCTGGTCGGGAACTCGAGATGGTGACGTAAAGGAGCATGAGAGCCGCGCTAAAGATCATGGCGACGACTTGGTTGTTCATACGCCGGAATGTGTAGTGTTTCTCATAGATGTGGAGGAGTCGGGCAATTGCTATCGACGACTCGACGCACATTCGTCGAGCGTGGTGGTATCCGGGGCCTTGGCGTGGGCTGCGCGGTTGGATGTAGCTCTTCGAGACCCATGGTCGGTGGGTGAAGATGACGATTTGATGGTATTGCATGCTATATACACGTTAGCCTCTGAATGCAAGCGAAAGTGAAGTCGTAGATAATTGCGAACGTACTGCAGCACTAAGAGGTGAGGTAGTCTCGGAACATTGTCATTTGCGAGGTCAACATCCAGGCTGGACGGCAGATTGGCTTTCCAAGCGAAGAGGTCATCTGTAACTCTGTGACAAAGCCTTTGCAGATCATGGCGTGGAATGTCGGAGCAGCCGTAGCTGTATCTCGCGTTAGCATTGCAAGAACGACGTCGGGAGTTGAGAACTTACAGGATGTGGCCGACGGGCGATACGATCTCCCAAAGAACGGCAAATTGTCGACTGATCAGCTCGTTCGGATTTCTCAATCCGTTCTCCAATAGGTCTGACTTCATTGGGAGCCCATAAGGGTGCCACATGCCTTCCTTTTCAGCCCCCAAATCGGAAGCAGGCTTTGGGATAGTGATGTCCCCAGCGTTCATTCGGAAGGGCCTTCCCAGGTAGAAACCCCAAAAGCTGTACCAGATAAATCAGTCTGGGTCTACACAGAACCACCACCACAAGATTGCACTTACTGATCCGCAGTATAGCTGCCCCAGAATGCAATCCTACGTACGTCGGCCTCATGGGCACTTATGTCGCCCTTTTGAACATAAGGTGTCGTATCCAAGTGCAGCCCGAGATCGAATGCGAGTCGCATTGACATCCCTAGGTACTGTTAGTCGAATTCCTTGTTGTCCCTGATAGTACCCACTTACCGCTATAGAGCCAACCTCTGGCATCGCGATTGGAGGAACCCTCGTGAGAGCTGAGAATAACAAGAGCTTGGACTGTCGCAACACAAGGGGAATCCAGTTCAATCTCCAGAAGAGCCTTGGCTCTGTCTGCAAAGAACTCTGAAAGCGACTTAGGAAACGTGATAAAGGTGGGATGATACCGGACTTCGAATGCACTCCCGATGGCGCACCTGAAAACTTGTCAAAAGAGGACATCACTAATAGAAGGATGGGTACTTACATGGCATTTGTTAGAACCTCCGAATAAAATGGTGTATCAATCAAGTCGTTCCTCCATTTCATCCTCGCATCCATATACATATCCTTATCGACCACGTAGGTGCTAGGGTTTTGCCATGTGAAGTAGAGTTCAACAAGATGATCCTCAAGGGCCTGGTCAACAGGCTGCCCTACCCGCAGATGATTCAATATATCCTGTCCATCATGCCGGACGGTCCGTGCATCTGGACGTTGGCGTTGTTGTGTCGCAGACACGTCCACGAGATTCAGATTGGAAGTAGCTCCATAAAACCTGAGGTGTCCATCTCCAGCAATCTTCAAAGTTCCGATGCGATGCGAAATCTGTTCGATAACATCTTTTTCGGCTTCATCTTCCTCGCCACTATCAGAGTCGTTGTCTCGGTCCCACGCTTGGCTCAACAGAACGCCCGGTTGTTGGGTGATATCTGGTGTGAACTGCAGGCTATCTGGACTAGTACTGTTCTCATTAGAGCGATTAGAAACGCCATCTATGTTGGCATATAGAGCATCTAAGCTCTCTGCCGTGGGAAGAGTGAACCCCCAGTGCGTCGAAGGATAATTGGCGGACAACCCCGGGTTCATCGCCAAAGGGTTCATAGCCACTTGGCTTCTTTCAACCGGTGGTATGAGACCCTGGTTAGGAAGTACACTGTGCGATGGAGAGGAGGCCTTGGGTACATCCTCAGTGCCACCTATTTGACGGCTCAAAGAAGGAAGAGGGGATGGTGTGTGGGCCGGGGATTGAGTAACGGGTTGAGGCTGCGCATTGTTCCCACCAGACGCCACAGAATCCCTCCTTTTTGCCAGCCCTCGAGGGATTTGGAGGGTATCCAGAACCCTGTTCATGCCCGCCTCATCTTCGGGTTTCATCGGGGGCGGTTCCAGACCATGATCGTAGATGAACTGGCATAATTGGTCTATTCTTGCGGAAAATAGCTCCGTCGCAGCGCGGAGAGACACTCTGGCAAGGATACGGTCAGCCTTGTTTGGCTGCGCGGATAAACAAATTGACCAGCAGTTTGATCCTGCGCTGTTCGCTGAAATTTCGATGTTCCATCCAGACTTTATGTTCGCAAGACGATCGATACCCAGGACACGAGAGGCAATTCAACGAGGCCGGCGGAGAAAACAGAGACAGAGTGAGCGAGCTAAACCTACTTCCGCTTATCATCACCGTGTTGGTATTTACAATCCTTTCCCTTCTTCTCGCAGTTGTGGCAGTTCGGGGTGGCACCGTCGCACTGGCGGAAATTGCGTCAGCCCGGGGGAACATTATACCAAGTCTGATGATAGAATCCAAGAGAGGAGTTCACATACCCTGATCTTGCTCTCCCGACAAGGAACACAAGCGGTGGTGACATGCTTCCGTGGAGCCCGCTTGGGCTTCTCAGACTGCGGCTGCATGATGATTTCAAGATTTGTTGAGTTGGTGCGACAGCAGCGAAAGAATACCCCGGCGTGTGGGGGGTGGGTAAAAGGGAGTTTAGTTCAATGGGAAGGGTGAGAAGAGAAGAGCATCCGGTCACCCAACATCGACTGAGGGCAGTCGGACAGCATGCATGGTCTGAGATGCAATTCAGGGAGAAAGAAGGTCATGAGGACAGACGGAGATGGCGCACACCGTCAATATTAATGTCTGGATTTCTTGTGCTGGGGGGGAGGGTCCCAGCCCGGTCGGCGACGATGCTCTGGGGAAGTGTTGGCGATCCTCTGATAGGCGGGCCTCTCTGGAAGCGGGGGATAATCCCCCACTCGGCGGGCCAATCAGTCTCTCGGTAACCCCAAGCGTCCCTCAAGGGAAAGAAATCCCGCGCTACTCGACTCTTTCGTTATCTCTACAAGTACAAGCAGCGCGAATCGCGCCTTTCCTCGGCAGTACAACAGTGCAAGAACCATCAGTATATGTGAGGCAGGTCAACTATATACACAATCCCTCCATTACAAGTTGCCAGTACGCTTAAGCGCCTCGTTCTGGACAACCTCCACCCAATAGTTATCCGGATCCAGTATGAATGCCACGTACTTCATCCGTCCATCCGTAAGGCGCTTCTTCCAGTTAACATTCAGAGACTCGAACCGATCACAGGCAGCATTGAGATCGTCGACGGAGACACCTGTAACCACCGACGGTTGTTAGCGATCCTTCCTATGTTCTACGAAAAGCCAACTCGTTGAGGCCGGCTCATCAAAGAATATGACTTACAAATGTGTCCAAATCCTTGCGGCTCCGTGTTACCGTTGTGATAAACCGGGCCCTCTTGCTTCTCGGTGCCATAGTTCCAGGTAAGCTCCAGCAGACCCTCCCATTCAGAGACCGGGTTGGTGGCACCCTCGCGCCGCTCAGGGTTGGCACCAGGGTAGCCCAGGAAGTAAAGGTTGAATCCAGCATCCTTGTTCTCGATGGTGCGCAACAGAGTCATTCCAAAGACCTCCTGATAATACTTGACGCTAGTCTCGGCGCATTTGACGCGGAGCATGGTGTGGTTCAGACGGTAGCTGGAGGGATCGGTGGCGGTACCGACATCCTCGTTGTGACGGCGGATAATCTCGACCCAGTATCCATCGGGATCCTTGACAAACGCGATGTGACGCATACGGCCCTCGGTAAGCTTCTTCTGGAAGGGGTATCCGGCATCCTCCAGTCGCTTGCAGGCGGCCTCGATGTTGTCCACAGAAATAGCAATGTGTCCAAAACCGCGGTAAGGTTCGGTGTTACCGTTGACCACGCTGTAGTTAGGGTCATTCTCCGTGCCATGGTTATGGGTGAGCTCCAAGACACCGTTGCGGTCCGTGAAGTGACGTTCACCCTGGAGAGACTGGGGGCCGTCGTAGGCAAGGAAGTAGAGGGAGAACTTGTTCTCGGGGAAGTCGATCTGGTTGACCTGGCTGAGACCCAGGTACTTGTAGAATTCCACTAAGCGAGGAGAATGACAGATGAGTATATGAGCCACCTCAGGGGGCTGCTTTGAAAGGGGAACATACAAGACTTCTTCGGGTCCTTGACCCGAAGCATGGTGTCTGTCGCACAGTCACATTGTTAGATCCAGGCCAGACTGATGATCAGGGCAATGGAAGCCACTAACGGTTAAGCTTATACTTGGAAGTGTCTGTCGCCATGGTTGCGAGGGATCGATTGGTTCCTATCCCGTGGTAAGCTTCTGGAATCGACCCGAGTGGGGAAAGCTATTCTCTGGGATTGATGATGGCACGTACCAGGGACGATGGAGAATCTTGGGACGAGGACCCTGAGGAAAGACGAGCGAAAAGTGGGAAGCGAAAACATGAAGGGAGGAGGGGGAGGAAGCAGAAAGAAAGATGGCTTGTTTGGATTAGTGAGCGGCGTGTGAGGAGACCCGAAAAAAAGGTGGGGGTTCCACCTGCCTATGACGCTATCCAAACAGGCCCGCCGAAAGCTTCCATTAATAATCGCATTTTCTCTAGGATTGTCTTGTATCAATGTCTTGAAATGGCTTCAAGAATACTCTGTCTATCTCTGGGCTAGTTATCTACTCAAATGGTCTACAGTGTCGCGATGCTGTTTGAAGCGATGTGGACGGTGGTGATTAGAAAACCGAACCAAAAGAGGGGAAGGATATATACTAGTGCGGCGGGCATAGTATGATCCACCAAATGAATTACTACAAATTGCCAACTGCTCACTGAACCACACGATACTCCTAGTAAACCTACGACTACTTCTATTAGTTGCTTTTAGAGATATTTCCTTGCCGAGATAAGCGAGACTAGTATACATGATCCGGCCTTTGCCAAATACTTACTTCGTTTCCATACTTGCAGCTAACAGGCTCCTATCAGATCTCCATGACAGTTCGGCAAGGCGGTGAGAGGCGGGATACCCCATACTTCTTTTCTGCCGCCCAACTCAACTACTCCGACGAGCATCTCCAACTCCCTCTTTCCCTCGCCTTGGCTGATCCTAGTCGTTCACTTTGCAACCTTCTCGTGTCCTCAATCCCCTAGCGCAGGCCGCTCTCGCCCTCTATAAGGTTTGTGTTTTTCTTTTTTCTCCCGTATCCTTTGGTGTCCCTCTGGCTTGGAACCCCAGGGATCGTCATCCTCCGCCCAAGCGATCATCGCTTTCGCCCCCAGACATCGGCCTTGTTGGCCATTGACTGCCGCCTTTCATTTCTTTTTCCTCTCCCTTTCCTCCTTTCCCTCGCATGTTATGCTATCTTCGTGTTTTTACTTCGTTCCATTCCTGTCATGGTCATTGGCTCCCGGCTGTGACATTCCTCCGTGAAACATCCCCCACGCCTCGCTTCCTGTATTCTGGAACGTCATATGAATCACACCACGCCTCATTTGACCATGAGATTCGGACTTCGGAATCAGCCTTGGGCAGGAGATCCAACTTACTTAGCTGTGTCTCCCAGCCAGAGTGACAGAAGAGGCTCCTTATAATGATTCACGTTCGTCCTTTGTACTACCACCGTTTCGTCTTATCCTTTACACTTCACCCTGCCTTCTACCCTTCTACCAATCCCACATATCGAGCCCATTTCCTATGCCCTCAACCTCCAATCATCATTTACTGCTCACAATATTCCTTAATAAATTCCCACTGAGACAATATGGCTGAATTTGATTACCCAGTCCGGCCAGGTATCCCCAGCCAGAACCCAGTTCACCCCGAACCGCCCTACCGTCCTTACTGGGCACGAAGCCCCGTCCAGTACGCGCAAGACCTTCTTGGATATTCCGAAGATCCAATCGAATACGATAACAACGATCGCGATTACTGGGACAACTGCTTCTTCTTCCCCGAAGACTGTTCTTGGTCTCCGCCAAAGGGCTGGATTATCGAAAAGGAAACACTTGAACAGGATATCGCGCTTGGAGACTGCTACGAGCAGCACAACGAAGACAACATGATACCCGGCCTTCCGGACATAAAAATGCTGGATGCGGAGGCACTCAGTGACCTCTTAGAGGATAACCTGTCACCTCCGGAAATCACCTCAATGATGTATGGACATTCCTGTTCCTCCGGTGGTAAACATGCTAACGAGCCATGCTTCACAGGGTATTCGCTACCAATGGCGCAATTTTCGCATACGCATCCTCCCTCCCATCCCGGCAGCTGCGCAACCTGAGCGCAACCTACGGTGCCGCGTATACCTGCTACGCGAAGAATGCATCATGTGGGAACCTTACAGGCGTGAACCCAGCCAGCCATCCATCATCATATGTGACCACCCCATCTGTATCCCTGGGCGATGTGGGATCTATTGTTTTTGAACTGGACGATCTGGTGGCAGTTGTGACAAGAATAGCCGACAAGGTCCTTCTTGCCGCAGTCGGGCCATCGAAAATAGGAGATGCAGAAGACGCGGCGACGCCGAACGGGACACAGAGTCATCTGAACGGATCCTCACAACCCGGAGGCGACGACGCCGCGAATGATGGGAGGACATATGCCAGCGTTGTAGCAGCCAACGGAGGCCGTCATGGCCCTAGCTCAGACGCGCAACTCGAAAGCCAGTACGAAATCGACCGGAGCAGTGACCTGGCTCGTCTAGCGACTTTGAACCTTTCCGCCTCACCGTCTATCCTGCTCGCGCTGGAGTCGAAATCTGCAGCGTTAGGGAGATTCTTGGGCCAGAAACTGGCGGATCTCGAAAGTCCTGAAGACTTCTAAAGCATGCACCTCTTATTTCACTCACCCTCAATACCTTCTTTCCCGTACCTTCGTCTGTACCAGCTGCATATTACTTTATCTTTTGTTCCTTCGAACAGTGTATCTAATTCGGAACGATCTCGCACGATTCTCCCAGACGTTTTTTTACCTTTTGAGCGTTTCTATTACACCGATGCGGTATATCTCTATCTCATTCTTATCTCACCTTTCTTATTCTCCTGCAATATATTGAATTAAAACGTGTATTTTTGAAGACGACTTACACATACAGAAACACATGCGCGTGGATGAATCAAGTAAAGACACTAGCTTGTTCATTCTGTATTACATTCCATGTCAAGATCACAAGTAATGAGGAAGATTCGTAAGGAAAAGGGTATAGACACCGAAGCGCAAACTCAAAACTAGCAGCGACTATAGATGAATAAGCTGCTTTTGGTGGCACTTTGTCGCAGGAACCGACGACTTACGTACAATCAGCTGAAGCAGACATATTTCCATAAACGAGCTCACCATATAGACGTAGAAAGAGGTATACCAAGTGCTATACATACTATCGATTACGCAAGAATGGATGAAGAGAATAGGAAGCCAAAAGATCAAGCTCAGAATAGCGATTGCATACAGCAAAGGGAGTATTATACGGGTAGTTAAGTAAGTTAGTTGCATATACACCAAGAAGAATAGATAGTTATCACGCCTTATCCTCCGTAGCAGTGGTCACAGGAGGTGCCGCGGCACTAGAAGCGGTGGGGAGAGTGCCGGAGCCGCTAGTGTTGGTACGAGAGACAGCAGCCGGAGTGGCCGGCGACTGAGCGGTGGGTTCCTGCTGAGCAGAAGCGGGCTCCTTCTCGACATAGGCGGGCGGCTGAGAGCTCTCGGCCGCAACAGGGCTGGTTGGCGAGGTGGCGGTGCTAGAAGAGAAAGTCGGAGCGCGAGTGGCGTCCTTGATGACGGTCCACCACTTCTCGGCCTCGTTCGAGTTGGCGGCCTTGAAGCTCAGCTCGGTGTTGGTGTGGAAGGCATTTCCGACCTTGCCGCTGGAGACGTCCTTGCCCTTGACGCTGAACTTGGAGCCGTCGATGGCGCCAATGATGCAGTCGGGCAGGTAGAGGGAGAGTTCGGGAGCGGGGTCGCGGCGGAGATCGTCGTTGTCCTTGAACTCGTGGAGGTAGCGGGCAGGTGTCACGACGTAGAAGCCGCTGCTGTAGCCCTTGAGCATGGCGCGGGACTTGCGCTCCAGAGTACCCTCGATCAAGGGCTTGGTGGCGCGGTGCTCCTGGTTAGGGAAGGTGATGTTAGAGAGGGAGCGCGGCGGTGCGTCGGGGTTGACGAGGATGTGGTCGTTTCTGGTCATGAAGTTGACCCATTCGAAATCCGGAGGGACCTTTTGCGCCGAGGACAGAATGTCCGTGTACATGGCGCGGTGACGGTCAAGCTGACCGCCCATGTAGACGACAAACTGCTCCATAGCGCCCTGGACGGTCTGCAGGACATGAGCCTCGAACTGCTGGAAGTTGTTCTGCACGGCGATGAGGTCCTGACGGTTGTTGTTCTCCTCGATAACCTGCTTGTTCAGGCGGTGGGTGACACCTCGACGGAGAATGTAAGGATCATGGGCGGTGTCGATCTTGTTATGGGACGCAGCGTCAAGTGTAGCCGTGTGCTGGGCGAGGAGTTCAATGTGCTTCTGAGTGACACCACGAGCCTTGTCGACAGCCTTAGCACCCTTTGCAGCGCCATTCTGCAATTCCTTCGACTTGGCCTTGATTTCCTTGTGAAGACGCTCCAAGGTCGGAAGCACGGAACCCTTGAGGTTCCTCTCAGAGTCCAGGTACAGGTTCACCATGCCCTAGAGCCAGCTGTGAGCCGATGTCGTCATTGTGTGTGTGTGTAACTGGGAAATTTACCTGGGTGTTGGCGCGGATGTTCTCAAACCAAGAAGAAACGCCGCCGGCGCTCTGGGAGAAATGATGACTTTCCCGCAGAGGTTCGTTCACAGTCTGCACGCAAGGAGTCCATTGTATCAGTATAACAGGCGCTCAACCCTTTGAGAGGAGCCCAGTGTAGCCAAGCGCACCTTCAAAACCTTCTCGAAATCCTTGGCTTGCGACTTGGACACCTTGGCCGTCGCAGACACATAATCTTCCAAATATCCACACATGTGCTTCCAGGCACGGAGACGCTCGAGGAGGAGGTTCGTGGTCTGAATAGTCGCAAGATCATCAGCCATCTACCTTAGATTTGTAGAGAATGTATTCCCATCGCATACCTCGTTGCTATCGGAGCCGGGAATGGCCTCGTCATCACTCATGGAAGTCCGACGAGTCATGGCGCTAGTGACGGTCCCCGAACGCTGAGGGAGCTTGTGCTCCACGGGACTGGTAGGAGTCGACATGGTTGCTGCTGCGGGGAAGGAAAAGATACGGCGTGCAGCCTCTCAGGGACACAGCTGTTCAAGGGAAAAGAAGGTCGAACGGCGCCCACGAGAAATAAAAACTGCAGTCGGAGCGGTAGAGGTGGAGGACACCGGAAGCGCGATCTCCGACTAGTCGAGACGGTCGAATCGGCAAACGGATAGGGGCTTGTTGGCCTTTGTTGAAGCGGAGGAAGTGGGGCGTGGACAAGCAGATGCCGGCGAGACGCTCGGAGGAAGAGAAGGAGGAGGAGGGGAGTGTGCCACCAGGAGGTAGGAAAGAGGCGGTAAATATATATGTGTATATAGATAAATCAAATAGACGGAAGAAATCGGGATCTGATAAATGTGATTGACGTCGAGCAATGAGAATAAATCTCTAAGCGCCAAAAGCAACGAGAAGAAAGCAAAGGTAGAATAATATGTTGTTGCTGTAAAGGAAAAGGATCGACCGATGAAGTCACCGCCCAAAGCAGTTTACCCCTCAATGGCGCAAATCAGGATCACCCACGATTTGTTCATCCCTCAGATGCCCTCCGATTCCGGCAAGGGATCATCGTGAAAATGTTCCATTGGGGAGAAGTTCGCCATCCTTTCCGGTCGATTGATCGCAGATGATGAGTTGGCCCGTGTGTGCATCGACTATCTACTCCGGAGTACTACTGTATCTTGAAGGGGGGGAATCAGGCCATGCCCGCTTCGGAAATGCCACCTCCGCAAGCGGATCCCGACTCAGCCACACTTTCCCAGGGGACACACTCAATATTGGCTTTCTCTCTTACATTGTCCTGTGGCTACGTCAGAACTGGAGTTCAACCAGACAATCCCATTCTCATCCGTTCTTTACAGTTTACACATCCAAGAATTTCTTGGCTTTCATGTTTCACGGCAATCCTCGGTACACGCTTTTCTATGTCATTGTTGCAATAATGGAGTTTAGATCTATTGCTGTCGTAACGCTAATGCTATAAAAAGTATTATTAACATGTAAAGTGTGTTGCCTCCTTTTAGAGAGGTCTTTTTTTTTTTGAGGGGTAACATGTGCATAATTCGTGCCGACACCTGGTCATGAAATATCTTGCTCGTAATGTGCCTGTCATCTCATCATGGATAATGATCAGGGTAGAAAATGAAGAAGAAAAACCCGGACTCCTTGTCCTTCCAGTCAACCCATTCCGTCTATTAGTTGCAAACGCCGGTAAAATAAAATCCCCACCCAACGAGTCTAAGTATGTATGCAACTAGAATCATTCAAGAGGCGCATTGAGACCCTCCGTGTTTTGTTCAGAAACACACTGTCACGGGGAACGGCAGTACACGCTGTTGATGCTCTAAAGGGTAGGCCGAGATCTGAAACGCAATGTCCCCAGACAGCCAGCATCCGAGGACCGATGAATATGTGCGAGGTGGTGCTCTATCCGACAGGCCGATCAGGCGGAGCCAGTCTCGCCTTGACCCGACCACCGAGTGGCCCGACATAGCAGAACAACTCCAACTCTTGCCGACACTTTCTCTTTCAAGAAACTTGATCGACTATTATTGTTAATGGAATCTGCAACCTAATTAGACCCTGGCTCGAGCTTGGACAAGACGCAGTCGACGTTCATCATCGTTGTGACTGGAGGTGGAGTGGAGGAGACCAGACCGACTGTGAAGCGCATCGATGGCGGAGAAATATGAAGACCCGCGGCCGGCGGTGCGGACATGAGCCTGCTGAGGCGACTGGGGCGCGGAGATGACAACGTCCTCGGCTATGACGGCTTGGTAATCAGGCAGTTCGGAGTCGCAAGGGCGGACAGTGGTGCGGACGGCGGTGGAGTAACTCGGAACACGACTCAGGGTCTCGACTTCAGCATATTGAGGATGGTAGGGAGTCGCCATTCCGGAGTGGATGTAGTCGTGATCGACCTCATCGGAGGCACGGCGAGAGAGCTCGGGGCTAGCGGGACTGTGCGAGTTGGAACCGGATCCCGCTCCGAAGTAATCGGGAGGAACGCCTAGGCGACGGCTATCGTTGTCCGGATGCTCTTGGTCGGTAGGGGAAGGTTGATCATGTCCATTGGCGCGCAAGATCGATAGACGGGTGTGCAAGGCAGAAGCGGAGATGTCGGTGTTGGTCAACGCATTCATCGAAGCAAGGTTCTCCGCCGACAGATTACGGCTGAGGGTGCCGAACGGAGTACCAGGACCACTTCCAGGGCCAGGGGTACGGTATCCCGAAGGATCAAGTTCGCTGTACAGTTGGTCGAATTGATGCTCGCCATACAAGGGAGGAGCCTGCTGAGCGAGATCATCGATCGCTCTTTGAGCAGAATGAGGGGTCTGGTCGACAAGGTTGTTGTTCTCATCGATGGCTAGGCTAGGGGAGATAAAGATCGAGACGGGAAGGGTGGCGCGAAGCTGTGACAAGGTCAGAATAAACTTCTCAGTACCAATACCAAGTGATGAGTTTGCATACCTCGCTGACATGTCCATCAGGGTTCAAGAGCTGAACGCGGAACTTGAGCTTGTGACGGATTTTGATGCCCCTGGTGTCAGTGTCCTGCAGGCACCGAGTCAAAGTCTTGGGCAGTTCCAGATGACGCGAAAACTGGTATCCCTCTGCCATTTCATCGATGATTTCCAGGCCGCTATCCTCATCCAGCTCATGCTCATCGTTCAAAATGGTTCTCGTACTCTTGTATGTGTTGCGGACGGAATCAGGGTCTTCGGGGTTGAGGGTAAGGTCGTGGCTTTCAATGAGCTGAGAGACAATCTGTCCAATTCTGAGTCCCTTCAGGAGAGGGATCAGCTTGAAGTCCACACGGATGCTGGTTCCGAAAACCACGGCCTTCGTCGGTGTACTGATCGAGTATTCGATCTTGTTTGGCCAGACATTTTCCACAGACTACCAAGAATTGTTAGTAAGACATGCGCCAAAAGTATAGTGTATATGTGGGAGCCCACCATTGCGTGTGCAAGCTCAAGAGCACTAGGCTCCAGAGTCCGAATGATACGGAGCGGCCGACGAACAATAATGTCCTTGGCATATTTGCGTCCGATTTCCGCCTTGAAGCGATAGGTCACGTAGGTGTCGTTAAGGCCTTCAACGCTCTCCGGCATGGATCCCTCGAGAACAAGGTTGATGGGATACTCGTAGTTGCCCGCTGGCAGAACCTCCGTCTTACTCTTGCCCGCATCTCTGAACCTCCAGGTCTTTTCGTAGAACACGCGTTCTCTCCACGACTTTCTACCACCTCCAGCAGTACTAGACGGCAAATGCCAGCTGATCAAACTCAATCAGTTTCGATTCTTGTCGCATCGGGGGGTTGCCGACAGCACTTACCAAACCCGAGAAATACCCGTAAGGTGGAGTCTGATGTGCTTGATGGACAAGGGCTCCGACAGACAAAGAATGAGCTTTCCGCTCAAATGGGCACTGGCCGCTTCTTCCTCGCCTCCGCGAAATACAATATAATCTTCATCAAGACTGTGATGCGATAACAGGGTCGTTAGCCAGCGCACTCGGGTAAGGAAGCCGGCGTGCCGGAGTAAGTGCGAGAATGGCGTGACTCACCGGATATCGAAGTATTTCGCGTGACTGGAGCTGCCTCCGCCACCAAAGAAACTCAAAGCCATGACGTTATTGTGTCAACCAACAGCTGCTCGTGTGCAGCTGCTAGTAGAATGGGGGGAGCCAAGAAGATATATGGGCGTGATTATGGTTGGAATGTGAAAGGGAGGAGTGGGTGGGCGGGAGGTTGATGTATTTAATCAAACTAAAAAAGGAGAAACGTAAAAAAAATTGAAAAAAAAAATGGAAAAAGAAAATTTTAAAAAGAAGGTGTCCAAGGAACCACGACAATGCGACGGAACTATGGCGCGAAAGGGAATAAAGCCTGCCACTGATCTGCTTAGGACTGTCCAGATTTGCAGACAAGACCGGGTCGACAACGGGTCCCACTATGAGCAAGGAAGTTGGTGAGTGGAGACTCCAAAGCAGCCGTTTCCGTCACTTGCGTCTTTGGGTCTTTTTCGGAGAGGCCTTTTTGGCCCCGGGAGTGGCAAGGCGGTCCTTGGGTAGGGAAAATTTTGGGTTAAGTGTCCCGAGGATGATGCGATTTACCAGCGGTGTGTTGACTAAGCCAGGCTGATGAGATAACCTGATGCTCTAAAGATAGAACGATGACTCGATGATGTGACAGCACTTTTGAGGGAAAGAAGACGACAAGTTAGTATGGGAGAAGTTTAAAGGTTGTGAACGGGTAGTATCGGTATCGGCAGCGCAGACAGTGAGATTTTAAGAAGCGGGAAGTAGGCCGAAAGGGGATGGATGGATGGATGGCAGCTGGGCTTTCGAACCAAACTGAATGTTTTTGAGTGTGAGTGTGGGGGTTGGAGGGAAGATGTTTTTATTACAAGGGTTCAGAGGACAGTAACAACAAAGTGAATCAAGAAGGTGAGCCGGAGTGATGGCGAGAGAATGACAAACGGCGAACGACAGAAAGCAAGAGCAATGGAGAGAGGCGAATGCAAATGTTCAGCCTGAATACGTTACATCACCAACATACCGGAGAAAAGGCCGCGGGCGCAGGAACCAGATGCCACGGGGGTTCCCTTTCGTAAGGGAAACAAGGCTGGAGGGGTGAACTGTCACGGTGTGCTTTTCCCGCTAGATCAATTCGATAGTAGTGATCCTCCCACTCGTTATCGTGACCCGTAATAATCACACGATAAGTGTGTGATTTGATTATTCTGTTTTCTGTTTCCCCTCGTGGGAGTTGGTCACACAAAGTGGGTTGGCTAATCTTGCAGTGACAGACAGAGATAGAGTAGAGAGACACAAGTAATGACTTCTATGAGCAGATACCAAGACTTTTATTTTATCAAGACCCAGCCCAAGGCCCATCATCGTCTGGGATCGTCCGGTTTTATCTACACGGAAGCATTGCTCGTAAGATCGGCCCTAGGCCTTGGCGGCACTCCGGTTATCCGGTGGCTATCACAAGGCAAATGACATTAATTCCTGATGGGTTGAGAACCCAGTAATGATAATCACCAAATGACGATCATCGAAGTAACATTAATTTATTATCCTTTTTTAAATTATTATTATTATTATTTCCCCTCCCTCTCCTCCGCCTCTGCCTGGCAAAAGGAAAGCCAGCAATTCTGTTGGTCTGCGTCGTGCAATAGTAGTGTCTGCATGCCTCGGGATCATCCTTCCCGCATGATTCTCGATCTAGTCTTCTTTTGGGGGGCAAATCGGGTTAGACATTCCGCAGGAACAGCCGGTCTTGCGAAAACCTGCGCGCACATCCTGGGATATCATCCTACCCTTCAGCCCTTCTTCAGCTGTGCCCAGAAGGAACTAGGATTGAGTAAACTAAATCTGTGATGGATGGTCCCGAAGGTGCTCAGGCATCCTCATTACCCCTCCCCCTCCTCCCCTGATGCCATCAAGACTGCGCGTCCATCCTGCAGGGTTGTCGCACAACAGCTTGCAATACCAGCTGCAGGTGCTATGCAAGAGATCGTGACCAATTCACCCTAGCATTCGTCACTCCTGAACGCCCCACCAGATGATCTGCTTATCATGCTACTCTGAACCCTGCACCCTCTCTCTCCCTCTGCTCTGTTTTGGGTGTCATATGTTGTTGTAACATGGCTTCCCCCCCTCTCCCTTTCACACCCCTTCCGTTTCCATAGTGGACACACCACTCCGTACTTTCTGCAGAAATATTTGCCCTACGCGGGTGGCATGACATTTCAAGTATCAAGCCATGTGCGGCCCGACACTGATAAGAAACTCGGTAAGAGGCGTAACGTCAGTGGTTAATAAGATCGCAAGAGACAGCGTCCACTCTTGTGTACAACCCTTCCCTGGTAACAAAGCAACATGGCGAGGTACCTATAGTAGTCTAGAATCCTACATAGTGCATGCATCTTCAACGCCAGCTCCAGCCCAAGATTTAAGTCGAGCTTCGCAAGCCAATGCCTGAAAGTGGAGAGCGACGCATCCATTCTAATCTCCTCGGGCAGGACCATTGGCTTCCGACCGCAACTCCACCACGGCTATCCTGGACAGGCAGGTTAGCCCACGCTACCGAGCGATACCACCACTGAAATATACAACTCCTTCGGTCATCTAGGACAGGGGGAAGGAGATATGAAACCCTTGATATGGACATCGCAATCGCGTAATGATCCATGCAGAGGGGTACTGTCAAATCAGAGGGCCCCATATTGGATCCGAATCTTAGCGTTACATTCCTTAACCTGACGTGGACGCGAGACACGCAAAGCGACGACGCTTCATAGCTCTTTGCGGAAACCAACCTACTTGTAGGAAATGCTCTGCAGCGCTGCTCTCTGCAGAAAACAAAGCTCCTGCCCATGACTGATTCTACTCCCTGTTCGGTGTAGCTACCGCTGACGATGATCTACAAAGCTTTGTCGTCCTCAGACCTGAAGAGTGTAATAGTGATGTACGTACCCCATGCGGAGTGCTGCGGTGCATAGCATTGACTGCAGAACACGCATGGCTCTCGGACATAACCGTCGGCGAGCCGACGATGATAGCCACATGTAGTAGGAGGAAGAATGCACCGACCGGGGTTGGCAACGAGGGTTTGCTGGCTGACACGAGCAATTGTCCAGCTGGGCTGGATAATTCCATGTGAAAGCGCGCGTCTATAGGGCTTCTAGAATTGAACAATACTAGTAACAATAAGATCTCCATTGGTACCTGACCTTAAGTTCTCAGTGACCCTTCACACTAAGATTACTTTGTTCATAAGCCACCCGCGTATGCTTCGGGACACACACCGCCGTCGGGTGCTTCCGGGGAGACACCCAACATGTGATCGGAGAGAGTCGCATAACTCCGATACTCGCCACTACCGCGACCCGACTTTTAGCGGCATCACCACGATTACGAGTCCTGCCAACCGCAAACGTCGATATCGGGGGGAAGGAAAAAAACTCTGAGTGGATTGACAAGGACATTGTTACCCTAGCTAATCACCGTGCTCATAGCTGAAAATTTACCAAAATTTCTTGCCGTAATGGTGACGCCCGCTGAAGGAAAAGGAACTTTCGGGCCGCAACTCCCCCAGTAGCCTGGACACACCGCTAAGGTCTCTTGACGCAAACCATGATCTCACGAAGAGCGCTCGAGACCTAGGCGCACGCGTCCTATCGCGACGGCGATCATGGACCGCCAAAAGAATGAGAGGACCCACCCTATCGTTGTCACTCCCCATGAGCAAGTGACGGACGACTCAATTGTATCGACACTTCAGGGTTGAAGTGGACGTCGGAGTCGGATAGAGTCGGTGAGTCAGGGTTCCAGAACAAATTTTCAGATGGATATGATGTGCAGAACTAACCTGTGATCACATCATCCAGGCCAGCAAAGTCAATAATGTGGGCCAAGATAGGGAACTGGGCCCACTCTCAGATTTGGGGCTCGACTGTCAAAAATTCAAAGTACGGCTTCGAAGTCCGCCATTGCAGGTTGTGCTGGACTTTCCTAACCCCCTTCCCACCACCCAGCCTTCTGTAGGCAGCCTCCATGATGATCCCTGCTGGCCAGAACCATTTTGAGGAACTCGGGCGATGGCTAATTGCGCCAAAGGTTCTCCAACGGTGACGCAGCTCAATCACAGGCTCATCAGCGGAAGCACGCAGACTCTGAAAACAAGACCAATAATGATTAATAACGACATCTGAGTGATAGATTTCCAAGATTGATGCTGCAAGCGGCCGCCAACGTGCAGCCAGCCATGTTTCACCATCTCTAGGCTGATACGGAAGCTAAGATTAGGTACGGAATGCCGTGGTCCGTAGGCCTTGGAATCTCCCTTCGGCTTGCCGAGTAGTACTTTGGTCTAAGGCGTCTAGCTCCATCATACGAACCGCTGCCCCGTTATTCCGCACAGAGTTGGCGAATCACAAGCGACAAGACAATCAATGACTACCTTTGGGGTGTTGATTGCCGTGGCAAGTTAGTGAGACAGATTCGTAAACAGTATCAGGACACCCTGGCGAAACAATTGGTACAGCGTAGCGCGGAAATGCCTCAATGGAAAAGCCTTGTCTTCCAGATCCTGAGGCCTGACGTGGTCATTGGCCGGTCGGATAACAGCCACAAGCCAGTCAAGGGGCCCTGATTCCCGACCGTTGGTCTCAGGCGATAGACCAATGGATAACATCCATGGGCTGAACCAGGGACGGGCACGGACTCAGTGCGTTGTCCACGACCAGTGGGAATCTTCTTCCCGCCCCTTGACCACTCTTTCTCAGGCTGCCACGGAGTACGACGGGTGTCCCTCCTTAGCATCTGCAATCGCGGGCAAAAGAGGGGTAAGTAAAATGAGGATGAACGAGTAAGTCAGGAGGGGAATTGAGAGTAAAGCAGAAGTAAAGCAACCCATCGTGAATATCTCCGAGGCGGAAGTTGCCGCTGGTTCCACTGTTGAATGCCTAGACGGACATGAGACCCCAATGCAGCAAAAGCTTGACGGTGCAGATACTAGACGATGCGAAGTAGACGCCCAAGGGGTTTAGAGCATCGGAGGTCGGTAAAAGGTGAAGGAGGGTACACCGGGTGCTGGATGAGGGATAATGATTTTTGCGCCAATTCCCTTGGATGGTGCCTTTTCCGTTGCTTGTGGACGGAGAATTTCCTTCCAGTGTTGCGACCCAACGGGCGGCGGTCCTGAGCGGCACGTGGCCCGAACCGAGTCCCATTCGTGTAGTAAATTTCCCTATTTACCCGAGTTATGCGATCGCAAGAACGACTCTTCCTTCTTGTCCGATATGGGTCGATACGAGCAATCATCTTATCTGCTGGCCCTACGGCAATTTGTCCGGGTCATACCTGGCGCTAAGGGACTTGTGTTTCTCCCCCTCTGGAAAATAGCTCGTCCCTCCCCATGGCTGCCACCCATGCACCGGCAGATGCTTTTGCAATTGGCCGGTTGTCTGCCCGGGATCTACATTTTAAACACTTTGTCTCGATGGTCTCGACCTTCACTGCCACTTAGATAATCCTCCTGGCTACTTAATCACTTATCTTTCGTACTTTGTCTGTCCATCCTGTGAATTATACCAGCCCAGTGGTTACTGGTGCATTGAAAGGGTGAGCAAAGAAGAGAAGGATGGTTACACGGTATCATCCAACTTTTGAAGGTCAAGGTCGACACATCCCAGCAAACACTTGTGTGACTATACCTTGAGGTCTAATCGATCGGCTCAGTCCGTCGCACTTGTGTCCGTGACGTATCAACATGATCGTCAGCACTGCCCCTTGCTGTCTCCATGGCCTGAGCTCATCGCCACGTTAATTCGGCATGACTCTCAGGTCCTCTACCGAACCTTTACCCGATGTGCGCTTATCCATAGACACTAATCGTTGACATTCCCATCTGAATTGCGGTTCTTTGATCTGAACGGTGAAAGTCTGCACATCACCCTAACAAAGATTCTTGAACTGCCCAGTGCCTCATACTCGTATCTAGCTCTTTGGATACGATGGTATCCGTCTAGCTCTTGGATGAGCTAGACTTTAGAGGAACGATAAGTCCAAGTACTGTAGCATCAGCATCTATCCGATCCAGAGCACTGCTCTCACACGCTGAATGCATGACGTGCTGCTACCAGAACACACACATGACAACATCGCTCGCATATAGACGTTCGGGCGCTCTGCCAGCTGATATCCTATAGGCCCGTTTATCAAGGCTGATCGGCTGATTTAGCGATCGGGATCACCCTTACCCTATCATGATGGGAGCCCGTTCGTTGTGATCGAAAGGTAACTGAGACCGTAACTCCTTACCCCAATGTTGGAAGGGTCTCGTTCGTTCGATGGCTAGGACCTCTTACCGAGTAAAGCTACGACCTTCTGAACCAGAAGCCCAGAAAGCATCATATCCTTGCAGGTGCCACCATCCAGCTGGTGAACAGATGCTGCTAATGGTCAGTATATAACGCAGACCTAGAATTGAAATCTGGATAGGATGGCACCCCCATCGTGTCGTCATGAAAGTCCGTGAGCGAACAGCCCTGTAAGGTCTAGAAGCAAAGGACCATGCTGTGGAACCGTTATCTATTCGTGAAACGAGGCTATGGATGTGACGCGATATTGGTGGCGTTTGTCCCTATCACGAAAGCTTATCCATGTCTTTCAATCTCTACTGTCTAGGTCTATCTACAGTATTCTCGGCTTTTGCTTCAGACGAATCATGTCTTCCCCAAGCCAGGGATCTTATCTCGTGTGGTATCATTGAGAGCCAGACGAGTATGGTACGTGATGCCGTATGCCATCGATTATCAGCAGCCATAATCCAGATGCCCTTCAAGCTCCCAAGACTGAGTACAAAAAGCTACACTACCTATACCAAACAGCAATGAATATGAAGCGAAAGCCGAACTATTCCAGAATGTACTATATAACAATAGAGCTGTTTCCGGTATTGTACTTTAAGTGGTTCATAAATCGCTCAGCACATGCAAGTGTTCTAAAAACATTACGTAGCGAACCACTCGAGCTGACGCCACTATTTATATTGGCCCTATAGAAAATCCATATGATTTTTTTTATCTAAAGTGTTGCCTTATGGTATTCCATTTACCGTATCTAGCGTCTTACGATGTGTATGAATCCATTCTCAAGGCCTGCAATAAATAAGTCGGCGTGATTATGCTCTCCATACCTTCCCCTTTCATGAAAGTTCAATAATTATTTCCAACAAATTCCACGTCTGATAACCTTATGGCGCTGGCTCGCGATGACACCAGTCTTGGCGGCACCGGGGATGCCCATAGACACCGCAGCAGTAACATCCTGACAGCACAGCACTGCTGCTCTCTAGTATCCTTATCCCTTTTGTTGATATCCAAAACCATAGCAGTACTCTTCTGATACTAGTAAGCAGTCCAATTAAAACAAAGTCATACTTGAAAGATTTGCGGACGAACAGATCGCGGAATATCTTGCGGAGATAGAAGTAGTCTGGCATGTTATCAGAGATTGTAAGAAAATAGATCGAATTCAAGTCAATAAGCAACTCGGTAAAGAAGTCATAATACAGGGCTTCACTACTGAGATAGTCATCTTCTTTTCCATAATATAAAAAATACTTCTTCTTAGTAGCAGTCTTCAGGCCTTGCCAGGGATGGATACCGCGGCAGAAGTGAAGTATATCATATATAAGTACTCCATATCATCACAGCGAGACTGCTAAATATCTAATAAATATTAAATTTAGCGTAACGAGCAGTTCCAGTGAGGTTCTTATTCTCAAGCTATGAGACATGAAAGTGAGTCTTGGGTTCGCGGTACTTCTTAGCCAGACCGAAGGTGATATCCCTCCGACGAGGACTCCAAAAAGATCTAAGGTTGCTTGTAGTTGCAACTTGCTCTTGAATAAAGTTTGAGTTGCATGTAGTAGCACTATGTTATGGATAAAAAAGCACAACACTTCGAAAGGAATCTCCCAGGGTAAGTTGAGTTAGGGCTCTAGAATTGTCTGTACCATGGTATCTTGGGTAGTGGATCAAGGCCGACTTAAGATATCTTTATAGGAAGTAGTTTTAGCTGGAGCATAATCTGGTTGTAGCTGCTGTGGCCCCGGGTTATAGTCCTGGTTAAAGATAAGCGACTGAACGTGGATTCATAGCGAATTCTGTTTTAGACCAGCCAGTATTTCTGTGTATCTCGTGGACATATTCCAGTTGGAATATCATATTTCCTCTTTCTGGTCTACCAAGTTTTGAAAGGTGTCCTGCCGTCTGATTATAAAATCATTGAGTTTCGTCTTCTGTTTCATGACTATAAGTCATACTAGGCATATGGTATGAAAGTGATGAGTAAATATGTCAAGTTGCTTCTCTAGAGAAGTAGAGATTTGCTAATAATATAATTAAGAAGAATTAAGAAAAGAACCAAAAATAAATCTTTTTCTAGACTATTAATCAGTAGAATTATAATAAAATCATAATAAATAAAATATTTAATAAATATATTTCTGATTATAAAAAAAATAAAGAAATAGATAATATTAATATTAGAAAAGATTAGTATATCCAGAGAAAAAGTCAGAGAGCTATAGATATTTATGGAGGTCTCTCTTAGTGCACATGAACTGAATACCATTTGGTATGTAGAAACTAATTTTCTCCCAACTTTGAATCACTCTGTGCGTGAACCATGTGTAGGGATGTGTAGGATGCGTAGGATGCGTAGGATGCGTACTGAATCAATAGCAGTTTAGTCAACATGTAGAAAAAGCTGGGCCACGCCAGGCTAAGAACAAGATCTTCTATACGCTAGAAGGAAACTGGCGGATTTTCATTTTATGTTGAGGAATGGCGTATAGGATCATATAAATATGAATCAGCCGAAGATTGAATAGTCATGAGTCTGAATAGTAGTAATATCATTGTTCAGGTTCCACAGTTTGATCTGCTGATTACTCAAAATATATATCAGGAAGAAGTAGGAAGCTAATTCATCAAGCCTTTTGACCGGTGGAACGGGCTGTAGGTTATATAGTATCAATCTTGATTTCTTTTCAAGAATATAAATTATTGTTCGAAGTAGTATTGTTTTGTATGTTCCATATACCAGGGCTCTTGTTATATTATCTTGATCAGTAAGTTTGAGGAGTATTACACTGATCGATATCGTTATGATATATTCGCTGATTTGGCCCACTGGTCAATGTGACGATCCCTAGGGGTTCCGAAGGGCCCTCGGAGCAAGCTTATTAGGGATGCGCAGCTGAGCCTGGTGGCTCAGAATGCTAGTCTATGTTTGCCAGACCGCTACGCTATCTGGCAGGGGCTCCGTCCCTAGAAGCGCTCCCTAAGTGGCCGTGATAGTTCGTTCTTCGTATCCAGCATAGACTATTGTAGAGTATATAAAGTACTAAGATAAGATTGTATCTTCTAAGCTGCTTCCCTAGGATATAGAAAGATATCAGAGATTAATCAAAGAAAGAAAGAGAAATCTAAAAGTAAGAAAAGTATTTTATAAGCTATTAATCAGTGAAGTCAGAAAAGGACTGTAATTAATATAGAATTTATTTAAGTAAATTCCTGATTCACCGGAATATTGAAGTCATAGGCGACGTGAATAAAGTAAAAGACTGTAATATCCAGAAAGTTAATTGGGAAGCTACCCAGATCTATACAGATACATTCTTCTAGACAGTCCCTTCCTAGCCACTAATACAAGTCAAACACAAGCTATGCACATCGCAACGCAAACCACCCGCCTCGCGTTCCCATATAATAATATGAACTAAGTGATTAAGAAAATAAAATAAGTATGCAGGTGGCGAGTAGGCAGGTGGGTAGTGTATCAACTCGCCCGCGAGTCAATACCCCAGATGCAACCTATACCCACCTACCCATCCTCCAGCCAGTCGACAATATAAAATCACCATACCATCATCATCACCAACACACCACTGCGGTATCAAATCAAATCAGAAAATCCACCCCAGAATAATCCAAATCGCCACCGCAACCGTCACTACAATTCCCGCGACCTTCAACACCGCAACAGTATCACCTTGCCGCGCCATACGGGTTAAACGGCTCGCGCTACCTTTCAGATTCGTGGAGAGGGAGGAGAAGACTTGATTCTAGACAATTTATCAAGCGACTGTCAGCTTTCCATGACCACGTACACAATGCAGACATAGTTCCTCCCATACATAAGATCCACAAAGAAACTAATATATAAATAGAAGGAAAAAGGAATCAACGAACCGAATGATCCAACGTATCCTGATCCCTCGCATTATCATAGATATCAATCGTAACGGACTTCAGCGCGGAGACCTTCGACGAGAGGGAGTTCAGGAGCGCATTGTTTTGTCTATCAAAATATATCAGAAGATCATCCGAAAAGCCCCTCAATTCCTTTGCAGAGGGATAATCAAGGGAGTGTGGGTGGATTATCGTACTGTTCACGTTCGTAGGCGTCGGCCATTTTGCTTCAGCGGTGTCGCTTCTCGTCACTCGATACTCTGCTGATTCGTTTCTTGTTGATTATGGTATGAAATATATCGTTGTATCGGTTACCTGATCCGCTTCTTCGACAGGGACTGGGGTGAGTTGGTTCTCCTTTTAATGTTGGCAAAGGGAAGTGATGGTCCCGTCCAGCCAGGTCGGGATGACGCTGTGGAGGCTGTGGGGAGATAGATGCATGTCACGTGATTGGCTCGATGGCTGGCCGGGTCGAGTGGAGCCGGGCTATTTTAGTATAGCTAGTTGGAGCGGCTAGGATAGATGCTGGGTGGATTAGGGGCTCAACCATGTCTAAATGAGGGACCGGTTTTAGAACATTTTCTAGAAGTACAGTTGACCAGCATGCAGATATTAAATTACACATTGGTTACGAGGATTGACTGGAGTACTGGTGTCACAGAAATCTGTGAACCAATTGGAGTATTCAGACTTCTATAACAAGGCATCGTTGATGCCGGACAGAAAACAATCGACAAACCCCAGACGCTATGCGAACAAAGAAACCCAAGACGAGAAGCTATGTCAGGCCCTACCCTACCATCGTGGAATATTCAACGGACCACTATATAAGTTGACACAACAAGTGTTCAAACGAGAAGAGAGGAGCTTCAATGGCTTCCTCTGTATACCCCTATATGCCCTGTGCATAGAAAATGAAGAGTCCACCACCAGGGGAGTAAAAAGAATGCGAGGATGACACAAGAAGTAAAGGCTAATATCAGTGTACAGAGTGTGGGAGCCGACCAGACGTGGCACAAGGGGTATTTAGTGCGCTGCAATTGAGTCAACAGCAATAGAGGGAATCACCTGTCTGTTCCCCATCACCACATATCATCGTCATCATCGTCAAGCTGGACGTCGTCGCCAAATGTCGAGTGACCATACTGGTAATGTCCCGGACCATATGCATTACCATTCTCGTAGCCGCCCTTGCTACTTTGCGAATGGGCGCCATAATGATCATGCGCATCGTCGGTATAATCGTACATTTGAGGATCATCGTAGGAACTATCTGAATATTGTTGCTCCTGAGACTGTAGTTCGACGAACGGTTAGAACCTTCAATGACAATAGAGCAGCTTTGCAGAATACTGACCTCTTGATATCTTTGGTATTGTTGATACTCCTCTTGTTGCTTCTGCTGCTGCCGCTGCGCAGCGGAAGTAGCCAACATCATGTGCGGATGCATCTGCTGTACCTTCGCCAAGTAGGAGTACATAAAATTGCTGAGCAAGACCTGAGAGTACAGCGCGCGCCGAGGATTCGCAAGCTTGATGTGAGCCATCCGATAAATCGCTCTTTCTTCTAGAATCGAAAACCGAGTCCAAGCGTAATCAACATCCGGCCGCAGCTCACGCACAGGCGGATCAGGTGATAGGTTTCGGGAAGCGCTTTTCTTGTGATGATGGTTGTGATGGCTACTGTCACCACTGCTCTTCTTCCTACTTCCGCCAAATATGGAGGAGAACAGTCCAGACTCCTTCTCTTTTTTCGACTCCCCGGAGGTCCGTCGCGCATTGTCTTTGCGACGCTCCTCTTCCAATTTGGGATCCAATCGATCCACTGCAACGCTTTCGCGGCCCCGCTGACTGGAATCGCTGGACGAAGGCAGAGCGTGCGCTGTCTCATGAACTTTGTCCACTAGCTTGGCCTTGAGTTTCTTAGAGTCACTGTCCTTGTCCTTCTTCTTCTCCTTATCTTTATCCTCGGATCCCAGCAGCCAGTGCCAACTGGATTTGCGGCCACCCTCTGAATCTTTTTTGTCTTTCGACTTCTTCGACTCTTTAGTTTCCTTTTCCTTCTCCTTCGAGTCGGCCTTGCGATCCTCGAAAGTTGGAATGTAGGACAGGCTGTCCGTTCGGGTGGTGTTTCCAGGAAGAGGCTGTGGGGTATTGGCGAAGTCATTGAAGGTGGGTGTGGTCTCCTTGTGAGTGCGACTATTTACCGAGCGCTTACTTGAGCTTCGTTCCTGCATTCTATCTTGACCCATGGGTGCTTTCGGGGATGCATGTGACTGTGAGGTCGGTGTTGAAGGCGTGGTGGGAGTCCCAGGAGGAGGCGTTTCGATAATTTCAGGTATCTTTTGTTCTGAAGGCGGAACATCCACCGTTGACCGTCCATTGGAGCTGATCCGTGAGTGCCATTGTCGTGAATGTGCTGGTGCGCTGGCCCTGTTCGACGGATCCGATGAGGCTGGATCATAGGAACGGTCGTTGGCTGGTTGTGATTCTTCCACCGCTTCGTCTACACTGGAACTGGCTGTCGTCGTACTAGTTGTCGTACTAGGGGCCTGGGGTGCGCCTTGCGTCGACTTGGCCGCAGCTTGAGCTCGCGTGGAACTCGGTGTAGGGTCGGTGGACATTCGTGTCAGCCCCAAGACTGCTTGACCTCCAGACGAAGTAGTCGGCGAAATGATCTTCTCATCTGCATCCGAAGTCCTAGCCACGCGCTTCGAATACGGTGCCTTCTCGCCCTTCTTCAGACTTCCAGCCTTCCTATACTGTGTCCTTGTCGAGCGTCTGAGGCTGTGGCTTGGAGGTGCAGGCGGAAGGATAGGTTTATCGTCGTCGGTGGAAATGCCAAGTTTTTGGATCCCATCGAGGATGTTCGTTGCGTTGGGAACTCGCGGCTTTGAATCATTCACTATTGTTTCTAGTTCATGCAGATTGGGCCCTAACGAATCGCGTTTCGATTGGGAGCGTTTTCGTTCGAGTCGCTCGGCGCCATCTGTATATCCCTGAGAGGTGTCAATTTGCCTGGATAGCATGGACCGCTTCCGTCTCAAGCCCCCTACTGATCCTTCACGCTCCGGGCCCAAGGTAGAGAAGTCGACTGATTTCCGCTTAATCTGTTCTGTTTTACTCTCAAGGAAAGACTTGAACTCCTTCGGGGCAAGTTCCGGGTGCAAGCGGGCTGGAACCCAAAACAATCGCGATGCATCGTTTTCGTCGTCGGAGGGAGAGGGCGCTATGGATGGGACGGAGAAGCTTGGGAGATCGGGGTCATCCGTAGCAGCAACATCCATAGACATCCGCCGGATCGCGGCTAGATTGTTCAGCTCTTGTGCTACGGCGGCCGGGTCGGATTCATAATCGACGTCGTTCAAGGGAAAGGAGGTTGTGGCTGTGTCAGTAGATACGGGGGATGTGGTGGACGCGGGAGACGTCGGGCTACTTTCAGCGGACTTGGCCCCATGCGGCCATGGCTGCCCGTTCGCTTGCCGATTATTGTGGTCATTCAGGTGATTTTGAACTTGTAGAGACTGTGGGGAGGTAGGAGATTCGCAGCCGGCGAGTTTTGTGGGAATTATCGTGATGGATTCGCTCAACGGGGAGGATATGAAACTGAGGCGTCGAGAATCTCGCTTGTCGTAATCATCATCGTACATATGACCAATGGCTTCGGTGACATGGTGACTAGGGTCACTGATCGACAGTTGAGGTACATGGCCTCTTTTCGTGGCATATCCTCCACCTGGCTCAGAGGGGCTCGGTGAAGCCTGAAACTCACGAGGTTATGTTTAGAGACAGTCCTTCAATAATACAATTGAAACAGGGGTTGGGAGGGTCCACAACGGATCACTCAACAGATGCTTTCTCGCCAGGTAAACCTTTCAGTAAGAATAGACTGAAGGCCGGGAGCAGCCTTAGGCTATTCCCAGAGTGTTGTTGTAGGCGAGGGGTACAACGGGGGGGAAATTTTTTGGGTAGAACGCGGACATAAAGAAAGCGACGCACCTGCATGAGAGCAAATTAACCGGGGGACCGGACAGGAAGACGCCCCGGGGTTGGCTAAGGATTAGGAAAGTCGCTTGGTGGTGAGGAGGTCAATGTACCACCAGGGCCGTAAGACAACGCAGAGAAAAGGTAGTCATGGAATCATGGGAGCGGGGAAGAAGCGTCGACGGAGAGGAGCAACCACCAGGGTGATGAGAGGAAAGAGAGGCGGGCGATGACGGCTAGGCATCCGGCGGCCGAAGATGCGATTTTGGCGGCGATACAAACGAGAGAAGAGGTAGAAAAGAAATGGAAAGGAAGAGCGAGTGACGACGCTGAGGTGGGCGGTAGTTGTTCCTCGTTAGAAAGAGGATGGGGATGGGGGACTTGGGAATTTGGCACAGTAAGTAGTAGTTCGGTGCTGGGACGAGAGGACCTGGAGAAGGTGGACGAGACGAGGGAAGGCCGCCGTGCTTTGGTTGGCTGGTCTGGCTGGGCTGGGCTGGCCGCGCTTTGGAGTGGTGGTCGGCCTTGAACAACACCGCAAGAGCAGGAAAAAAAAAGGTAGGGTTATGACAAGTAATTCGAGAAAGACAAACTCTTTAGGCGAGAGATTATTCCATCACAGACCCATCGACGGCTTCATCGGGGATTCCGAGGCCTATGAACAGGAGGAGGAACAGAACTGTATACGCTCTCACACTTTCGCTCTCTCCACGGATGGATCGATCTTGGGCAGGAGATGCCCTCTTAGTCAGCACAATGCTCCACTGCTGATCAATCTTGATGGCAGGCCACAGTCCGTTCACTTCGAGAAATGTGACTCGATGGTTCTAGTAAAATACCCTGTTCAGTTCGTTTGGTTTTTCGTTCGGGCGATCGCTGATCAGCAGTACCCCGTGCTTTTTTTTTGGTGGACTCCAATGATCGGTAGCACGGTCTTTGGAGCAAATCTTATCCAGTTCGCTAGGGCTCGGAGAACATGAATCGAGGAACTACCTGGCAGTGTGGACTGGCTATCCGAGAGCTGAGATTTTTTTTTATTGCACAAGGAGGGATTGTTACTCCACTGTTGGTTAGACTACCCTCACTCACGTATGCAAAGTCGATCCCTGTTCTTTATAGACTATCAGGGTGACTCCCGCCCCTAAATGCAGGCACTGGCAGTGAGATACCACGGAACACTTAAGAGTAGTACTACAATGGAAGGACAAAGGAAAGATTGAAAGAGGAGAAGTTTAGAATCTACTGAATGACGACAACGAATCACGGGATGAGAGAAGGAGAAAATAAAATGAGGACAATGAAACACAATGAGCTTATCATTTGACGGCAGAATCCATGCACTGGATTTAATTCAGAAGGCTGAGCAATGTCAGGAAAGTCTATTGCATAAATTCTCTTGCTCGTCTTGTGGTAACCACCATGGCGGTGATGCGTCTGTCCCGGCATCCCATACATAGATCGACAGGGAGAACCGTCATTCACCAGCTGCAAAACCTTGTGCGGTTCCCCATATGCCTGCTGTCTAACTTACCTACAGATGATCGCCTGAGTCATTTCGTAATCTTCAGCTCAGACTCTCAGCTGACGTACTATCTTCCCTTCCATAGCCTCGTCCTCGCATTAGGAAAAGAGGGAGATTATCTGGCATGGAAGTGGCATGCCGCCGTTCTTCCAGAAAACTATAGAGAAAGAACAAGTCCGTCGCACAATGGACTCAATTTTCAATCGCACTGCTTCTCTGCCTTCTCGCGTGAGACCCGTCGCGAGTCTCGTGCCTTGTGTTCCTGACCTCTATTGGCCGAGCGGGCCTCATCCGATGACTTCGGGGATGTTGCTGAGGGGCTGGCTCCACGAGGTCCAATGGCCCAGAAGGACGGGTCCCGGTTGAGTTCAATCTGGTGCAGGAGAGTCTCCCGAGGAATGTACCGACCGCATCTAACTGTAATGCAATGAGCAAGGAACCTGAACGTCGCTGGGAGCTTGACTGCTGACGACTCCTTGACGCTCGTCGGAGCTTTCTGACGGCAGCCACCCGTTTCTTTATTCGTATTATCCTCCCTTCCTCGCAAGGGATAGAAGCATATCAGCCAAGTAGCCGCTGCAATCATCTAAAACATGTCCAACCAATTCATCCTCGGCGCAGCAGCAATGAGGGAATATTCCATTTATGACTGTTATAAACCTAGAGTCCCAATAAAAAAAAACAGCAAGAGGGAAGTCTTATGTATACCCAGAGGTGGTCCAACACTATCACACAAGCATATACCAAAAGCTAGAACCATCGCCAAAGAGAACACATACACAGGTGTAACTGTCCCGTTTTGTCACTTATCCGTTCAAAAGTCACCCCGAATCCGCTGGTCGGCCCAACAGGCAACTCCGGCGCTTACACTAGAAAGCCGACAGGAAAAAGCAAAGAGAGAACAAAATCTAAAGGGGGTGAGTCTTAAACGATGACAAGAGAGCTCAATACCAAACGAAAAAGGAACATCGAAGCATTCGTAAAGAGGAACGAGGCGTTAAAAGTGCTCGCATCGTCCAATATCATTCCGCGTGAGTCCAACTAGGACAAGCCGACTCCTAAGCAGTTTCGACATAGTTACTGAATAGCAATGATTAGTTTCATGGCCGAGGAAGACATGGTTTCTGCGAAACGCGGGCCTGCTTACCTTGGGAAAATGCCAACGCGGCTCCCGATCCGCCCGGTCCACCAGTCCTCTTTCTTGTCAGTCCTCTTGAGGATGGTGATGATGTCTCCTTTCTTGAAACCCAAGTCACCTTCCTGGTCCGCATCAAAGGTGTACAGTGCTATGGCCTGGTCCTGGCGTAGAGCAGGAGCTGCCCCGGTCCGCTGTCCAAACACCGGTTTTGGAGCTGTGGGTCGGCTAGGCTTGCGGTCAGAATATACATAGTCCTCGTCGATTGGGGTGGTATTGCTCCGGCTGCGGTTGAATGAGTCGTAATTGTCGGTGCGACCGCTGTACCGAGTAGTCGATGAACGGCTCAACCCTCCAGCAGGTCGATCATATATATCGTCTGCCCATGTATTCGCACGGCGGGGCCGGTCCCGGAAGTCATCTGAACCTGAGCCACTGAACCCAGTGCGGTCGCGCCGCGTTCCTTCGCCGTACGCCTCGCCCCTGCGGCCCTCCCAAACTACATCGTCATGGCTGTCATCATAAACGGGGATGTCGTTGTACATATCACTACCATTCCGGGAATTGCCGTAGAACGCACGCGAGTTCAATACGGTCAGGAGAGGATCCGCGCCCGGGGGAGGTCGAATGGTTCCGCTGAGGAGCTGGCGTGCCGAAACCCGGCTGTTGTACATCTTCTCGTTCGCATCCTTACGTTCCACCAGCATGCTTCCCTCCAGACTGACACCGGCAAAGAGACCCTTGGTCTTGGAGTATGAGAACACTGCCGCCACACCCTTTGTGCTAGCCGCACCAGCAGCTTCCGCGTTTCGTCCGACCGGTCCAGCAGCGATCGAAACGTTTCCACCTAGCGTCAGGGTCCCGACCTGCGAGAAGGTCCGGACGGCTGCGGCATCGTTCAGGATAAACACAAAGTCGGTTAACTCAAACCCAATCTGACCTCCGAACCCAGCACCAGCAGTGGCAATGGCCGACGGAGCAGACCAGGTTCCATCAGCTAGCCGAGCGACGACGACACCAGAACCGAACCGAGCTGAGCCCAAAAATCCAGCTTTCAGGACAGTAAGAACGGCGAGACCCTAGGGAAGAAACCGTGAGCGACGGTGCGACTTTCGAGCAACAGGCTCAGTATTGAATTTGCTAATTACCTTGGCTCCTGCCAAAATCTCCGGAGGAATCACTTTATCGGGCCCAAACGCCTGTCGTGGATCGACAAAGGAGGCGAGGATTTTGCCCGCCTTTCTACATTCGCCTGTCTGATTGTTAGTCGCAGCCGAACCACCTGTTCAAGAGAATTGCGGGGAAATTGGAACGAAAACGGCGCGGAACATACTTCCTAACGATGAAGGTAACGGATTGTGAATTCCGAGAGGCATTCTTGCTATGCTTGACGGAAACTGAGGGCGAAGAGAGGGTTAAGGAGAGGAATGGGGTAGGGAAAGAAGGAGTGGAAGGAGAGAGAAGGATGTTGATAGTAGGATGTTCTGCGAAGGCTGTTCGTCTCTATGGGAGCGACCGGAAGTGGAACCAGATGACGGCTGACACCAACTGCGATTCGCAAACGATAAGGCTCAATTATCTAAACTCTGCACCATCCACAACGACCCTGTACTGTTCGGTGACTGTGTAAATCGCTCTCTCAAGCTGTTCCTGTGCGATGAATAATATACTCATCTGACTCATGGGAAGTCCAGCAACCGTGGGAATCGAGGGGGCTGTACTCAACTCGGAGAGGGGACCTTCCGCAGGCGGCATTATTGAATACGGGGTGAGTGGCTGGGGCCGCTTCTACCAGCTTCTTCCCTCGGTCTTGTCTTGGTGACTCTCCAGTTCAGTCAGCTTAAAGTAGTATACACGGAGCCATTACAGAAGCATTCACAGATTCCACCAGCTATTTTGTGCCTGCTTTGTTTCATCCCCAGTGTTTACTAGTCCAGCCACACCTGGTAAGAAACCCGACCGGCTGGAGCCTGAGGCCGCAAGAACGGCACAGCCACCGCCGAAACCCCGACGATCAGCGTGGTTCCCAGCCGACCGAGTCCTTAGTGACATCGCGTTTCGATTGGCCTGGACTTCAATCTGTTTGACTTTGATACTATAAACAAAGGCTTCTCGAAGCATGTCCCAATAATTTGGATAAGGCGTCATCAGTCGCCTCGAATTCCCAGACCCGCAAATGGCTACAGGTTCGATATGTTTACGTTGAGCTGCTCAATCATCTACTTACTAACCGCATCTCAGTGCGAATCTGCGTTTGTGGTGATGAGGGCACTGGCAAGTCCAGTCTCATCACCTCCCTTGTGAAGGGGGTGTTCGTCACAAACAAAATCCAGCCTATCCTACCTCAAATTACCATCCCTCCCACGATCGGTACCCCCGAGAATGTCACGACAACGACGGTGGTGGACACCTCCGCTCTTCCGCAGGAGCGCAATAATCTGGCCAGAGAGATCCGGAAGTCCAATGTAATCCTACTCGTATATTCGGACCATTACAGCTATGAGAGAGTCGCTCTATTCTGGTTACCATACTTTCGTTCTCTAGGGGTCAATGTCCCCGTGGTACTATGTGCGAACAAGTCCGATCTCGCCGCAGATCATACCGAGGCCCAGGTCATTGAGGAGGAAATGCTACCATTGATGGCGGAGTTCAAAGAAATCGACTCTTGCATCCGCACCAGCGCCCGTGAACATCGAAATGTCAACGAAGCCTTCTTTCTCTGTCAGAAAGCAGTGACTCATCCGATTGCGCCGTTGTTTGACTCCAAGGAATCCTCCCTAAAGCCGGCAGCCATTGCGGCGTTGCAGCGAATATTCTACCTCTGTGATAAGGATAGGGATGGTTATCTGTCTGATAAAGAGATCAAGGATTTTCAAATGAGATGCTTTGAGAAGCCATTGAGTGAGGAGGATTTGGTTCACATTAAGGAGACCATTCAGAGAACGCACCCTCATTCAGTGACACCCTCAGGCATCGATTGCCGCGGATTTTTGCAGCTGAACAAAATGTATGCGGAAAAGGGTCGACATGAGACTGTTTGGATTATCCTACGAGCCTTCCAATACACAGACAACCTATCGCTACAGGAGAACTTCCTTCACCCGAGGTTTGACGTACCCCCTTATGCGTCGGCTGAGCTTTCGCCAGAGGGGTATCGATTCTTTGTGAACCTCTTCCTGCTTTCAGACAAGGATAACGATGGAGGCCTGAACGATGCTGAACTAGCATCGTTGTTCGCGCCCACCCCGGGATTGCCTGCTTCATGGGCGGACGGTTCCTTCCCATCCTCTACCGTCCGCAACGAAGCTGGCCATGTCACACTTCAAGGATGGCTTGCACAATGGAGTATGACTACTTTTACGTCGCCTAAAACAACATTGGAGTATCTGGCCTACCTGGGATTCGAGTCGTCCGACCGAAGTAATCCTTCTACAACAGCAGCCCTTAAAGTTACGCGACCGCGAAAGCGACGCAAGCGTCCTGGCCGTGTGGGCCGCAATGTTGTTCTTGGTCATGTCCTTGGGGCTGCAGGCTCAGGTAAATCTGCACTCCTCGACGCTTTTCTGTCCCGCGGATTCAGTACTACTTATCGTCCCACTATCCAGCCCCGAACTGCTGTGAACACAGTTGAGCTTCCGGGAGGGAAACAGTGCTACCTCATCCTCGATGAGCTTGGGGAACTGGAGCCTGCCCTCCTCGAGAATCAGGTAAAACTGCTGGACCAGTGCGATGTCATCGTGTATACGTATGACTCGTCAGATCCCGATTCCTTTGCATATATCCCAGCGCTGCGCGCCAAATATCCTCACTTGGAGGAGCTGCCTAGTGTGTTCATTGCTCTCAAGGCAGACTTGGATCGGACTACTCAGCGGGCTGAATATCAACCCCACGAATACACTGCTATGTTGAATATGCCGAGCCCTCCCCTTCATGTCAGTGCCACTTGGAGTTCCATCCAGGAGGTGTTTGTCCACATTGCAGAAGCGGCCATGGAGCCAAGTACGGCCTTCCCGCGGAGTGAGGAAGACGTGGAAGGCAAATGGATGGCATGGGGAATTGCTCTTGGAGCAGTGGTTTGTGCCGGAGCGGCGGCCGTCATGATTTGGCGGAGAGTTAGTGGAAGCGGAGTGTGATGGGGGAGGGACTCTGTTGTATTTCTGTGGAGTCAAATAGATACCCTTGAGTCTGTATGTTGGGTCATTAGTGTGTGTTTGCCGGCAAATCGCCAGTTAACCGACAAGTATTTAGTAGTAAGAAGTAAACTATGCATAATGAACGGCCTAATTCCGGCTGGAGATCCACTCGTTCATTTCGACCTGCCATGTCGGCCACGAGAGTAGATTAGTCCCCAGAGAACCGGGGCGGCACAACGTAAGAGTGATTGACTTTGGACTACGAGGACTAGTGTGGGTTTCTGGCGCCGTTAGCATTGGGGGAAAGACGAGGATTGACTGAAGCCTGGCAGATTGGCGGCCCCACGCGCCAACTTCGACCAACCCCGGAAATGGCCGCCCGCTCGCTCTTCTCTCTGGCTTCAAATCCCCGTCGCTCGATCCCCCCAGGTTATAAGGCCATTGCGCAAGTTCTTTTCTGGAGACTCTCCCCGCCTCCCTTTCTTCCTCATCTTCAACTCCGGGGTATTTAACCCAACGATATCCAGCTTCCTGCAAGTTCACAAGTGACCTCCCCGCGAGTCTCCGCTCCGATTGTCTCCCTCGTCCTACTAGCCTGCAGAGCGTTCGCCCATTTCCAGAGCCTCGGTCCCGCCCTCTTCCTTGCACGACAACGACAAACCTGCCTCCAGCCCTTCCATCGGAGCCAGTCCTCTCACAACCTAGGAACGCTACAAGCCACCTTGAGTGGCACCGTCAAGGGTGCTGCTCTTGGGGGGGAAGGGAATCCGCTACGACGATTGTCTGACAAGCCTATCGCGCATTCCTAGGCCCCTGTCACACCACCCTCCAAAATCCTTTTAATTTATTGCTGGTTGACCGGTGTGCCTGCTTGTGGTATCCGCAGCCATGTTGTAAGACTTGCCCTCCCAACCAAGCTGAAAGCCCGGTTATCAGCGTCCTTGGTCCCTTATCTCCGCCTCGTGGGCGCATCATAGGCCGGCCCTCAATTCCCTGGAGGGTCAAAGAGCGCCACTACCTTTCAGCCCTATCTACATTTATTATGACGACTCTTTTGCGTCCCTTCACCTGGCTGACTCCTTGATCCAGCGTCCTTCCCCCACCTCCGCCTCGCTATACCGTCCCCGTCGCCTATGCGGCCGGGGCGTCGAATGGCATGGCGGTGCCAGTTGTAGAGACCAACAATATCATCAGCCATCCAGAGGGTGGCTGTTCCTTACAAGCCGGAGAAGGTGTGTTTCTGAAGGAGTGCATGTTCGCTCATGCACATTGCCGCAAGGTTGCTTGGGTTTGCTGATTGACGGACTTTACAATAGGCACTTACCTCCTCAGAGATGACCTACACTTAGCCACCCCTCCTCCACACCCCTCCGAAGCTCCCGTCATGAATCCCAACCCACTTGCGACCGTTCCGGCGCCTCCGACATCAGGTGTCAAGCTCTCACTGGTTAGCATCGGTAGCCGGATTAAAACTCCTACACCCTCCGTGGATGGCGTAGGGGCAGCATCTTTATTTGGGGATGGCAATCCAGCTCTAGCGGCACCACCTGTCAAGGAAGGATTGAAGAGGAGAAAACCGAAGAACAATATCATCAAGAGCAGCTCGTCATTCGTCTCGCGGGTCATTACGCATGAGACGGCAACCAAGCGATTGAACGATCGGAATCCGGATGGTCTTTTTGCCTTTGCCAACATCAATCGTGCCTTCCAGTGGCTGGACCTTAGCGCTAAGCAGAAGGAAGAGCCCGTCACCAAGATCTTGTTCACCAAAGCGCACATGATAAGTCATGATATCAATGAGCTAACCAAGAGCACATCGCACATAGATGTTGTCATGGGTTCATCGGCTGGAGACATTATATGGTACGAGCCGATGTCTCAAAAGTACGCACGTATCAACAAGAACGGGGTCGTCAACAACTCTCCTGTGACGCATATAAAATGGATCCCCGGTTCAGAGAATCTGTTTATGGCCGCTCATGCCAACGGACAGTTGGTGGTGTACGACAAGGAGAAAGAAGACGCTCTTTTCGCACCAGAACTGGGCAGTCCATCGGCTGAAACGATGAAGTCGTCGTCAGGGCGATCACCATTGCAAATCCTGAAGTCGGTCAACTCGAGGAACCAGAAGACCAATCCGGTTGCGCTGTGGAAACTCGCCAACCAAAAAATCACGCAATTCGCCTTCTCTCCGGATCGCAGACACTTGGCTGTCGTCTTAGAAGATGGATCGTTACGAGTGATGGACTACTTGAAGGAAGAGTATGCTGCGACTGCAATTTCGCCACCTTGTCGGTATAGGAAAGGGTGGGCTAACGTCTTGCTAGGGTTCTGGATATCTTCCGCAGTTACTACGGAGGATTAATATGCGTCTGCTGGTCGCCAGACGGAAAATACATAGTAACTGGAGGCCAAGACGATCTTGTAACGATCTGGTCGTTGCCAGAGCGCAAGATCGTCGCACGCTGCCAGGGCCACAACTCCTGGGTCTCTGCGGTAGCTTTTGACCCATGGCGCTGCGACGACCGCACTTACAGGTTTGGTAGCGTTGGTGACGATTGTCGGTTGCTGCTATGGGACTTCAGCGTGGGCATGCTGCACCGACCGAGAGTAGTACGTTTACCAACAATGATACGGATTCCTGGTGTTCTAACCCTTAAAACAGCATCAAGCCAACGCCCGCCAACGCACCAGCATGATCGTCTCGAACACTCAACATCTCAACCGCCACCGAGCAGACAGCGGAGGTAACCGAACGCGGTCTGATTCTCAGGAGACCGCAGATACCTATAACAGTTATGATCCGACCGTTCGTCATCCGGTGGAACCCAGAGCACGAACTGCCCTCTTACCACCGATCATGGTACCTCCCACCCCTTCCTGCCTGTTCCGCAAGTTTCAGCAAGGCTAACTAACTCGCGCAGTCCAAAATCGTAGGCGAAGACCCCATCTGCTGGCTAGGCTTCCAAGAAGACTCCATCATGACATCTTCACTCGAAGGTATTTCGCAGCCCGAACCCCTTTACGCAGAACTGTCCCTTAGAATATTGCTAACGAATTTAACTCTAAACCAACCAGGCCACATTCGTACCTGGGATCGTCCCCGAGAAGGCATTAACGACAACTACAGTTATTCACCGGCGATCAGTGCCAGCGCCACCGGGTCTGGTCGTGCTGACTCGATGATGGGATCACTGTGAACATTACTATTGCCCCAGAATCGGCTATTCATCGAAGTAGTTCACAGTCTCGTAGCTGCTCTGTAAATATGTATGTAATCAACTATCAAATGAGGAAATATACCCATAACGTCATATTTTATCGGTAATTATTAAGAACTATTCTGATTAGCTGAGCATGTGCTATTGCCAAAAACACACGATAAGTGCACGGTAGCAGTACAGAGTAGTATTTACTGCAATGCATAAGATCTATCTAATCGACCTAGCTAGACAACAGCCACCTACTATTCTACTTGACTCGTAATACTGTCTCGATAGTATATCCTGCGAGATACTACCGTATCGCAAGTATCGGATTAGACCGAATTCCCCAATCAAGCAACTAAGTAATACTAGTACTCCTGTCCAACTCGATCTCAATCAACTTGACTCTCTACCTAATCGCATTAATTTCTAGAGCCTAAGTCTAGATATTAAATAGCTTAGTTCATGCTACGGTCACACCTACTTCCATGACCACCTCCTACTCCCAACTACATCTCTGTCATCCATTGAAATGAGACATATACCAAACTCACACAGTCCATCATTTACAGGTGTTACCCAAGTAGTCTTTATTAGTGGTTTGAGGGACAAAAAAAAAGCCGCATTACACACTTACTTGTTGGGCTGTGAGATGCAACCATTACAGTAAGTAGACCTATTCCATTAGTATGAGATTAGGCAGCCACTTAAGTATACTTACGTAGTAGATACTGTATGGAAACTGATTGCCTCTTCTGTAGTGCTTGGGGCGGGGTTCAATTGCATAACGAACTGGGCTGCGTGCATTGCAATATGTAGTATGTACTGCTAAGTATGGAATAACATTATCTAGTATACAGTGGGACAGGGTACTAGTAACTACTAAGATGCGACGGAGTCTCCGGGACAGTGACTGCATGTAAATGACCTGTTCCGTTCGGTAGCACACAGTAAAATGCTACCCAGCTGGTGGCTGGGTTGAAATTACTTCCCTTTGATTTGGTTTGAGGCGTTCAATAACTGCATGCTTGAGGTACATATAAATATGTTATGGGGTCTTTTACTCTGGTCGGGATATTCCTTGTTAATGCTGAGGTGTGTTCAGACAACTGTAGATAGACTAGCTTAATAGATAGTGTCTTTTGCCAGATTGAACCCCCTTGCTGGGAACTAAGGAATTAGGTTTGCCAACGCCGACGTGCATGATCGCGAGTGCCGCGTTAGTGATGTATCATATTAATCATCGGCAATAAAGGAAAGTAAAAAGAAAAAGGGAAGAATGCATGGTTATAATATTGTATTAAATGATTGTGGAGAGCGAGAGAAGGTTTAACAGTGCCATATTGAAATCCATTTCCATCTGCGCATTTAAACTATGTATCATCAAGGGAAACCACATAATGTACCAATATCACGTCACTCGTGGAAAGATGTCAAAGATAGACAATAAGAAAGGAACGAGGGGAAGGGAAAGGAAAGCGGGGGGAGGGAAACGGTGTGAGGGGAAGTGAAGAAAAGAGAAAAGAAAAAGGTCAAGTAGCAGATAGTACTACACTCATCGCTGAAACTTGAAGCTGCCTCGGTTGGCCTGCATGTCATGTCCTAATTTTGGAGTCCGTCATTCGAGAGAAACGAGGTTACGAGGGTCGCAGTCGTGTCGTGCGGGTTGGTTCGATTCGGATTTATCGATCGCTTCGCTGACCGGCTTGTGCGACTTCGAAGTGCCTGTTTCTTTCACTTACAGAATCTCGGCAATTACGCCCATTGCGAGCGCACCGATCACGGCGGCGGAGCCAGGAAGCGTGCCCGTGTACGCGGCAGATCCGGCAGATGAGGAGGTAGACGCAGCAGCTGTGTGGGTGGCGCTGGTGGTGGCTGAAGCTGTAGGCAAGGCAAAGAGAACACGGTTAGAGACCCGTCTACTTCACATCCTGTACGTACTCACCCGGTGTTTTGGAGGCGGAGGGAGTGGTGCTAGATGGTGGTGAAGTAGTCTGGTGGTTGATGCAGGGGCGGGAAGTGGTTTTTGTGATGGCGGTGCTGGTACGTGGGCGGATACATGGTGATGGTGATGGTGATGATGATGATAATTGTGATGATGATGATGATAAAATAGAATTTTCCTTACTTGTTTCAGCCTTGCCAACCTTGGTCACATTGAACTGCTGCGACTGGCTCAGGATGCCGGTGTTATGGGTGGTATTGGATTCGGCGTTGAGTTGGTAGCCATTACTATGCGCATTTGTTAGGGTCGTACGACATATGCCATAACAAGGCGGCTGGGCTGCTTGAAGATACGTACGCAACCGGAATTCCGACGACCTTGTCAACGGTGTATTTGCTATCCGATGTCTTGACATTGGCGATCTTTTTGCTGACAGTGGGCTGGCTGTTCATGTTGACCAGCATGATGGTGAAGTTCGAAGGGTCAGATCTGATCCGAAGACATGATTTAGTTGTGTGTAACCGTCACAATGAGCCCGTGTTCACTTACGCCACAGTCGTCCACTTAATGGTGTAGGGCTTGCTGAAGTCCACCTGGTCGCCATTTTGAGGCTGGGTGATTGTGATGGCTAGACATACTGATGTTAGTCCAGAGCAGATGATCCAGGATCAAGGGAGCACGTACCCAGCGCTGTAACGGCGAACGCCATCATCGAGATAACAATGTTCAAGAAACGCATTTTGATGGTCTATGTTAAACGACTGAAGCTGTCCAAAGGGAAGAACTTGACGTCTTAAGCGGGGTAATAGCGATAGTAGGGCTAACGAGCGGTTTTGGTTCGTTGGATATCTTATGTCTTAATGGATTGATGTGTTCGATGGGCTGGGTCGAGGGGGCTTTATAAGTGTATGGGTCGAAGATACACCGCAACGAGCCACCTCATGGCAAGGGTCCATCATCGCCGATATCTGCCTGCTTGGGCCGCGTTTGACCCTTCTTACTTTTCCTGGTACCCCTGTGCTTCCTTGTAACACCAATCGATAGGAAGAGAGAAAGGCAAGTAACAGATGAAGGAAAGCCAAAAGTCGTCTATTTCGGGCACGCCTGGTGCCAAGGGTCTGGCGTGCATGCGAGGGGGGCTGCAGATGATCTGTTCGCCTCCTCGAACCTTCAGTCCTGTACTCCCGATCTCCTTCTCTAGGGAGGCTCCAGGAGTTTTGATATGCATGAGACGCGCCTAGTGGGCAGATCTTGACGGCAACTGCATGGTAAAACTCAATAACCGTCTACCCAGACGAAAGGAGGATCAGCGCCCGGCAAAGATAGGGCACCTCGTGTTGCAGGGCGTGCTCTCCCCCTCGAAGGGAACGAGGATAGCCCCTCCTTTCCGCCTTTCGGGTTTATGACGTTTTGTTTCACCAGCAGGGGCTCCCATGACGGTGCGCCGGATTGGTTTTCAGTCAAAGATTAGCTTAAAGCGCAACAATAATGTCGGATAGTCATGGAAGGAAGCTTGTGCATTTTACAGAAGGTTTCGAGACGCTAGTGCTGCAAGCTACTCAGCACAGGCTGCATTGTATGCAAATGTTTCACTAGTGCTAACTGAAAATGAGTGATCTGGACCCGACAGCATGTTGGCCCTCCAGATAATATGAAAGCCACCAAACAATCGAGACGTTGAGAATCAGTGATGGCATTAGATTCAACCTTGTATGTGGATGACGCGTGTTGGATTTTGGTGAAACAAGCATATCCGAGATTTCATCTGATGATCTGTCGACTGTTATTGTGCGATCCTGGACTCTGGAAGAGAAAAGTCAACGATAATTGTCCTGTAAGTGTGCATATACGCATGTTAAATTGGGAAACACCGCTTACTGCTCTCCCGGTCCTTTGCTGCCGGAGACGGACAGCGGTAGATAATCACGTCGTACACATCACACCGCACAGCTATGGCGGGTACTGGATAGGTCATATCGTGGCGACGCACGAACTCACCTATTGAATTTTGCTTCCTGTTAGAGTCTGTCTGAACGCGTGTTTGTACGTGTGTGTCAAGGATAATCAGAGGGCTGCACGACCAACAATTGTGCGTCAGACCTGCTGATTATAGCTGAGGATGGGTGTTCCAGAGAGTATCCGCCATGGGGTACTGAGTAGAATCAGTTTGGATACGCAGAGCAAGGGAGCTCGACGATTTGAGGTGCAGCGGTTGCCATACTCTCGATATGGTCTCCAGAAGTCAAGGTATAACGGTATTTGATGAATGGAAGGTAGGCTAGCCGCACATCCAAGAAGAAATTGTTGACAGAGAAAAGAGACAAACAGACATGTGACCACATGCTACATCACCTGTCAAGAGGAAGGTTCCCGCTTTGAACATCTTCATTATCGATCAGTCTTAGCTTTCTCAAATTATACTTGATGGACCCATGCATCTCAACCCATGGATGAATCATTCAATCTTCCATGGGTTGAATTGATGCTGATTGTGGGATATGGTATGCCTTGTTTGAAAGGTATTGAGGTACGGTTCCTCTCTGTATGGCAGTGAGGCGGCATGCCAGTTCAAAGAGCTTTATATGGGCACCAGAGATACTAATCATCTTCGTTAAAGCTCGCGGCCCAATATTGTGCTACATGGTTTCTCGTGTCTTTCACCTCTAGCACAGACAAGATGCCACCCCTTCAGATAGTTGCACAATGTCTCTTTCGGTGCTTCGAGACTGGGTTTGCGTCGTCTATAGAGATGAAAGAGCCCGACGTATATGAATTTATTGCATTCATCTAACTAGTTCTGCATCCTGCACATCTTATTTACGCTCTTCCATGCTTAGCATCAAGAGCTAGAATTTGGGTCCAGCAAAAGTACCGGGCTTATGCACTCGAAGGCCGAACACCATATCTTCCAGTGTTCACAGCTTATCCTGGGTAACACGCGCGAGCAGTCTCCACTCCAATAAGCCTGTGACCCATCAGTACCCCGGAATTCTTGGAGGCTCCGAGACGCCGGTATTTATGCGTCCTAGCTGCAGGAGCTCGTGTCAGCTTGCCGATGTGCTGACGCTAATAAGTCCATTGATACATACTAGGGATGTGGAAAGTCATCTAGGCAGGCTTCAGATAAGTGGCTAAACGAGTTTATTCAGAAATGGGTGACAGGCTGGTCGGCAATAAAACAGCAGTCTTGTCAGATGAACAAGAGATGGTGTTGAATCTTCCCACCATACTTGGGTTCTCGCCGGGGCTTTGTGAGACTCACTACCTTCACGATCTCTTCATGATCTACCTCAAAATTCCCACGCCGAACGAGCTCGAAACAGGTAAAGGTTGAGTGGCAATTACTGGAATTAGCGAATTGCTACATCCAACAGCCAAAATGGGCATTGTCGGCGTTAAGGCAATTGGTTTCAAAAATGTGAGAAGCAGCCCACCCACATTTTCGTCTATTATTGAGGTATCATGGCAGTGAGTCTGGAAATCACTCTATGCGGAAATACGCCAGCTAAAGTTTTATCATCGCTAGCAGTCAGTTCACGCTATAAACACAGCCACGAACGACCAAGAATGGCTAGGTTCGGACTCAGAGCAACATACACTGTTCCAGGCCTTCTCTGGAAATGCTGTTATGATTTCATCGGATTCTACACATTATAAGGTTGCGCATATGCCTTGTATACAAGGTGATAAATGCTGAGACGTTAAGAGCAACAACAGGACTGCAGGCGCAGCATGGCGGGCTAGATAGATCGAATGAATACACTTCAAGTTGCACGGCCCTACTATTTGTATAATAGTAACTTGGCTGTTATCCATATTTGATGCGAGACAGGCAGTGGGGCAGCTACGAGGCAGGGACCAAGGGGTCCCGATCTGACACGTTTTGAGATGCATTTGCGCAGGAATCTAGGGGTATGCCTCCACGAGGACGCGCGCGATACTGGTACGCACCTTTGATCCTACAACCCCTCGCATACATCGGTATGTTTCCCGTGAAGCTGGACCTTGATACATGTAGCTCATGTCTGAAAATGGTCAACTAACGGCGGACTGAGGCCGTCTTACCCAGTACGCATCCCTTCGTGGTCACATTCCTCGGAACTCCATCACACCCATGGGAGGAAATTGTGCTACACAAACCAAGTTCGAGGATTCCTCACCCTTGCAAACATTACTAGGAACAGCCTAAAAGCCAGTATGAACAATGAAGGGGATTCCAACAAGCGCAATGTTCCCACAATTGTCCAATAGTGCGGCATACACTGTATTGCCTCTTCCACAACAGAGTTGCTTGCGAATATGGCTTGCCAAATGAATGCGGCCGTCCACGGTTTAGCTATGTGTGCTGGGCTCAGTCCAGGCAGTTCATTCGCTATGCCTCATCGGCATATCATATTTCGTGATCAAGCGGGCTTTTTCGGTATATAAACCAAGGCCTGTTCACTTGGTCTTCGGTTATGCGGTTCTCATTCACATCCCAGTCGACCCTTGTTTCTGCTGTTTTTCGCTTGTTGCTCCTTTTAAGTCTGGTTTAGTCGGTGTTTTTGAGTATTCAGAGCAGTCATCAACCAGCCTGCGTCATCATGAAGGCCCAAACAGCGGCAATTATCCTGTCGTTCTGCAGCTCTATTCTCGCTGTCCCTGTCCACAACCCGGATGCTAAACGGGCTGCTTATCCGAGTAGCCAGCCCCAATGGCCCACCGATCCTTTCGGGAGCGGATTCCCCTTTTCTTTTGGTTCCCACGGGGATAAGGAACAGGCTCCTGGCAGCAGCAGCATAGCCACTCCTTCGGGCACCCCATTTAGCCTCCCGTCAGGGGCTTCCAGCGGAGTCCCACGGCCTGTCGCGACTCCCGCTCCTAACCAGCTCGTCCATGGACCCTTTTCTGTCAACGCTCCCCCAGCCAATGGGGTCGCTTCCAGGCCCACGGAAACCTCAGTGAGCGCTCCGGCCGGACAAGTTGCTGGCGCTGGACGACCTCAAAGCCAGTCCTCCCAGGGATTCCCGCCATACGGGCAAACCGAAGGTGTGTCACCTAGTGGCGGTCTTTCTGGAGGCCCGCCCTCGGAGGGTTCTGCCCCGAGCAGCCAAGACCCCGGTAGCATCGATACAAGCTCTGCTTACGAAGGTGGATATTATGTGGGATACACCCCAACTGGCCACACGTCTGCTCCTTCCAATAGTGAGCCTACTAGCAGTCCTGGTGGCCAGGCTGGCCAGTACCCAGGCGCTCAACACACTGGTGTTCCTGGAGGTCAGCAATCTCAGGGCTACCCTTCGAGCGGACAGTACCCTGGTGAGTCTAGTACAACGCCTTTCGGGGGTCATTCTCAGAGTACAAGTGGCCAGTACCCGTATGGCCAATCTACTGGAGCTCCTTCTGAAGGAGGATACACTCCTAGTGGTTCCACGACTGGTGGACAATATCCTGGTTCTGGCTCCGGATCTGTGTACCCAGGTGAACAATCAACAGGACCATTTGGCAACAGCTACCCCAGTGAACAGTCGAGCGAGCCCTCAACCAACGGCTACCCTAGCACTGGCCACTCCACGAGTTCTTACCCCAGTACCGGATACTCTGGAGGCTCTTCTTCTGGAGCTACCTACCCTTCATCTGGGCACTCCGCAGGGACTTACCCTAGCTCTGGCCAGTTCGAGAGCCCCTCCCAGGGCACCTATCCTTCCACTGGGCAGTCAACGGGCTCCTTCCCTGGCTCGGGACTTTCTGGAAGTACTTCGGGAGCCAGCTATCCTTCGTCGGAGCATTCGACGGGCAGCTACCCTGTTGCGGGGTCTTCCCAGGGCCCTTCCAGCGGCGCTAGTTTCCCTTCCACTGGCCACTCCGCGAGCACCTTCCCTGGAACTGGGTATTCGGAAGGCACTGGAGCTGGAAGCACCTACCCATCCTCCGGACACTCCACGGGCAGCATCCCTAGCTCTGGATATTCGGAAGGCTCTGGAGCTGGAAGCACCTACCCATCCTCCGGACACTCCACGGGCAGCATCCCTAGCTCTGGATATTCTGAGGGTCGTCCTTCCACTGGAGCTGGCTATCCTGCCACGGGTAGCTCTCAGAGCGGATATTCCGGGACTTCTCAGGGTCAGCATGGGTTCTAAGGGATGAGAAGTGGGAAAGCAGTAGAAATTTTCGGGTACAAGCGAGTTCAGCATTGGTTTAGTATTATGTCGATCTTGAATTAATATCTTGCAATAATGAGTTGTCATCAAACTTGACATCGTAGCCAAGCCGTGGTGGGAATAGTTGATCCACGAGTATGGAAGATACCTAGTATACCGTGCATTTATGTCCCTATAAATATCTCGACCATGGCGAAGTAAGCATAGTATGCATTCGTTCAAGCAGCGATATCCGTAGCATTTTGAATTGATGTAAACAAATACCAATCTTGGGATCATGGTGACCTCTTCTTGCTCAATAAACTGGATTCAATATGCCATTGGCATTAATCATTGCTAGTATGAAATATTCTGCATTCCCACTACCAATAAGAACTGTTCAGTGGAGTGGTTGCGAAGTAGTGGTATAGTAGTAGTACTGATATATAGTAAGGGTTGAAGTCTGCACCTACCCGCGTTAATATATAACGGGTGTGGAGAAATAATCAACCATTAATATGAAATTTATAAGAATGAACACATTGATTATATCATATAACTTGTCAGAACTATGATACATATAACTTGCACACTACAAACAACAATCCAATGAGATCATAGTGAAGTGTCAAGACTCGATCATACTAACAATTCGGAAACCCCATCCAGACACACTCTCAGGCCCTGCAGAAAAGAAGCCAACAGTCTTCGACGATATCCCTTATTTCACGAGTACTCTATAAACATAGATATTCCTCAATACTCAATATTCATCACCACCAAATCAAGCAGTCACTACCAAATAACTAACTATAGTGCTTCCCCAGACCCCCACACGAGGCATTTATCTCACCCACCCATTCCCGATATATGCTTAAGTACGGAGTACAGTAACCTCAATAATTCTCCTGCACATCATTATCACCAACCAATAAATAACAAATACTTTCCCACACCAACCAACCACCCACTCCCCATCCCTGAAAAGTTTGTCCCGTTTCATGCAAGGGGAGATGATCCTGAACAAGCTTTGACTCGACAAGGCTTGTTGGGACTTGGCTTTGGTCTGTTCGTTCGTACTTACATTGATTCTGGACCCCGGTCTCTGAGGGGGTTTACTGTATATGACTGAATTTCTGTCTGTAGGGTTTCACTATGAGAGTGGTGTATCGTTGCACGGGGTTATACACTATCCAACTATCTCTACGCGAAGATGTGAAAGCAGTGGTTAGTACTACGTATGTATATTTTGTGTCAAGAAGTACTAACTCGCTTCTTTAATCACGTCAACTTTGACTTTCTAGATTTTCTCAGTAGAATTCTCTATAACCAAGTTATATAAGTAGATACAATACATTGACGAACTTGACCGGTTCAACTGACAATAATTACTTACAGTAAAGAATGATGGGTGGATACGATGATCGATCAGATGATGGGGACTGCATTAGACGCAAGCCACAAATGATTGACCACACCGCCGGACTTGCAACCGGCTTTGGCTCACCGCTACTACCAGGTATGCATACACAACTTACAGATTAACTTACATTAATACATGATGCATACATTGACAATCTATCTAATTTGCTTTCTTTCAATAACCGGTTCATTGTAACTTACAGAGTATACCGAAAAGAGTGTTTCGGTGTCTGCTTCTGCCGTACAAATGCTTAGCGCTCTGTTGTTCGCTGCAGCGGAGTTGACGTAATCCCCGAGAAGAATTACTACCTGTCTAACTAACAGGCGTCTGCGTTGTCCCTGATGAAGAACGATCGGTCCACTGCGGATCAGGGCATTGAAGGAACGAACACACTCCACACCTAAGAATAGTCTTTCTTCACTCAGACATAGGGACCCGCTGTCTATCGTGTGAAGAACGCTGCAGAAATCAGCTCTATATACGCGCGAGGTGAAAATGGCAGAGCGAGTGACTCGACACAATCAGCCAGAGAAAAGAACTAGGAAGCGGTAAGGAATATGTAAATGTATACAGGGTTGGACAAGACCCAGTGGGGGCAGCAAAAAAAAAAAAAAAAAAAAAAAAAAAAAAAAAAAAAAAAAAAAAAAAAAAAAAAAAAAAAAAAAAAAAAAAAAAAAGCCGAATGAATGAAACAATAGTAATCTTTATAAAATTGGATGCTATAGTTTAGTGTCACTCTCGGACTGCTAAATAGAACACAGATAAATCAGGAAATTATCATCATCTCTCATCAAGGTCATGAAGACGTGGGGGTCGTCACTCAGACGGTGTGGAGGTGGTGGTAAGGTGCCGCGAACAGACCACAACACTATGTAGCAAGCCGCGTCTCATCCGAAAGCCAGCCTTACTGCACCCATGGCGGCACGTAGAAATTGCCATTGCTGTTTTCGCTCATGGGGGCAGTATTGGGGTCGAAGAGCCCCACGTTCCAAGCGGCTTCGGTCGGAGGCGTGGTCATCGACATGCTGGCAGTCGGTGTAGTCACCGGCTTGAAAGTCTCAGCATTCGACATGGCGAAGGCGTCCTCGGTCGGAAGTTGCTTGGCTTCCATGCCCATCGTGGCCTGGAGCTGATGCTCTAACGCCGCGGTGGACTCGTTGGCCGACTTGAGGAAGTCGTCAATGTCAATCGACTCAAGGTTATTCGATGCCAAGAGCTGTGCCTGGGGAAGGCCAATGAAGGACGACGCGGAGCTGATGCGGAAATGGTCGATATCGGAGCCCTCGCTAACGCTGTTGAGATCGTGCAGATCGCTGCCAGTACGTCCCAAGCCAGGGATCGGCGCGAACTCATCCGCTTCAGAGATGTCACCGGATGATGACGGGGCTGGGAACCCGGGTGCCATAGAGTTGTAATCGAAGCTTGCGTAGGAAGGTGCTTGAGTGCTTGTCGCGGCTGGTACTTCCGAGGAGTACAGAGGGAAGCTTGACCAATCGACTGGAGGGGCGCTGAATGCGGTCGACTGAAGAGACACGTCGCCCTCCGGTGACGTGAAGAAAGGCTCCTTGTAGGGGTCCTGAAATGCGACACAATTGACGGGCGATGTCGCTGTTGTTGGGAAGGATGAGAATGATGACATGTCGAAGGGTAACCCCGACGTGACCAGTGGGTCCAGAGGGGTCTTCATAGGCATCGAGACCGGCTCGGGAACGCCAACGTCACCAGCGTTCTCCGCTGTCTGAACTTGAGGGAAAAAGGACGAGATGTCGAGTGGGGGAACGGTTGTCGGGACGTTGTCCGGCGAGACGACGGGGGCACTCTCAGGAGAACCATGTTCAGACTTGACACGGCGATGTTGTCCGCGCGAAGGTGACTGTTCTGCGGGCTGTTGTTGATTCGCGAAACCCTCGTTGAGCATGGTGGGCTGGACCAAAGGCAGGTGGTCGACCGAGCGGCGGGCCACATCGCCAGCATGGATGGTATGAGAACGGGGTATCGTATAGGGCAGACCGCATTTGTGAGCCATGTCGTTGTGCTTATGAGCCGGCTTGTGGTGGCCATCGCGGAAGATGGTCAAGGTACTCTCCGATTTGGTCGAGGTCAGCTGCGGCTTCTTGGGCTGATCCAACAGCGTCGCAGCTGGGGGTGGAGGGAGGCCGGTCTCCGGAACGGTATCCAGGTGGGGTTCCTTCTTCAGCGCACAGGTACAGCGCTGACCATGAGTGCAGCCACATTTTGGACGGGAGTCCTCTGTAAAATCCAGATCAGAAAACTATGAACCAGTTCACCATCACCATCATGCTCACGCTTGTGATCCCGCTTATCCGTAGCATGGGGATCTGAGTCATTCTTGTGGCAATTCTTTTTCTTGTCACCACACTCGCACTTAGTGTGGGTTGTCCGTGACTTGCGTAGGCCGCGACAGTGAGCGCATTGAGAGACAGGACGGCCTTTTTTGTTAATGTGGGTCAAGGGGCGGTCTGCAGCCAAGCCACGTTAGCAATTGCGACGGGAAAAGATGTGATGCGTCAGAGATGGTTGCCACACTTACCACTGTGGTGACAGCTGCTGACACGGTGACCCCGGACGCAAGCTTCACAAGCCCACTTCTCGCCATCGATAAGCATCGCCGCGGTTACTGAGAAAGGAACATGCGACGATTCGCGACGGTATATAGATCAAAAGGGTATAAGTGAATAGAGTGGGGGCCGAGAAGTCGCACGCTTCTCCGCCTAGTTTTGGTCTTTTATATAAGGTTGTTTTGTATGGGGATAGTAGCCGCACAGGAAAACCTGCCGGAGGAAAACGAAGAGGCCGTCAAGGCGAGAAATTCGGGGTATAGGTGGTGTGGTCCGTCGCAAAGATCGGACCAGCAGAAACCAAGGCAAACTCCAACAAAGCAAGGGTATCACCAGCTTGAATATCCCAATGCACCGAACGAGGTCACAGAAACGCCGTTTCACCTGTAAGAGGGTCGAATCGCAACTGAGATCGGGAAGGTCGATTAGGCTGCCGGGTACGATTTGGCAGCCCCGATAGAAGAAGCCCGGGGAAGGGAGTATAGTAGTATAGAAAGGCGAGAGAACAAAGAAGCGGGTAGGCGAGTTGTTCACACAATGGCAACACCCAGGTACCAGGGGCGGGATGGGCAGTTCGAACCGGAACGAGAAAAGCCCAACAGGCACATACACAAAAACCCAAAGGAATCAGGAGAAGAGGATTTGAAGGGAATGGGGGGGCCAAAGCCTACGCACCGTTTGGCGCCGGCCGTGAGACAGGACACCAAATACCGGCTGTGGCGGCCAAGATAAAAGAGAAAAAGCGATCGATCTCGAGGCAGAGTTGCAGAAGTAACACTGTGGAAAAGAGAAAAAGGGAAAAAAAGAGGAAGAGAAGGGGGGGAGGAAGGCGGGAGGGGAGCGGGAAGAAGTAGTCGCAGTTCAGTCCGGTCGCTTTGGGTTTCGGCGAGAGGGTCAGAGGGGGGCGGCGAAGTGGAAGGAAAGTGGAACAACTCGGCGCCCGCAAGGAGATTTGCGTGACACCTCTGGTCTCTCTGCCTGCCCGGAGTGAGTATTCAATACTTGTTCGTTTCATTTCATTTCATTTCTTTCCTTACCTACTTTACCACAACTTTACTGTTACTCATGGTTTCTTTGCTTTTCTCTCTTCATATTCCTCCCTCTTCCACGTTCGGTGTTGATCGGACGCTTTCTTGCTACGGCTACTACTTATAGCACAGACACTTAATCCTGTAGCAGATAAAATCTTCCGAGCATTATTTGTAGTTATGTATCTTCATTTTCCTCCAAATTCATCAACTGAGTAGTTGATCCCTGTATACGGATTACTACTATCTTTCGACAAAACCCACTTGCCCACACACACACACACACACGCACAGAAGGAAAAGAGGTGAAAGAGAAACCTATCGCTCCACATAGCCCACGGGCCATTCCATGGATAGTAGGATTGGGCAATAAATGGTTTTTGACGAGCCTCGTGCCAGAACAGCCAAGCTGTCACGCACGATTCCATTTCTTACGCAAACCGACCTCCCCCTCTCCCTCTCCCTCTTCCCCCAGGTATGCGATCCCGGATTATCAGTCAGCCTTGTGGCTAGACTCTAGTTACTCCAAACCATACTGTCCACCCCTACCTACAATTTGGTTGCCTTACCCCTGGATCTTCCCCCCTCTTACTCGCAATCCATGCCGACAATTCATTTGGTATTCGTGTCGTGCATTAAATGCCATGTTTCTGCCGCGTCAGCAGGAGACTTTTTCTTGCTGTCCAGAGCAAGGTACCAAAAGAAGCATGCAGCCAGCGTGCTGATGCTCGGTGTGCACCGCCGCTAACTCACTAGATGGCTCGGGAAAACGTAACATACGGTATCCAAACCAAGCATTTCAGGTGAGATTGAGATCTCGATGTCGACCCAGGTATCTCCTTAATGTACTGATGTACCAATGCAAGGGATCTCCGACGACGTAACAGCTCTTTGGGGGGAACATTTCTTCCGAAACTTGGCTTCGTTCTCGTGTCCTCCTCTCTCTCCCCTGTTCCAATCCGAGTGATGATTCTAATCTAAAGCGTAGCGAAGTCGGCTAGCCGCGCTTCACGCCAGGATAGACTAGATAGCCCGCTCAGCATTAGACCGACTGGAAACGGTTAGGCTGTTGGCAGGAACTTGTCCTCAGGTCTTAGGTTAGGGTTCAGACTTCCAAGCGTCGACAAGCCTAGTCTACAAACTTGTGGTCTAAAGGCTTCGTGGAGAACGGACCAAACTCTGTTGAGGGGCCGAATGGATCCTGTTACGAAAATTCTGGGGCACGACAACCGGGCCGGTGACTAGTGACCATATCACCTTGGTTGGCCTGAGATATTCCGAGACCGACTCTCTTCCAGTGGGCAGCAGGGCAGGGACATGGCCAGAAGAATCCAGTATCAAAGTGATGCTGCACAGCTGGGAACTATGTGTTGATAGTTATTTCGGGAAACACCCTCTTAGCGTCAGCAGCCATTGTACAATCCGCGACGTGTCCCGAACCAATGACTGTTGGGACAAATGCCTGCTGCCTTGGGGTAAGTACAACAAAGTAGTCAATGGACTGACTGCTGCAGCGGGTAAGTAAGTAGTCAGTAGTACCCAGTAGTTCTTCCAGTGGTAAATCAGCCTTTTAACGCCTTAGGCCGGCCGTCAGTCATTCCTCTCTTGCCACAAGACACAGCTTCACAGCCATAAGTTCTAGAAAACCAAATTCCAGTCTTCTATGCAGTCCATCCTTCTTCTGCCCCAGCCACTCATGCGGTTCTGAGCGGACCAAAGGGCTTGCGAATGGGCAGGCACTGGAATCCGACCATGGTTGACCCCGTGGACTTGAACCACGTCCCGGGGCTGGAAAGTCTGTGCCCATTAGGCGGTTCGACCTTTCATGCATGTGCCCTGGATCCTGTCCCCTGTCCTAATGCCGAACATTCTGTGCTCCGTACTCCGGGGCAATTGTGCACGCAGGAGAATTATTGACATATTGCTTCTGGATGGAGTATAATGTCGGTGACTCCGTCCGGCTGCAGTGTTACTGGCTTGAAGGAGGTAACCTATTCGAGGCCAGAGAGATTCGAAAAAGGAAGGACAGTAAAAAGTAGGTTGAGATGCAGGTTCAGTTCAACTGTTTTGTGGTGTATCCGTAGCGTAATCGCGACGTACGGTATGGTATCGGTGTGAAAATTCCTGACAACTTCCCCATATGATCACCGTGGAAATGCCGACCATTGAAATTGTGACATTGCTTCCTTCTTGCTTCGCCCATCACAGGAGGCCTATCAGAGAGTCAGGAAAAAGATACCAATTCCGCTAGGGACCATGTTTTACATCACCGATCAGTCGTCCACTTAGGGACTCAGATCCCAGCGTCAAAATCACGGGTTGTTGGGGACTGCGGGATGGCGTCACTGCTTCTTGTTCGGGGCAATTGCAGCGGTTTTGATGGTCGGTCATGCGGCGGGGCCTGATCTACACAGCGCTGGGTGGATGTTCTCTTCCGCCAATTATACCCTTGAATCCGACGATAGTCGGGTCCCTTCGGGGCTTCCCTGAGTGAGTTCGCCCTGGTAATCCCACGGTATGGCCTTATTCCTCGTCGTCAGCTCGCCAATGGACGGGAAGCGCTCCCTCGGCTGCAGTAAGTAAGATGATGGGTTTACCAGGTACATAAGTCCCCTAGATACTCTATGTGGACATCTGTGTCAGGAGTGCACGATTGAACTACGCTCCACATTGCTGCAGGAGAAAGCTAGTAGAAAGCTGAAGCTATCGGTTCAGATAAGGAGACATTCTGGCCAACAAAGCGATTCACTTGAAACACCAACACCCCGGCAACCATGCCGGTGATAGGATAGCCAACGGTTTAGTGTAGGAAGTTGAACATGGGTTGTCTGAACACCGGGCCAGAAAATTAAGTAAGTAAACCTGGGTCACAAACGTATTGTGAATCGTACACGCTAAATAGACGGGATCCATTCCATTACCTGACCGTCTGCGCCTCCACTTACTGCTCGGCGTAGTCCGTTTGTTAACAGTTAGTTGGTTAGTTACTAAGGACTTATTAGGATGACCCAGCCGGAGCCTAACTAACTAGCATCATCTTTAGTTAGTTCCTCTGGCTAGTTAGCACACGGCTAGGCTGACTTGCCTTGTCTGGGTGGATCATCATCCCGGGACTGGAACCTACCTCCATTGATTGTTCCCCAGATAGTTCCACCCAAATCCTCAGGCGGCGGTGGTGGCTAACGGATCACCTTTCTAGTTTCTACATTATAAGAAATTCACTCCAATAATTCATGTCTGGAAGCACTTGAAAAGTGAAGGGAAAGGGGAAAAGCAACCTACGTATCAACCGCATAACCGGAACCATTAAACTGCTTGTTCTACCTACGGATCGCGCCCGTCGTTTCCCCGTCGGCGAATTTACGCCCTGGGATTTTCTTTCCCCCCAAAATGCAGGGCTTAATATTAAATAGGCTGAGCTGTTTGCTCCCTGGTACTAACTGACTAAGTAGACTGGCCTAGCTCGGACACGACGCGGTGGGACCTGTTTCAGCCTACTGCGCACCGGTCAGCCCCAGCCAACGGACCGTGCCCGCGTTGTGGAGGAAAATGACTGAAGCTATTGTCACTGGTACTCTCTCTTGGGTTGTGATGGAAACGAGGTCGTGGAAGTCACTATGCTTCTTGATATCAATTTCTTCCATTTCTCAAGGATCTCGGTCAATCATTGGGGGCTGGGAAGTTGAGAGTTGTTTTGGTGTATGAACAATGTATCCCGTATTGATGAGCTCAGATCTGCTTACGAGCACTTTAGTGACTCGAGCCGGTTCCTTGAGGGAACCGATGATGCAGGGGACATTTGCCGACGATCTTTAGCAATGGGGGGTTACTTAGTGTAGTACTTAGGTTTCGTGAACGAAAATAGATGCAAAGAGCGACTGGACCGATGCATTGCTCCGTCTCTTAGTCAATTGGCAAAGACTAAGTACCTGCCAACCCTACGGATTATCCGAGAACGAGACCAAAGCAATAATACTTCGTCTGGTGTTGTGCATTGGGTAAGAGTTACAGAGCGATAATTCCGCCATCGAGAACAAGGAACAGTTGAGGTCGCAGTTGCAAGGCACCAATTGTCGTAAGGGGTAGTCTGATGCGAGCTGCACTCAATCCAGAACAGATGAGGTCCGCAATTGATTGGTAAACCAAGTAATGATACCGCTCTCATAGGCTGAAAACCTTGACAGTTGAAATCCAGGGAACTTAAGAGCATAGCAAACCGGAAATGTCCTCGGAGTTGCATATTACTTCCAACACCGACATA